TTATTTCTTTTTATTTATTTCTCGTTCCAGCGGAGTGGAAGTGAGGTTTGGTGTACTTTAAGTTTATACTGGTACAAATAATTGTAAAGGGTTAAGGCTGATACCGGTGGCTCCGATCTGGGAATTTATAAGTTTCCGAAAATCCTATTCGTAAACTGGTGGGGGGAGATAAAGACCGGAGACTGGCGATATCAGCCTTAATACCATCTTGTAATGTAAATAAACATAGCAATTGTATATAAGGCAGATTATTGGACGAATAAAGCAGTGTTTATTCAGAAGTCGTGAGTATTGTTTCTCGTTCCTCTTTCCTTCTTTTTTTTTATTTTTCAAGCCCGGAGACGCTTAACTTATATATATATATATATATATGTATATATATATATATATGTAAGTAATTACATAGAGCTGTAAATATTTACTTTATAGCTATTTACCTTTTATAATATTTACCTTATATATAGCTGGAGCATTAAAATTGCTCCAAGACGAACTTTCTTAATATAAGACGGCCATCCTTGAACTACAGGCCTACAGGCAATAAGATTGGTAGGCTCTGGAATTATAGAGAAGAGAGGTCAAACAATCTACTATATTTGCTATCGACAGGTTTTGTGGTGAGTGGTAATATATAATAGCATATCAGATTTCAAGATGATTAACTTCGGTTATACTTACTGAAAATTAGATGTATATCCAGAAATTATTCTTTGATTCCAATTGATGCCTCGCCTGAGGTGGTAAATGGGAGATTAAGAATTATTTCTATGTCGATTTTGGAAATCTGTTTGCAGAATGCCTCCGCCATGATTTAAAGATTGTTCTGGTTAGTTGGAGAGAAAGGTCTAGAAAACACTTTCTAATGAAAAATGTACAAATTATTATCGTGACTAGTTTTATGAATTGCATGGATTCTTCAAGGAGACTATAGTTGCAATGCTTCCAGATCTATCAGAACTGACTAAGAACTGGGCCCGGGAGAAAAACCTTATTTCGCTCGAATAAAAGGTTGTTCTTAAGAATAAATGAAGTTTTTTTTTTATAATTTGATTTTCGTCCATCATGTATTTCGCCTGCGAGACTCAGTTCGGAGTCAGTAGGAACAAACTGTGACAGCAGCACAAGCCTTCACAACTCACGGTGCACAGTGGGACAAGTTAGGGAAAACTCGCAACATTGGCTAAATATATATATATTTTTTTTTAAATCCCAAAAACTAGATAAACTGTTTTATTGATATCTTCCAGAATTCGTGAGAATAGTTTTAGTTGGCAGAATATACATTTTTCACTGTTTTTATTGAATTTAAGAATTTCTGTGTTATCTTACGTTACTTGAAAGTAACGTAGATTGCCAATATTGCTGTGTTGTCTCACGTTACTCTCAGTAAGCAATTTGGATTTCATGGAGTGATATTCGATTAGCTGTTTTTCTCTCCTTATGATGCCTGGATTGGCGAAACGTTGACGGGTTTTTGTTTGCCTGCATTTTTGGGACATAATTCTGTGTGGTTTGGAATTTTTCCAATAATAACCTAATTTTTATATTACATTAGGAAATTCACGAGGATGAATTTTCCCCATATTTCTCTTTTCTTTAAATAGCTGCTTTTTCCTACTTTTTTTGACATTTTTTTCCAACTTCCGGGTGGGGGGAAGGTACCCCAACCCGACTGGATCCGCTAGTAAATCAAACTAATCCAATAAATCCGTGGCTTAACTCTCTTAAACTCCCCAGACTATCTATATCTAAGGTTCTGTCTAACAACATCTGTGAGAGGCTATTTTTGCCTGCGGAAAAGAGTTGGAAGTCTATCAACATGGTTTCATGAGAAGGATGTCTACCACTGATCAGATCATTGCTTGAAAGAAAACGAGATTATATCACCATACATCAGCAAAGATTTTAGCAGCCCATATGATAATGTTATTAGAGAGAAATTGAACAGGCTATGGAAACATATAAATATTCCCCTTAAACTGGCCTGCTTAACAGAGCTGGCGATATCAGAAACATTCACGACCACAAAACGGTAAAAAGATGATGCCTGATATTTAACCTACCACTAGAGAAGTTGATAAGGGACTACAAAGTGCAAAGAAATGGTACAATTCTTATTAAGTCAGTGCAAATTCAAGCCCATGCAGATGAGTTAGAGGCACAATGGTTTAAGAATCTCCTTTATTTACTCCAAATTTGTACCAGATACTTAAAAATGACATAGAAATATTTGGATCTGCGCTAATATCGAGAGAACTAAGGCCTCCTCCATTATTTGTGAAAAATATAAATTAAGATCAGTTATTGTGCACTATACTAACTAAAATACTCTGACAGTTATTCATGCCTGAATAGGACTAATGACTCTAAAATAATACCAGATACTGCAGAAAGGTATCGAACAATTGTAAAATACTTATCAGAAACGAATGCGGGTTTTCAGACGTACTGGCTGAGGCAGGAGAGAGCTTTCTTTACGAGTGGTGATAAAAAATTTGCACTCCTCAACCCCGACTGAAGTTATAACAGAAGAACTAGCGAAATTAAGGTTTCAAATTACTTTAGGTAACCAACGTTTTGAAGGAAACTAAAGAGCAGCCAGAAGTAAGAAAAAAAATCTCACTAACTTTGTTTTTCGTAGACTTGGAGCCATCACCAGACATTGAAAAAATATATGACATCAAAAGAATATACTTCATAAGTGTAAAAGTACAGAAACCGAACTCCATTAAGCCACCAGAAACTAGTGTCACAATTTTCAGGCATTTGACACGGAGAGTTATTACAACCATTTTCCGCCTGTGTGAAATTTGGGGAACAACACAAATCTGTCGAGTGCAACAAACCAATACAAGTTCCTGCAGTTTGTGCCCTATGCCTAGAGAAACATCTTGCGAACCACAAAGATTGCCAAATCTACAAGACTCAAATCCAGATACCTGAGAATCAAATTTAAGATGAAACCACCAGACCAAGAAGAGAATCTACTGAAGTAGTGAAGTCCAGAGTTTTCTTCTGTCAACTAATGCAAAAACGGAGGTACAAACCGACCAGTAAATGTCATAAGTCCTGCTGCAATACTACCTTAATCACACCTTCAATTTGCTATCCATCCTAAGTTACCTAACCATCAACATTAAATTCCTCCTCCATCAAAAGCCACAGATCTTACCCATTTTTTGGCATCTTTCCTCACTTAATTTTAATTTGTTGTTACGCTACTGATATCACTACTTGCAAATCAAATATCTCACTTCATCCTTCCTTTAAAAATAATTCCCACAAAATCTCTATCCATTTTCCTGTGGAATGAAAATGGTATGTGAAATCACATTAACGAACTAACAGCTTTATTACTGGACAAGAACGTAGACATAGCCCTAATTACGGAAACGCGACTGACCAGAAAACAGCTTTTGTTCTTAAAGTATTATACTGACAATTCTGATGATAAAACACGTGCTGTTACTGCTGTCATTGTTCACCAATCCCTCTTTCGACATCTAGTCCCATTGCCTACCTACATACGATTTCCTAGAATCCACTACCATCGTGATCAAACACTTCTCCTTTCTGGTCAGCCTTGCATCAGTTTATTGCTCTTCCGATATTTCTTGACGAGCTAGCCACCTTCATTTTATTTTTTTTATAAGTTTTCTTACAATTTGTGGAGTGCCTGATTTACTTGGTTGCAGCATACTTTATACAAAGGTTGCAACCCTGTTGTAGTGAAAAAAAACTCAATTATTTAAGAACATATAAATCATTGCACATATAGATAGAGGATGGCAGAGTCTTATGAAATATTAAATTAATTATATTTATTAATATAAATATTATATTTGTTCAAAATAAATTCTTAATTTATGATCTATAGTTTATCTATGTATTATTAATTTTAAATTGTCCTTATCTTATATTTCATAAAATATTACTACTTCTTCGGCAGTGGAGAGGGACTTTCTGCCTCTTCCCCATTATTTTATGAAGGGGACCAGAGTTTCACTGCATTTCAAATATTTCACGGCCACATACTTAAAAAATGATTTATTAAAGAGTTTCATAAACTTTACAAATAATAATTATTACAAGTTATTTTGCAGTTAATGATCTACTTTTTATATTTATTTCTAACTGTCGTTAGTAAGGTTATTTATGTTTTATTAAATTATTTAGTTTCTTTTTTCCTGTTGATTAATTTTTTATTACATATTGTTTTTGTTCTATTTTTCTTCATGTTTGCTTTTTGGCCTAGACCAGGATTCTCCAAACTATGGTTTGCTGGCTGGATCCGCAAGCACTTCAAATTCTACCCGCTAAAGTTTCTTTGATTACATAGTAAAATTTTAAAAATTATTTAAAATATATGAAATTTAGGGAATCTCTCAAACACAAATTTACTGCAACATTTATTTCATGATTGTTTCTCTTAGAAAACTCATATTATAACTGAAGTGTCATTTTTCAGCACAAGCCATGGTCCGTGAGACTTAGTTGAGGTCTTAATGCGGCTCGCGGGCCAAAAAGTTTGGAGACTACTGCCCTAAACTATTTTAATTGTACCTATAAGTAACAATACACTTTTCAATACACGAGATAGTAATCATAGGACATCTATCATTAGATGGCATTACACGAAGTCATTGTATGAGAAAGTAGAAAAAAAAGGATTTAGAGGGTATTTGCCAAATCTTTTGAGTTTAATATTTCACACTGTACTGCCTATATCTCATATAAAAAAATTTCTATTATTGACAACTATGATATTATGGGACGAAAAAGGATCTTTTTGAAATAAATCTACTTTTGGTATAGGCTAGCCCACTTAAATAAAAATATGACCAATTTTTTTTAGTAAGCTTAATATCTAAAATTGAATAGATAAACAGCTATAAAGCAGTAAGAAAAGTTTTTTGTTTTTACTATTAATTGTGAATATCATGTTTCTGTTAAAGTGTCTTGAAGACAGTTTTTAAATAAACTTTTTTTTTTTTAATTAGGCTGCTTCAGCATGGCTTGCATACCAAAGATTCCTTCAAGGAAATAATGCCATGTTTGCTGCTGGTCTTGAAGGTGGTGAAGCACAAATGACTGGTGCAGCTGCTTTCTCGTCATATTCTCAGGATGACCAACCTTATCAAGACCCACCATTTTCAAACCAACATGGTAATGTTAATCTTTTTACATACTTTATAATCATTATTTTGGTCAAACAAGTTTTTTATACTGTTAATGTTACTGTCCAGCTTAAACCTATATTGGTAGGTTTGAAAGCTTCTATGTTCAGTAGGGAACTGGGTAAGGTAGTATCCAATTCCTCATGCTTTCTGTCTACCCACGATTAAATACTAGGAACCAGTATGTAAATCCACCGTCTCTCACACTTCTCCCCATACCAAGTTTAATCCCTGAGCCTTACCCCAGGTGTGTCCATATTGGCGCAAGGACGCTCGCATCTCTCCTAGCATTTAATTACAATTTACTTTGCGTTTAATACAGTTTACATGTAAATAAAGCAACCTTTATTTTATTCCTAAAGGATAGTATGTACCTCAGACGAAAATTATATCTAATTAGATTTACCACAAAGATCTAGTGTTATTTCTCTACTAATTTTATTTTTGTTATTCAGAATTTAAATTATTGTCGCAACATGTCCTAATGAAATTATTTCGTTCAATCTGTGAAATATAAAAAAATAAATCACTAAGAGGTCGATATATTGCTGAAGTGTCGAAATACATTCGTAATAGTTCATTTTTCAATATTTACCGATCTCCTAGATAAAAGAATTTATGGGACAAGAGTGGGATCAATGGAGTGGCAGCGGATGCTAGGTCCAGCTTGGGAATCCGCAATTGGAAAGAGGAGGCAACCAATAGAGAAGACCAATAGCTTCCTCGCCGTTTTCATTGGCTAAAGAATATTAATATTTCAAGGTTTATAATTTTTCATATGAGAATAAAATCTCAGGGAGGGAAGCCGTTTTCGGAAATACAATAATCACTTAACATTTGTAGGTTTGATATACACAAATTTTGTTCATCAGGGAACACTGGCGGATCTACAGGGAGAGAGGCGAAGCTTTCGGGCTGAAGCCCCTCCCAACCCCCCTCCCACCAAAAAATGGTAAAATATAACCATACCTTATGAAAAAAATATTTAATAATTACCTATAAAAATATTATTGTTCATGTCATTACATGTAATAGTACTTTTAGAATCACTTAAGTTCTATTTCATATAGATATTTAGTTTCTTAATTTTTCTTCCTAAATAATTATCGTTACATATTTTGAAAAAAATATTTCGAGCTGAAGCCTCCCCTCAAAGTTATATCTTGGATCTGTTAGTGCCAGAAAATACTAAAATGCGTAAGTGTTTCACATTTGCAAATTGTTAATTTGGTAATTCGTGATTAAAAGAAATAAAATCGCAGTACAAACAGAATATGCATATCGCTACTGTTAGTGAAAAAGGTCATATGTAAATATTGATTATTTTAGGGAAGGGTATAAAAACTGACTATTTCTTTATGATTTAATAGTATAATTTCACATTGTATTTCCCTTTATTATATTCCATAGCTCACACTACCTATTTTAGTTGGTACAAAATGTCACCTTTAGTACAAATAAAATGGAAATGGAAAATTTTATATACGATCTTTTATACTAACAGTAGTGTTACATATTTAATAGATGTGCTTTCACTCGTAAAATGGATAAAAAAAAAATCATTTGGAAAAATCAACTTTTGGTTTGTTTGAAATTAGCGAGACCAATATTTTTCTTCAGTTAGAACAAAACTAATTTAAGCTGGAATATAAAAAAATGAGTGAAGCTTTCACAACTTTGATGTTTAAGCAGAAAATCGAGACCACGACTTGAACTTTAATAGAAATTAACACAATCACTAATAAGACTTTTTTTTTTACAAACTTAGAGTAATAATTAATTACATCGCTATCCTAATAGGAGGGAAGCATCAGAGTGTCTGATCTCCTCAACACAGTATCTAATATTCTTAGGACTTGGTGCAGGACTAATGGATTAAGCATCAACCCTAGGAAAATTAATGTGTGTTTCTTCACCAGGAAGAAAAAGGTGTTTATAAAAATGCCGGAAATTAATGGTATCCAACTGACACATAGCAAGGAAGTAAAACACCTTGGAGTCATTTTGGACCAAAAACTGTCATGGACTAAGCACATTCAGAACGTGACAAGTAAAGCCCTCAAATGCCTATGGGCCTGTAAAAGAGCGTTAGGAAAAAATTAGGGACTCAAACCTAAAATGGTATACTGGCTGGACACAACGACAGTTAGACCTATCATACTTTACTCAGCTTTGCTATGGTGGCACGAAGCAAAGACTGCAGTTAACTCATCTTTATTAGGAAAGATTCAAAGACTAGCATGTATGATGATAACGGATGTGATGAGCACTACACCGACGGCTGCTATGGAGGTAATGTTGAACATGCCACCGCTGCAGTTGGAGGTGGAGGCTCGAGCAAGAAATGCATTATAGGCTAAGCAAGTTGATAAGCTACTCTGTAATCCCCTGCCAAAGGGGACACACAGTACTGCTGAACAGGATTGGACATGACGAAGTGTTAGCCATGCACTCTAACACTAATCCGGGAATATCAGGACCGCAAATATGGGGTTGAGATAGACAGCAGCAAACAACACAAACCAAAAAATGATATTAATTGTTAATTGTACAGATGGCTCTCTAACAGCCTATGGCTCAGGAGCAGATATCTATCGCAAGGATAACAAAGAAAAAGATTCTATACCTCTTGGCACATATGCCTCAGTTTTTCAATCTGAGATACTGGCAATTTGCCATTGTGCACAAAACCCACCACGAAGCAATGTGACTGGGAAAAAGATTACAATCTATACCGACAGTCAGGCAGCAATAGGTGCTATTAAAAATTATTATGTGTATTCAAAGGTTGTTAAGGAATGTAACACAGCACTTAACAAACTAACTGAGCACAATAGAGTTGCAGTGGAGTGGGTGCCCGGTCACTCGGGCATACTAGGCAATGAAGAGGCTGACAAACTAGCCAGATTGGGCTCAGATACCATTCCCCTAACTCCTGAACCTGTTTGTGGAATCAGCTTTAGTACTGTCAAAAGCAGGATCAGGGAGATTTATGGGAAAATACTGGACTGAGAAGAAACAACGACATTCGAAGCTGTTTCTTAAAGGTCCATGTGAAAAAAGAAGCAAACTGCTACTGAGAATGGGCAGAGCAGCTCTTAAAAAGCTTACAGCAATCTATACAGGTCACTGTAAGCTAAATTACCATATGTTCAATCTCCGAGTAACGACGAGAGGAGAATGAAACAGCCTTTCACATTGTGTTTGGATGTGATAGATTCGCAAGGCTGAAACTGGAACTATTTGGAGAAGAACGAATGGATCTCTCCAGTAGATATGAGACTGTCAATCCAACCAGCCTACTAAGATACGCGGAAGCGGCAAAAATAATATTTTGATAATAAATGAATAACTGAATTGGCGCACAATGGATCCTTCAGGGGTCGACGTGCCTTGAGCCAACACTTTAAAAAAAAAAAAATAATGAAATAAAATAATTAATTTAAATTTACTGAAAGTTACACGAAATCTATAGTAAGTGTCATACCAGTAACATTTAAAATCGATCATACAATACAGGATAAATTAAACCTCCAAAATTTTGATGGCACAACTTGCGGGGGATGGGTGGGCCCAAAGGAGAATTGAGCGGTACAACTTTTATTCTGTGTTTAAAATGGGGTTTCGATGGATTGTATAATCCAAACAAATCTTTTCAAGCATACTCTAGAAAATCCCAACACAAGGATGTAGATGAAGAAAAATTCTATTTGTCGATTCTAGTCTATTTGTGATATCTCTCGTGCCCTTGTGAATTACCTCAATTGTAATTGAAAGCGATAAGGTTTCAATATGAAATGGAGACACCTGAACTGATCAGAATGGAAAAATCAAGGTTCGCAGAGTAAATTAAATACTTACAACCATTAAACCTCACTCAATATCACGGTGATGTACCTAGTACATTTTAGAGTTTTGGACGGAAAAGTAGTTCAAGTGATAATGGACACAAAATCTGCAGCCAATTGCTTCAACTGTGATGCTCAACTATTGGAAATGAATAACATCTTTTGAGTAAAACAAAAGCTGTAAAAAAAACAACTGCTTTGAGTCTCCAGTTATCTCCTTTCCACGCAAGAATTAAGCTAATAGAATACAGTCTTCATCTAGACTACAACCTAAACTTCAAGGAATGGAGGATAAATCAAATAACTACACCAATCAAGGAGGCCGAGAAGAAGCAGATTCAAGATCAACTCTGGAAAGAACTCCATATAAAGGTGGATTACGTAAAACAGGGGCACAGCTCAAGCAACACCAGAAATGCTTCTAGAAATTTTTTTTTTGAAAACCTGTCATTGCAGCTTCTGTTACTGACATTGATGAGAACTTAATTCGAAGACTTGGTCCCATATTGGAAGTGATCAATTGCAATAATCAAAAGATAAATGTCTCAAATATTAATCCACAGATAAATTGGTATAATACTATTTTGGTGGCTAGATTACCTAAATTATAAAGTATTTCCATTCTTATTCCTTTTATGTTCAGCTATGTAAGAAACTCCAGTTCCTGTAGTTAGTTGCTTCCTGTTGTATAGCTCACAATCCGATTTAATGTAGGGTCGATATTTTCATTTAATATCTTCACCAAAGACCACTTCTCTCAGATTGGTGCAATCCATCTTTTGAGATTTCAAAACGTGGCATCATCCAACATGTCAACCAGCAAGCCACATTTTTGAACAACTGTGATTTCTCCTTTCGGATCCAATCAGAGTTGAAATTTCTCCAGATATTCAACCCAGCTCTCAGGTTTCGAGTAATCGTATTTGACTTGAATTCTCACTCTTTTCTCAGTAACCCTTTCGGCTCTGAAGTCAAAATAATTCCTTTTACAACCGTTCATGCCAAACGCTATTTTTCTCAATTAAAATACGTATTAAATGATAGAAAAAACAATTCTTCAGAAACGAATTTCGAAACATATAACATTGTAAAGTTTAAATTGATTAAAAAATAAGATTTTATTTATAATGTGGACAATTTATAATTATGTATGTTCATATATTATTTTTAATTAAAATTAAATATCAGAAATCAATTGGTATGGTATTTATAATATATACTTATCCTTCATATCTTTAATCTTTTTAAGTTTCTTTACATTACTTCATCCCTTGTATTTGCTATTAAATTAACCAATTTAAGGGAAACTTAAACAAATGTAGTATTTAATAATTTGTTGGGTGATTATTGAGATTTTTTTTTTTTTGTGAATTATCTATAAATTTCCTACTATTTATGTTAGTCCTTATTTTTATTAAAATTTCTCTTTCTTCAACATTTAGGTTAATTGTAATTTAATGTGGTATGAGGTTGTGTATTGTTGTCGTTAGTTCATTGTAATATGGATTTTAATTTTCAATATTGCATTTAAAATTTTTTTAATGACATTTTAATTCAGAAGTTTAACATAATGTTTGATAGGATTTCAAAGTATTAATATTATAAAATAAATTATTTTGCACGTTTTCAGCTGTAAATTAGGCAATTTTACATAATTTGGGTTCTTACTCCACAATTTTGCACATTTTGAGGTTTTTACTGCACGTTTTCGGATTGTTACTGCAGGAAGATCCGGTCTCTAGTTATTACTAATCTTCATACCCTGATCCCATCCTTGTCGACATTTTTATATTTTTACTGGTATTCATCAATACAATAATGTAATGATCAGGGGTGGAGAAAGGTATTACTCTTAAAGTATTAACATTAAGAACGTTGATATAAGATAATATTAATTAGTTAATATAAGATAATTATTATAAAAAATTTAATAATTATGAACAGTTATGTACTAAATCATACTATTTGTAAGTAGGTAAAGAATGGGTTTTTCTTATGAACGGGTTTGAGTTGTTCTTGTTTTCAGAAAAAACAATAAACATGTTTGGGTTTATCTGATTGAAGTCCTTGTAGGAAACAGCCCTCTTCTAGAGAACTCCTGGCACTAAAAGTACTGATTATACTCACTATTTATTTTGAATTTACTTCTTAAAAAAGCAAAAAACTACAGAGATAAAACATAACTTTTATTCCTGCTATGACACCTTATGATCATATATATATATATTGTTATGTTATCTGGGACATAATTTTTAAAAATGATATAAATTTTGATGTAAAATGTTTGCCTATACATTTATGTATACTTTTTGAATTTCTTTGGTATCAACATCGAAAATAAGAGCCTTTTTTTCATCTAATTAATTTTTTTTTAATTATATATTTTCAATAAATTTGTTTCAGAAGGTGGTGGAGAATATCCCGCACCAACCTACTAATAAATCTTGTAAATTGAGATCCAATGGGTAAGAGCAGTAAACAACTGTAATTTCAGTTTTGCTCTTACAAGTGTAGTAATTTAGTAAAGAGTCATCTGTGTGCTTGTTGGATATCACTAAATTTGTATTGTTTTTTGCATAGATTGAAATTAAATGACAATATAAATTTTTCGTTATTTGGTTTTTAGTGATGTATTTTATCATGAAAGTTTTGTTTCCAATGGTCTGCAGACAATGATACTTTTTCTAATGATTTTCATTTGGACTAGAACTCCTTTGCTATTTTTAACCCTAAGAAAAATGCTGTAGCTAAAATAAACAGTTGTAAAAATTTGATTTTATAGATTTGTGTTTGCAAACATGTTAATTAATCACATGTTCGTTACATATTTGAATTGTTGAAGACTTTGCTGTTTAGAACTTAGTTGATGTATAGTCAGAAGATGTTCAACAAATGTAAATTGTTATATACTTTAACAAAAATTTAAAATATTAGCTGTTTATGTATGTAATTAATTGTAAGAAGTGGAAATACTATTGTGTTAGCTAGTCCTCCAGCGATTATGAACTTTATAAAATAAAAATAAATAAGAAAAAAATTATGCTTATTTATGAAATGCTGTAGTTTATTGAAACTATGATCATGTAATATTTAGGCTTACTAAGATTAATCTTTTATATAAATAATTGTTGTACGAATGTTAACAGATAAATTATAGTTTTATCTTTCTTAATATTATTTTTGTTTCATATGTGTATTAAGTTAATTTATCAGATTTATTATTCAAGGTCAATAAAATAATTTTTAATTTTATTTCATGCTGACATTTCTCAGCAAAGGTAATATTTCCTGAGGTATAATATAATTTAAGATAAGTTAATAGTTTAATTTTTATTTGTACAAAATTTAAAGGATTATTTCTTATATATATATTATGGATAAAAATATTGTGTGCAGTTTACTTTAAAGTTCCGTGCATTAGCTAATATTTTTGTTTTTAAGTGATGTTGATGTGATATAATTAGTTATTAAAAAAAATGTTTTGTTTAATTTATAAATTATTATTTATTTATTCTATCCCACTTATTTATTTGTATGAATTTCAATGATGCACCAATCTACATTGTTTTTTTCAGTTTTCACTCACATATTAATTAATTTTTGCAAAATCTGTTACTATAACAACAGAGATTATATTTAAAAATAAAATAAATTAAAGATAACAGCAATGTTTAATAGTTTGAGAGGAACTTTTGTTTGAGAGGAAGGGAATATTTCCTCCTTTTTTATCTATATGACATCGAATATAAAAAAAATTAAAAAAACATTGAATAAATTTCTGAGCTCTACATTAAAATTCTTCCAACTATAATCCTTAATTCTGGGAAGTCAGAGGATTGATGAGCAAGAAAACAGCTGACATATGGGAGTCAACCACTAGCAGATCCAGGATTTAATTTTGGAGGGCTTCAGTCCGAAAGTTTTTTTTTTTCATAAAATTACTTTGGAACGATAATTACTTTGGAAAAAAAGAAAGAAACTAACTACCTATATGAAATGGTGTTTAAGTGATTCCTAAACTCCTTTTAAATATAATTACACGAACAATAATACTTTAAGAGATAATTTTTAAATATTTTTTTCCATAAAACATGGTTATATTTTACCATTTTGGGATGGGGGCTTTAACCCCAAAGCCCCTCCCCCGTAGATCCGCCGTGGAGTCAACCTAATGATAAAATTTCAAGAGAACATCTAAGAGTACTCATACCCTCTCCTGATTACATAATTACAGGTTACCTACATAATGACTGGAAGCATTGTGGATCTATATATTCTATTAGATTTATTTATTTGAGTGATTCATCTTATAGCCCCGTTGATTCAGCCCGAGCCAGATACCTATCCTTTCAACTCCAGTCCCATTCGAATCCACTTGTTTCCAGCCTTGCTTCTTCATTGATTCCTGATAAGCTCCCTAGGCATCTGAAAAGAAGATGGCCTTGTGATCTTCTCACCTAGAATTAAATAGGGAGTGCTACCACTGGGCAGTATCTCTTCAAGTCTGTTAATATCATGATTTCTAATGTATGCATTTTTACTAGTTGTATTGTTTATACAGTTGTAAATTTCATTAAATAAATAAATAAATCTTATAGCCAGTTTCCTAGTTAATAGCTCCCAATGTAAGCTTGTCCAAAATAATTCTGGTAATGTTGGAAATCTCTTTATTTAACTTGACATCTCATTCTCAGCAGGATTTAGATATAAATTAAGTTATGTTCTCTTCAAAAGCATCAAGAAAAATTGGCCACATGGTAGTCCAGACAAATTAGCACAAAAAAAAAAGTGGTCTAGATTGCAAAAGTTTGGGTAATTCAAGTTTTTATTTTATATTGTTAGATGTATGGGGAATATAAAAAATCCAAATTTTCAACATTGTGAGCCTTGTGGGTTTGATGCATAGCTGGAAAAACTATTGAAATTTCAGAATTTGTTTGGTATACTCAAAATATCTCTTTTTTAAACTGATCTAGCTAAAAAATAGTTATATTTAAACTCAAGTAGCTTAAAATTGTTGACTTTTTTTTTCCTTAACTAAACCAGAAGCGAACTATGGAGCTTTCGTTTTCAGCTAATTATCTAATATAATAATATCTGTTTAGATATATTATTTTCTACAATCAATCTTTGTAATCTATCAAGAAAAAAAAAGTTAACTACCCTCAAAATTGGAAGTTTTACGTTCCAAGATACATAGAATCCAAAAATCGAAAAAAAAAATGCGTTCGTCCGCGAATTTTCTCGGGGAATAATAGACCATTTGTTTTGAGATTTGTATCATTGTATAGAGGTACTCAAGGATTATTCTCGAAACTCGGAATCAGCATTCGCCCTTTCCTTTCAAGATTGCGGCCGAAAAACCTGTGTCACAATAGACTGCAGCGCCTAATCTAATGTACCGATTTTAATGAAACTAGGGCGAAGTCTCTCCAAACTGGAAAAGTTTTAAAAATTCGCAAAAACCATACAATTTCAAAAATTTTCCTATTTTGAAGGCTCGATAGTAATCTTCGGTTGAGTTTATAAAAAATTATTCCTACAAAAATTTTAGACAATTTTAAGCTATCTAAGATTGAATAGAACCATTCTTTATTTACATCGCTTTAAAAGGAGATATTTAGGATCTGAAGGTTGATTATTACTTCTTTAACTGTTTAAAGTATTATTGTAGGAGCGGCGATCGGTGGGATGTCTGGTTCGTTTCCATAATAATTTGGGACGGCGTTTGATATGGATTAGGTAGGAAGTGGTGAGGTAAATTATTTTTCTTAGCGATTCTTGAAGAGTGGATAAAGGAGGAAGCAGTCCAGACTGCTTTTTTAATTGTGTTGGCAAAAGAAGGTACGCCATCGACAAGGTCTTCTGAGGTTTACAGGATTATTATGAGATGAACTCTTTGCAAAGGATTTGATGAAAGATTTCCCTGTTGGGGTTTAAATGATGTATACTCTTAATATCCTATTATCCTAAATTTACCAAGTACCTCTATCTGCTCGAAAATTTGGGTAAGTCCGTTTACTATATATGTATTCCCAGTCACGTAGGAATAATTGGTAATTAGCTTGCAGATATTGCAGCGAAATCAAGCACTCACATTCTCAGGCCGAGATAGGACCATCTCGCTTAAATAGACCATCATTGAAACCGGATATAGCAGTAATATTAAACAATGATAAATCAAATATAAAGATAGTAATAATTTTTCTTAAAATCCACAGGATATAGATTAGATAAATAATAAAATAAAAAACTAAAATATATTTTTAAAAAAATGGACCAAATAAACGGTAAAATTCGCCCATTCATTAAAACTTTGGTAATATTTTCAAGTTGGTAGTAGGAATCAAGATCTAATGAGTCCACCCAAAATATCAGGAATACAACAAGAAATGGGTGTGGATAGATCGGAACGAAATCGAGTAAGGTGTTAATTATAGCTGTTTTGTATCTGAATTGAATCAGACCACTTCAATGTGTTATTATCATCATATAATAAAGTCAATATGTTCAAAGTTACCGATTTCATGTAAATAACACAAAAATCACATTTTCCTAAAAGATGTTAGTTAAGAATTAAATAATAAATGATTACGTCTATTAATTAATTTATAGTAGCTAAATAACAAGAACCAGCCTGAAATAATAACCTCTAACCAAAACAAAAGAGAGGGTTGGCATTCCTAGAGAACGGCGCTGTTGCGGGTAACTAAGGCCCACAGGATTGTGTCTCACAATGTGGTACAGATCTAAGAAGGATCACTCTCCTGCTAGAATATGCTAAAGTGTAGTTACAAGTGATAAGGCTCGTCAGAGTTTCCGAAGAAAACACCATGGAGGAATGGATACAATTTATACGCCAGTACCGAAAGTGTCGGCTTTGAGAAAATGTCTTTCAGCTGTCTAGTCCCGATTAGTGGAAAACGTTTTACTTCCTGACTAATCAGCCTTGATGTCATCACAAAACATGGATGTTTTCCAACCAAAATACACAGCATTAACAATGATTTCGACCTCCCTTTGTCGAAGGTGCGACATTTCTGAAATTGATGAACACGTAGTAACTTAGTTCACCAGATCAGAGGCACTAAGGAAGAAGCTCAGAAGAAAAACCGGCATTTACGTCATCACTGAGAGCCATTTCTTCATCTAATGGAAGAAAAGTGGAACTGTGAAAAAAGAGAGTTATCCTTACTTTTAGACGTTCGTGTACGTGCGAAAAATTATAGTGTAACAGCCTTGGCGCTTCCACATAAATGGATTGATGAATCTAAACTGCACTAAAGAACTTTTTTTGTCTCATGATCATTTTTTTTATATTCAAGAGGTTAGATCAACTCGGATTCGAATCCGGCTGATGGCCAGTAATTATTTATTCGGTTTCATAGGTCATGGATTGGGGCACACACACCGCCTTTATAAAGTGTGTACTGTTATTTAATTAAGAAGAAAACCTGGCGGTAGACCGTGATCTTGGTCATATCGCCTTCTTGCATAACCGTTGAGCAAAAAACAATGCTAATACCTTACATAGTTCTGAACTCATGACTCTTCATGGTTTGTAGTGGTGCATACTGTTATGATGTTGAGTTAGTTTAATAGATGCATCTATGACGCCAACTTCGCCAAAACCGTTTGTCGTACGGTAGGTTGGAAATAAATAAACATAGATCAATGTTTGAAAATATATTTGTCTGAAAATGAGTGATGCATGTATGAAAAGTAAAGATCTATTGAAAACTGCATTTTGAAAATTTGATCCCATTACTTTTCTTTCTTTGTGTTCTAACAGTAGAGAACTTTTACAATAGGAGCAGCTAAAGTTTATTTAATGGTACTGGTACTAGTACTGGGTGGGGAAACTAGTCCGACACGTGGGCCTATAATGTTCCTTTTTTCCAACCCCTGACGGCTATCTTTAAGGTTGCCGCCGCGTACTTGCCATAGTGGGAATGTCACGATCCATTTCCCGGGGCCGCTGAGGATTGAAAAGTAACCGACCCAGGTAGGAAACAAATCCACAACGTTCAGAACCGGGCACTCTGGGACCCACGCCCCAACGTGCTCTTCAATCCCGTCCTCTTAAAGTTTATTTACAAACATAATAAAATAGTGGTGCTTTAATCCTTTCTTACCACCATCATAACTATTATCTAATGAATATATTCTATTCAAGCACAAACAGCATTTGAATAGTTAATCGTATGTACTAAAGAAAATGAATAAATAAGCTCTAAAATAAAAGAAATTCCATTCTAAGCAAAAATTTAAGTTTTAGTCTCCGTGAAAATACCTATGGTTTAGGAGAAATTCCTGGAATGTGAAAAATTAATTTATCCACCTTATATTCTATAATTAAAAAAAACAAAACGAGATGGATTCAATTTTATGTAAATATATATGTATCAAAAACCAAAAAATCTGTCCACTATTTTAATTTTAGTAGTTATAATAGAATCACAATTCCATATTTATATGCTTAACAAATAGGTAATACTTAAATGACCATTATAGTACCTACTCATGAAATTCCGACTACTTTTATAGTTTGTTAGCTAACTAAAAACAAACACTGCCCTACTTCATTGTAGAAAGTTTTCTCATGACGTCAAATACTTTAGTACATCAACAAATGATAAGTAGTCGATTACTTTTTGTCAACATATTTATTATTGTTTTAAGAGTTTAATATTTATTAATGATTACAACAAAATTTTTTTTATTTAAATAATACATTTTGCAGTTATAATTTCGTGCAAACTGTTATTCTCTTAATATCCCAAATTAATTAAGTGAATGATTGAAATGAAAACTGAAGTTATCTACTTAATTACTTAACTAAACATAACCTAAGATTAATAATTAAGAATTTTAAGAACACTTTAGTGTAGTGTTTCTGATCATTACTATAATGAGGGCTAGTTACTTGGAGTATCCATTATTTTTATTCTGGGGATAGCTTAATTGGTTCAGTTGTCAATAATGATAGTTGTCTTCATTTTACCTGGAGGTTGTCATCATTAAGAATAAATGAAGAATGAGTAAAGAAGATGGAAAAACCTGTAAGGGTTCTCTCCCTGTGCTTTTTATTTCAGCTATTGTGTTGGTTATACCCAGTGCTAGCAAGAGATAATGGTATGTGTTAAGTTTAATTTTTTTTTATCACTTACATTATCAAATTTTATATAATACATATTTTCAGGTTGTCATCTCATTAGCTGTTTGAGATGTGATGAAAATAATTCTTCAAAATGTACCAAATGCAGTCAACTTGTTTTGAGGTCACAAGATTGTGATGAAAAATCTTGTCCACCCGGTTATTTTTCTCGCTGGACCTCACTTTCAGATTATATGTCTTCTGCATGTCTTGGTAAAACTCTAATTTACATTTTCTTTTTTAAATACAATTAATTAGCAAAGTATAACCATAATCAAAGTTACACTTACACTTGGGGTAAAATCTTAAGACTACACCAAATTTTTGAGTCATCAATCAATTTTGGAATGAACTAATAAAACTGAAATTGTTTTTCGAATGAAACTTTATAACAAAAATAAATTAAACAATACAGTATTTGAGGGAAACAAGAGAAGTAAAATATTGAAATAAAATGAACTATATGTAGCAAAAGGAAGTAACAAAAATGAAATAGTGAATCATAATATACTTAATTTTTTTTTTTTTCATATAATGCATCCTGAATTTCAAGAAACGTTTGACCATTAATGGCTTTCTTTTAATAATTTCTTCTGACTCCTTAAATGGTTCATTATCCCAAAAACTTTTCAGTAGTCCAAAAAGGCTTTATTATGAATATTTGAGTGCTTTAGATAACCTTTTTATTGGACTGAAGTGTGAAGATCTGTGCTTCTTTGTGTTACATGTGTTTTTCAATTGATAATACCAATGTAATTCAAGATATATTAAAAGAAAAAATGTCATTTTTTGTATTTTTGAGAGCTATTCGTTACATTACTCCAGTTTTGATCATCCATTAGCATTAATTGAAATTTTAATTGTATATTATGCAAATGCCCTTGTAATTGAAGCAGTGCCCTTTCCATATCTACCGTAGTAACAGAATCGTATATTCCGAATGAAGATGAATTAGTGGTGCCATTATTTGTGGAAGTAAGCCCAAAACAGTATTCTTTCGTTCCATACTAGTCAGGCATTTGAGATTTACATTTTATAGTTTTCCTGTTAATTTATTTTAAAATTTGTAGTTCAAATGTGTTTGGTATCCATAATCCTTCTTCCGTGGCATTATTTTTTTTTTGTTAAACAATTTGTCATTTTCATGACCTTCACTAGTGTTTTTAAATTGTGTGATTAACCAAAAGATTAAATTGCTATAGATTATGTTAATAATTTGTCCATTTATTAATGATACGAATATTTCAAACATCTTTTCTCCAATTCAAATAAGAATTTTAGTTTGTTTTACCATACCATAATCAATTAATATCTTTGTAAATGAAAGATGAACTCGTTCTTAGTCCCACTTCTTTAATCAATAAATATCTTATTAATGAAAATCAGAAACTGTTCCATCATAGCAAACTGAAATAGACCTCGCAAGAGATTTATGGAAACAGAGTATCATAAAATATAATCTAAATGAGAGGTTATTGCACCTGTAGTATTACATTTTATATTTATGTTATCTTAAAAAATAAACAATAGCAGATAGTCACATATTGGGTTGTGGTAGGAGGTGATTTGACCGAGATCATGCTCAACTGCAAGGTTTGTCTTCTTAATCAATAGAGGCTGGGTGTGCCACAGGAGGATCTACATAACCAGGGTCACCCCACGGCCAATGAAATAGAATAAATCATTTTTCTGTCATTAGCCGGGATTCGAACCTAAGACCTTTAGCATTGGACGATCAGTATCCTACCACTGAGCTTCCCCACTCCCTATAAATGAATGAAAAATAATTTTATTCTGGTACTAAAATCCTTTAAGCATAATGGCAAATTTAAATAAATATATGCATTAGTCTGCCATGTAAAAATAAAACAAATTTACAAAAAATAAAATAGTAATTGTCAAATAATTATTAATAAGCAATTGTAATTACAAAATCTAAATTATATAGATGAGGTGTAAAAGTGCAGGAAGTAAGACGAAAGCAGAGTTTGATCATTTAATTATTATTAGCTTCGCTGCTGCCCTTCTCTGCCTTGTCAACCAATACAGATGCTTGTTGCCAGGGCTCATCTCTTCGCTCAAGTATATTCTTTCGTCATTGTGCCTGCCCAGATGTCTTGTTAAAAAATCTCTTTTAACTTCATGTGGGTGAATGATCTCATCACGTACCATCTTGTGGACGAACCGCACAACGATTGACAGTGGCTGAGGGCCCTCTCTTCTGGTCTTTTTTTCTTCCTGCAAAATCCAGGTCCTCAATTCTCAGTTTCATTCCCAGAGCTGCCCCTATGAAACAAACTAGGCTCTCTGTTGTTTCTCTCGGATTAGCCGTGATACCCCTTATTTCTAAGTTTTTTCCTAGCTGGGCTTGTTCTGTTGGTTTAAGACTAGTATCGAGGACATTTATTTGAGATTATAGTTTTATTCTCAGTTAGTAAATTTTTCCTTGTTCAAGTGCAAACTCCTTTATCTTTCTAAGTCTCTAGCTATTTTCAACCACTAGGTGACACTGCTAGCGATAGCTTTAGCTCTTTAATATCCCTAGCAATCTTTCTTACCTCGGCCATTATAGAGGTATTACTCTCATATGAAATTTCAGTGACCGTACATACCCATCACTAACTGACTCGATCCATCTATTCATCTCTTTGTCAACATTTTGGCTTCAACATTCCTCAGATGAATAACTTTCTTTATTCATTATTCATTTCCAGTATACCATTGCAATTCATAAGTTAATTTTATGAATTAATAGTACGCTGCCATCATACAATTTTTTTTCCTATATTCATAAATATTTTATAATTTTTTTTTGTGTATAAGGACATTTTTAATTTATTTTACTTGAAAGTTGAAGAAAGGTTATTTTATTATACAAATATTATAAATTTAGAATTTTATTTTAGTAATTTGATACATTACTTTCACACGATATATGGACATTAACATACCTTGGCATGAGAAAATGTTCTACTAAACCTCTCAGATCAGACAACAGTAATATTTTTTATTGAGAGTGCTATAAGAGTGCTGGAACAAACATTTGCTAAAATTTGTGATAAGTAATATTTACATTAGGCTTATCCTTTTTTTGTCCTGTTAACCCTTTTCTAGTCATGTTTACTCCAGTTCCCATGATTTTGAACTTCAAATCTGACATCATTTCTTGTTAGTTTGAGATAAAACAATAGTTGGTTTACCTAATTAAAGACTTAATCTGTTATTTTGGCACTATTTGGGCATCGATTTGGAAGGTAAACATGTTGTTATCTTCATTTAAAAGTCCCCTGCCTTCTGGTGGAGTAACCAGTTTACAATTTCTCTGGATCTGTACCCTTGTACAATACATTTTTACGTATACACAATAAAAGAAATCATACATGTTAAAAAAATCTGTAATTGAACTCAAGTTGAGCCCTCTAAATCCATTTACTAGAACTAGGTTTACATTACCCCTTTGATGAAAATCATCAAGGGAACTACATTTCCCAAAATCTATAATCGCTGCAAAAATTTTATAGAACCATAATTTCCACATTTTCAAATCTATTCCATCATCAGAAGCCCAGACAAAAAAAAAAAAAAAAAAAAAAAAAAACTAAATCACTTAATAAAACTACTTAATTCAACAAGTACAGATTTAATAGTTAAAGAAAGATACCTTTGTTCAGGGAATATTGATCTTTAAATTCTGATATTAATTTTAATATTTGTAGTAGTCTAAATTGGATCTTAATATTTTACCGTGGATAGGGCCAAAGCCTTCTCTCCACCATCAGGTACCTGTGATTATTTCTCTATTCTGATTGAGTAAACATAATGAGTGAAAGTTTATATGTGTTTCCTTCAAGCCATTATAACTTTAACAATTGCTAGTATTATCCAGGAGTCAGATAATCTTAATTCTCCTCCCTATCCACTTACTGATATAACTGTAATGTACCTCTATAGTTTATATTTTTCCCTGTATAACATAATTAATGTTCTTTATAATATTTTCAGAAAACCCAGGTTCTAATGGTCTTACTGGAGAAGTTGTTGGAGCTGCTGTTGGCATATTTCTTTGTTTAGGCACTGCTGTTGCTTTTGGATTTTATTGCAAGTACATACAAAAGCGTAAAAGTAGTAAACATCCTCCATCTATCACTCATTCTACTCAGAGTCAGTACTTCAGTAAGCACAAAAACTTTACTAACATTCTACATAACCCTCTATTCGTTTCTTTTAAAATATTGTATATGTGATCCTTTTTTATATCTTTCTTTGTTTTCCTGGAGATCATTCTCCATTAACTCCTAATAATGTAATTTTTTAAAATTAGCTTGTTTAGGAAATGACAGAAGATAAAAAGAGGGGTCAAAATAAAACTCATTATTACTGTGGTCATAAAAGAGAGGGGTCATGAACAATTGAAATTTAACCTTTTTATTATTTTTTTTTGTTTTTAATGTTCAGGCTAGTCCTTAAATTCACTGTAATATTTATGTAGAATTTTTATTTTTTTTTCGAAAACGTCACATTTAAATTTTATGCCACCCATATTGAGTTCTATGTTTCATTGTAAAACAAAAAAAATTAATAAAACTAACGGATGTTAGTTAATAAAGTACACATCATGAAAGTGAAATGTGTAAAGGGTAAATTTTTGTGTTTTGTCGCTGTGCAAACAATAGGAGAAATAAGTCCCACCTTATATCTGCTAATGTCAACTTTTTATAAACAACTTTTTTTTAGAGCCATTTTCACTATTTTACTGAAACTGTTTCACAATTTTACTGAAACTGTTTCACAATTTTTACTTTCACTTACCTATATATGAAATATATAATAAGTAAGAAAAGTATTGCGATAATGAAAATTTTTTTGAATCTGAATTTTAAACAGAAATACATGTTTTGAGGTTCCCTGAGTCAAAATATATCAATTTAATGTAGTTGATGAACAGAAAAAAACATGGTAATTAATTAATTTAAATGAAGTTACAGTGTAAAATTAAGCATTTTCACTTATATTCTGTATATCTATTCAAAAGTTGGTAAGTGAAAGTTGTGTGATGGGTGCACAGCAACTGATTTGTTTTTGTTTTAATCAACCAAAAGTAATTCTATCCTTAAAAAAACCCAAAAAACTTTGTTTAATTAATTTGAAAACATTTTTATTATTCTGAAATACTAATCAATATAAACATGATTATTGTACTAATGTCTTAACCTAAGATTAAAGATGACTAAGAAATAAAGTAAACAATTTACTTTTCACACATTTTGATTGTTTTAAAAGTTATAACAAATTTCTTTTATTTAAAGTAAAATATTTATAGATGTAAAGATTAGTAAGAGAATAACTAGATAAATTTTATCCTAATTAAATTTTGTGGTGTAGTAGTGCTTTAATTGTTTATGAAAATGTAATAAAGCAGAAAAATATTGCAAAATTATTTAATTCAGAAAAACTTTAATGATGTGAAAATGTTGTAACGATATATTCTTATTCACCATTATCTTTTATTATTATTAAGAAATTCAATTACTTGAATCATGGAAAATAATTAACTTATAAATTTACATGTTAATAAGAATGTTAGCTCATTTAAACTTATATTCATTCAACATTTATCGAAAATAAAATTCATTTTTCATCACTTTAATAAAATAATAGTTACAATTATATTATAAGCATGTTTTTTTCTTACCACTCATATATTTTGATAAAAAAATGTAAATTTTTTAATATTATCGTTTAATTTTCGAGGCATAAATGTTAAAAAGATGTACAGAAAAATTAAAACCTTCACTATATATAATACGGTAGTATAGATAGATCCCTTTTCAGGCTCTCAGGAGCGATGGTGTTATGTTTTCAATAAACACACTTCTTGAAGTACATTTATTTTATTCATTACAATGAGAAATCGAAAAAAAAGATTTTGAAACTCCTCATCAGAGAACACATGGCATTGTATAACCTTTTCTTCCAAAGAGGTACTCAAAACCCCTTCCTCCCCAGAGAGGATTTAATTTAAGATGAAATAACAATAAAGAATTAAATAAATTTGTTTCATTGTCAACTGTCAATAATTGAGGCATCTGCCATACTTTGGTAATTTATTTTTGCCCCTTTCAAGCACGCACTTCCTTCTCGGTCTTCTTATAATGGGCACCTCGGAAGGTGACACAGTCTCCGGCGGCCGGTCAGGCTCATCTGTGCCAGGCATCTCTGGCTCTGGTTCTTCTGGGCCAGGCACCTCTAGCTGAGGCTCATCTGGTCATGGGAAATCAGACAACTCCTCCGACTCCAGTACCTCAGGATGCAGGCTGATGGGCAACTTCCTTGACAACTTTTTGTCAGGGATCTTGAAAAGTTGTTCAATGTACCTTATATGTTGCAGGCCAAGGATGAGCTCCTTTATACTGTATGACAAAGGGCCTGTCTTTCCTATAACAGCCAAAATCCATTTAGGCCCTGAGACCCGGTAGTTCTTCATTCTGGCAATGTTCCCTACCTGAAGCTCTCTGGAGTTGGCAGGCGTTGTCAGGTCCAAGGTCTCTCTTTTCTCGTCAAATGGAGAGACTATATCCAAAGCTGTTCGAAGTCTTCTGCCGAACATCATATCACCAGGCTTCATCTTCGTTGCATTTGATATCGTCGTATGCAACTTCAGCAGGGGTCTGGCAAGTCTCACTCCCCAGTCACTTTCACTTAGCTTCTTAACGCTGAGCTTCACTGATAGAATTATAAGATGTCCCATTGCTGGAAACTATGTATCGTGGGAGTCCAAAAGTAGCGAAGAGTTTCCTTTACTCCAAGTACTGGAACTTCCCACTTGAGCATTCGATATTAATGAAGACTTCAATTTCAATGCCGGGCCACCAAACGTGAGAACTGGCCAAAGCTTTAGAAGCTATAGTGCCCGGGTGGTTCCCATGAAGAAATTTTAACATATCGTTTCTCAGGCTTGTGGGAACGGCGACTCGATTACTCCAGAGCAGACAATTTTTGTAGATTGAAAGTTCCGTTCTTTTCAACCAAAAATTATGAAATTGATTTTTTATTTTGGAGGGCCAATTATTCTTAATCCAAGCTGAAATTTTCTTTAAAAGGGATCTTTGACTGTGGCCTCCACTGTCTCAGGCGCATTAATGGGACATCTAGTGATTCCTTGAAGCATCATTACTGAAATAGATTCTTCTTTAATTTCATTTTTAAGTGATTGCCTTGAAAGAATATCAACATTATGATGCTGTAAAGCCGGTCAATATCGTAATTCGTAGTCATAAGAGTCTAGGATTTGACGATAGCATTTGTGCTTCATAGAGATGACATCAGGCATCTTCTTATGTGGATTAAAAATTACCAAAAGTGGCTTATGATCTGTGTAAAGTATGAATTTACGGCCCGATAGGTATTGATGATAAGTTTTAGCAGCATTGATAAGTCCCAAAGCTTTTTGATCAAGTTGAGAATGATTTCTCTGTGTCTTGGTTAGCATATGTGAGCAGTAACCACAGGGTCTTTAGGTGAGGAAGGTGAATACAAAGATTTTATCAATGAATAGGTCTCTTCTCTCACACTCATCAATATAGTTTTTCTAATATAGTAGTTTTGCTTGACACCTATTTTGCTCCTCCAGAAAACTTCGTTCTAACCACCTAAAATCAACTTAGAATAGAATTAAAGAAAAGAATGTCTCAAAATCATTCATTGGAGTAATTTTTTGAGTAAAGATCTAGAAGATTCTTAAAACGAATAGAACAAGGTATTGGTATATTGATAAATTTGTAGAATGATTTTATTTTAAAATTTATTGATGTTTCCTATGAGTTTTTTTTTTTTTTTTATGAATTTATGAAATTAGATATTTATTACCTGTTAATGCATTTTTAGAAATTTACATTTTCTTAAAATTTGTGTTGACCAACCCAAGATTAAATAAAAAAACTTTATGCTAAAAAAATCGGTACTTTTCCGTTAGCCAGGCACAAAAAAAATGTAGAATTCCCCCAAAGTTCTTACAAACATAAGATTCTTTCTTACAACCATGTTCATTTAGGGCTATGTGTTCTATTCTCTGAATTCATTCAAAACAAAGCGCATTTTTCTTTTTTCTTCAATATTAATTTTTTTTTTTTAAATGTGAAAATTTGGAATTCAGTCATAACTGAAGAAGATGCAGTCTCTTTTTTTCATGATAAAGGTATATTGGCAAAGAATGCGACACGAGTTTGAATCATGAAACAAAACTGTTTTATTGTGATGGAGCACATTGGTGTTGTAATCTTTCAACATGCCACATGAAGAACAGCATTTGCAATGGTTCGTGGTTTGAATCATCCAGATTGAGTTTTCTAACATCTGGATGTTGAGATTTATTTACAGCTGGAGCGAAGAGATAACATCAGTCAAATGTTGTAAAAAACATCTAGATATAAATCACAATTGGCGTCATTTTCGCCAGGCTAATGGAAAAGTACCAAAAAGTCATACTTGTCTACCTTTAAACAATTTAAAAATTTAAACAATTTTTATTTTTGGCTCATTCTACAAGTTATTTGTACTTTCCATGATGTAATCTGGTTGAATATACTTTTAAGTTGAAATATCAAATTCAACTGCTATTGAGCATTCAGAAGAATGGATAAGAAGAACAAATCAAAGTTCATTATTTTTATTAATCACATTTCTTTAATGTTTAAAATGATTTTCATATAATAAAATCAAATTGTATTACAAAATTTTAAAGTTGATTTCCTTTAATTTCATTTATGTTTCTTTAATTCTTTTGTTAATGTCATCTCAACTAGTTTTTATATTATAGGTAGTGAAGAAAGTGAGCGTGAAGTTTTGGAATATCTTAGAGAAATCAGAGAATTAAGAAAAGAAGCTCCAATTTTTTTAGATATGTTAAATGAGACAAGACGCCAAGTCAGAGCCTTGCCTTCTTATTCAGCTCTTCAGCCTTATAGGTACCATTTTTAATTTTTAATAACATTTGTTATTTCCTTTACTCAGTTAAGATAATGATTATCTTTTATTTTCATTTATTTTTTAAATTTAAAATGTCAATTATATTTTTACTGTACCTTTATCTTAGCCCACAACTTGTTTATTGGTTTCCTCATAGCCTCAACAACCTATTAGGAAGTGCTTCGAGGAATGTATAACTTAATAGCTTCTTTACTAGGGGTGTAGATCTAAAGACCCTTAAGTGGCTGCCCCACCAACTGATTCATTGCTGAAATGAAAGTATCACAAAATCTCAAAAAAAAAACCTTGGGTTTAAATCGTAAGCAGTGAACCTGCGGCCTCTAGGACGTATGTGGCCTCCAAATGTTTTTGTGCAATATTTATTAATCTAGGACTAAAATTAATTAATCCACACATATATTATCTCAGTAAGGCTCGAAAGGCTTCCCTTGGTTGTGGCCATGATTATATGAAAGATTACTTAATTCCCTACAAAAGGAAAAAAAAATTGAAATCGGACAATTTTTAGCAAAGATACAGCTTACTGAAATTTGTAAACATGTTGGTTCCAAACAAAAATTAAGATTTAAATTAATTTTTTTTTTGTCGATTATATTTATCGATTAAGTAACATTTGATTTCTTTATCTTTTGATACGTTACATTATTTTATTTTATTTTTAATTGTGCATTTGATAGCAATATGCTGTGCGAATTTTTATCACAGGCCTACTAGTATTTTATTATTTAAGTAATAACAATTTGGAAATTCATAGAATTAAGTTGAATATATGTATGTGGATGTCGGTATTTAATGAGCCATCAGTATAACAACTAATCCTATTAATGGGTTTATGTTTTCCTGAAGTGTCTATGTTTACATCATAGTTCCTTGTAAGAAATTCTCTGACCTGATTGTCAGAGTGCATTACATACAAGCACCCCATCTTCCTAAACTCTTTGAAATATTTTCCAGTGTCCCTCATAGTTAAATATCGTAGGACATAAGTTTAGTTTATCTAGCCTATAAAAAGTTTTCAGGGCTTGTGATTCTATCTCCAACTGCATGGCGATGAAACCCTAACATTACCTCCATAGCAGCAGTCAGGATAGTTATCATTAGACAGGCAAACCTTTGTAGTTTCTCCAGCTGTATCCTGTTGAATCCATTATTTGCTCTCTGCCACCAGACAACAGCTGAATTATAAGTGCATTGATCTAACCGCTTGATCATACAGCCAGTAGACCTTTCGTGGTTCCAACCTCCATGATTTTACAACAGCATTTTTACAAGCACATAGGCATTTGAATGCTTTATTAGTTGTGTTTTTCACATGGCCATTCCATTATAGTTTATTGTCCAGTGTAACACCTTAATGCTTCACCTCTTTACTGGAGGTTAGCTGGTTCCTGTTAATTTTGGGTTGCTTTATTGCCACCTTTTTCTTCAATTATGAAAATATACCCATTTATCTTAGACGGATTAACGCCCACTCCATTGGACTGACACCATTTCCCCAAGATTCCTGTCGCAGTCTTCACGAGATCAGAAAGAACATTCTGTTGTTTCCGCCAATGAGGATAGGGATATCATCCTCATATTCCTGCTCATAAAAGGCACCACAGTATTGGAGAAAGAACACCTCTCTGATCCATCTGGTCACCAGGGTTCAATTTTCTTTATCCTTAAGGTGTCCATGATGATGTTGTAAGGAGTCCTATTGAAGGTGCTTTCAATGTCAACAAAGGTGCCAATTATTATTTCCTTCTGACTGATGGATTTTTTAATCCTAGAGACCAGATTTTGTAATGCACGATTTACCATGTTGATACGCAAATCGATTTTTGTGTTAAGAATTTGGTCAACAATTGTTCCAACCATCCATCTGGAAATCTTTACCGTAACAATGAATGCCTCAATAGAAGGAAAAAGACCTCATGGAAGGCCCAGTTGATATATAAAATCAGCAAAGATGCAATAGAGCTGCGTGCAGATAACTGGACAGAAATAGCTCAAGGCAGGCAGAGATGGAGCAGGCTTGTTAAAGTAGCAAAAGATCTCCATGTTCTGTAATGCCAACAAAAAAAAAAAAATTGTTTTCTTTCTGCCTGTCCAAAATCTTTTCCCGAGTTTACTTTGCGTTACACATATTTCATAAATAGTATGAAGTAAATGTAAAAATATGCCGAATAATTGCCAATGCAGGTCCAATTTATTTTTAGTTTTGTAGAGATTTTAATTATCTTTCAAACAAGTACTAATAATGGTATGGAGATAGTTGACCGTGGATTCCAATTTCAGAAGTTAGTCGGGAGGGTGCGGTAAAAAAATACTATACAATATAATAGTATATTTTATTACATTGACCAACATTTCGACTTACGTTGTAGGTCTTCTGCAGGACATCTGTTTGGCACTGCTGAAGGTAGTATCATAAATATAGTATTTTTTTTACTACACCTCACAATTAACTAACTTCTGAAAGTACCATTAATGTTTTTAGGAGAGGCATAGTTTTTTAGTTATTTGAAGTTTCTTTCTTTTTTTAAAAGTTTTATAAATTTTTCAAACACAGCATTATTGCACATTTATAGCAGAGAGGAACTATCATTCAAAATTTCAGTTTCATAGGAATGGTCATTAATGAAATACAGTGGTCACTAAGTTAGTGATTGGTTGAATAAAACTTTCTTTTATAAGAATAAATGAAGATGAATGGCTCTAAGGTTGTTTGTTCAAGGTGTTGTTGGTGAACAACATTTACTCGAGATGAGAGAAAGAAATTTTTAGGAAAATTTGAATAAATTAGAAAAAAACCTATCGTATATACTTGAGATAATAATTTCATCTTATTAGATTATAATTAGTGCAATTAATTGTTGTAAAAATTTGTATACTAATGTAAAGTTTTTATGTTAACAACTGCTGGTGGTACTGGTATCACACCTCGTGACTTACTTAGTCTTTTTATTATAATTATTATTTTCAAATTATTTAAATATTTTAATAAAACATAGATATTATATTGATATTTATATTAAAATATTTATATTTAATATTTATATTTTAATAAAACATAAGTATTGAATCAATATGATTTATTAAGTTAAAATGATTTTATTTAAGACCAGTGCTAAAAGATCTCTCTCGAATCCTTATTCTTCTGAATCGTCCTGATGGAAGTTTGACACATCCTCCTCCTGATTGGGAAACATTGCTTGCTTGGGCTCACCGAATTCTTAATAGATACAAAAAGCATCACTCCAATCATGTGAGTAATATTCTGATTAATTTTCACTATATATTTTTTGGCCTCGGATTTGTATGATTTTGCCTTTCAAAACAGTAATACACTATCTAATTTCTGTTAAAATTGAATGTTTGTCTTAGAAATAGCCATTTTGCTGTTTTACCACTATTGGATAAGGAAATTATTATAATTAAATAAAATTTTGATGCAAAATTTCATTGAGTCTTAGTGTTTCAGTGTTTTAATCCACCCAGACTGGATTCGAACCAGTGTCACTAGACTTGAGAATGTTAAAATGTACTAAGATGCTTGGCCATGACCACTATTCACTTGAAATCAACAACAGAATACAGTTTAAATTAAATTTTTGAAAAGTCTAAACAATTATAATCTCATAAAAATAGAATAAATTTGATTTCCCTTTTCAAATGTTCACTGCCCACTACATTTCATAGCCATTATTTTCTTAACAGTTACTTACGCTTGCGCAAACACATTTTGGTAGATATGCCAATATTTCAGAAACTGCTCGTTCGATTTGGCTCAAAGTCGGATAAAAGGTAGGTATTTGTGAAAAAATAATGTAGGGTTAATTTTATTGAATTCTATCCATTGCTTTCTCTTATGTATGTGCAAGCGTATCTTCCTTGATATACCCATATCTCTAAAATCGCAAGTTCGATTTGGAGGGAATTTAGGATTAGTAAACGTAAAATGAAATAGGTATCAATTTTATCAAATTCTATCTACTACTCCAAAAAAAAAAAAAAACTTCCACTTTTAGATCAGGAAATGCCTTATTTGATATTTCTATAGTTTGAAAACGACGCATTCGATTTGGCCCAAACTTGGAGGAAATTTGGAGAACAGTAATTTCATTGAATTCCGTTTAATAATTAAAATTAATATAAATAATTGTTAACAATATAATGGCTGTGTAATGTTGAAGGCACTGATCATATGGAGTGGGAGTTAGGTTATTATAATATTGTTATGGGACTATAAAATTTTAGGTTTTATTAAAAAATTAATAGATACTGTATTGTTTGGTCGATTCCAAACATTACTGCCACGACACTTACTTTTGCAGTTACTTAGATTTCGTGTAATTTTCAGTAAATTTAAAGTAATTTTATTCTGACTTTGTAAACAAAAAAAAGTCTTAATTGTGATTGTGTTTATTTCCATTGAAGTTCAACCGGTTTGTGTTGGTCTTGATTTCCTCCTTAAGTATGGAAGTTGTGTGAACTTCACCCATATTTTTGTATTAAAGTTTAATTAGTTTTGTTCTGACTGAAGAAAAGTATTGGTCTCATTAACTCCGAGCAAACAACGAGTTGAATTTTTCCTATGGATTTTCTAGTTCCATCCATTTTACAAACTGAAAACGTACCTATTAAGTATATATTACTACTATTAGTGCAAAAGGTCGTATGTAAAAATTTTCAACTTTTATTCTATTTGTGCTAAAGGTGAAATTTTGTAGTCTGCACCTGATATAAGTAGTCTGCTACTGTGGAAAATAGCAGAGGACAATAAAATATGAAATTATGCGAATAAAGCATAAAGAAATAATGAGTTTTTACATACAACCTTTTGCACTATCATAAGTGAAATGCATGTTCAGGATGCATTGGTATTTTTTTTTTAAATTAAGAATAATCAATATGGAATCTTCAAATACTTCAAATACGGCACTCTTTAGTAATTAGCTGATAAACGAAATTCATGGATATCAAACCCGCGAATGGTGAAGGGTGACTGTATTTCCGAATTGGCTTCTCCCAGAGATTTTATTCTCATAAAAAAAATTGTATACCTTGTAATATAGATATATTTTAGCCAATGAAAACGGTGAGGAAGTTATAGGAACTGTCCTTACTTGGCAGACATTTTTAAATATAAATTAAATTTTTACTGTGTAATCAAAGAAACTTTTGTGGGCTGGATTGGTGGGTGGTGCTCGTGGACCGGGCCTTAGTTTGGAAAATCCTGATTTATAGGATAGTTTTAAATATTAAATTAGGTGTAAAAATAAATTAGTTTGATGGACCAATATGACCAGACATAGGGCATAGGGTAAGGGTCAAGGGATTAAGGTTGGTGTGAGGGTCTCTGTGCCATTGTGGATGACTTGGCCCCCCCCTATAAGGTCCTCTACTTTTCATATTGGTGCTGGATCAAGTGCTGAGGAGAGCTGAATCCAGATTACAGTACTTTCAGGTAGGGCGTAGGAGCTTGCAGCCTGCTTTTGCCGATGACTTCATCATAGTGGAGTTGACAACAGGGCAGGAAGTGTGAGACTAAGCTCCATTCTGACCCAGCTAAAAACGAGAGTTTTAGTGTCAAAAGCAAAGTCGGCTGTGTATAGAGTATGAACCGAGTGTTCGGGAGTATCTGCAAAATTCTGAACAAATAGAACCGACTATCTGCGAGATATCGCCGGATAATGGGAGAAGTAGTGGCCACGTTCAACGAAGGTTAGTCGAGCACGTGGTTAGAACGGCACATGGAGACCACAAGGCGAGAGATAAATAGACAATTGATAGGTGAGAAAAGCACATGGTGGCCACGCGGTTAACAGGTTAGCAGAGCACGTGGCCGCCACAGAGCGTAAAGGTTAGGTGAACACGTGGTTATAAACAAGAACATAGGTTTTAAGACCAAATGGCCACCACAAAAAACAGGCCAGGCGGAAAATAGGTCAGAAATGTAAGGCGACCCAAAATTCTCGAAAAGCTGAGTAACAACGGCGGACACTGCAGAAAAACGGTACCGTAGGTGTCCATACGAAATCTGAAGGTTCTAAGCCAAATGATTGCGGAGATATCAACGGATAACAGAAGGAGGTAAAGCTGCGGAAAGCTACCATGCGGTCCCAACGAGATTGGGAATCGAGAAGGTCTAGTTGATAAACCTTCTTGTGGATTTCAAGGAAGTAGTCATGGTCCGAATCTTTAATCTTACTCTACACGATTATCACAAATTATAATTCGGAAACAGGGCATCACAAAGCACTAAGCATATTAGCGTGGTCATACAGAAAGAGGTGTAAGATAAGTAATATGTTGAAAGGCGGTCAGAGGAGCCTCACCCCACCAGGTACTTCTATTACTGAAGAGAGCTCCTCAGAGAACAAAATGTCCCAGAGAAATAAGAAGAATGTGAGTCAATGTTACTTATTAAAGAGGTAACACAAAGAGGATTAGAGCTTAAAGCACAGATAGGGAATAAGCTCGAAAGATGAAAAATAAGCTCCATTAATCTTCAAAGATTGTTCACACGCCTAGAGTCAATGATGGATTATGTGAGGTTCCGCGTTGCCCAAATAAGTGGCCAGTTGGAGAAGACATAGGCACTCAAAAGAGAAAAAGTTAATTGGGAAATGATTCCAATGGAAATCGTCCGAGCAGTATTGCAGAACGAAGAATTCCTTGGCCGTATTGAACAGAGAGTGACCTCGGGTGTCATGATAACTTTTGGAAGGGCTCTTGAAAAGAACACATAGGGAACACGAGAGAAGAACCAGTTAACTCTGAAAAAGGGAGACGAGGTTTTGACGAAGACTGAGGACTCCTCAGATCGCTCAATAGTACATCTTTCGGAAGACCCTACTTCTAAAGCGAGAGTAAATGCTGAAACCGGAAGGAAAAGGTGAAATATCAGGACTCAAACTCATTTCTTCATGAGTTGGAAGATGAAAAAATGCACCTTGGTGAGACGAAAATGAAGAAGGAACTAAGTGCCATCTCGGCACTACAGGATGAGGAGAAAAGGATTGAGAAAGTTGGAAAGTAGAACATCAGAAGCTTGCATACTCAGGTATATTAAGGAGAATGACACTTTGGCGATAGTGATTTCTTGGGAGAGTGTACATGAATGAATGAACCGTGTTTATTGTACAAAGTAAAATACATATAGACAAGCAAAAACACATAGACAATGGAAAATTCCATCTCTCGAGGTCTGTGTATAATTCATAATAAATATTTATTACATTTATAACTAAAATAAATATACCTCTACTCTAGCAATTTCTTCCTTCACTGTTTCATTTGTTTAAATAGAGTTTTAAAAAACTAACATTAATACCTTATAAATCCAATAAATAAGGAATTTGATTTCAACAATAATAATAACAATCGAATACAATACAACAATAAAAACAAACGTTACAATAAATAAACACAATATTCTACCAATGGTTCACTAACTGATTAATTGAGATCTTTGCTATGTGGCCTGCTGTACATTGCTTAAGACTTTCCAGTTAGAACCCTTTAATAAACCAAATAATTCTTCTGGAGAACAGTTCTGCCACCCAAAATATTTTACCTTATCTCACTGTACATGTGACAAGTCCCTAAAAAGTTAATGATATCCTCTTTTTCTTGAGAGTTATGTACCGGACAGTTACAGTTGCTTTCAACCATCCATGGTTTTACGCTTAAATTGAGCAATTCAGTCCTACATCAAAAAATTGACCCTTTAGTCACAATGTCAAAACTATCATTAAGATAGGGTGTAAGTAACAGTGTCCACTGAACATAGTCATGTGTAGATAGAAAAACTCGAATGAAGACATTTTTGAAGATTATTTTCTTTTTCCTCTACTCTGTGTCTAACAACAGTCAATATTCTGCTCAGATCAGCAAAATTTGCAGTATCAAGATTAATTTTGTTACTATCCTCAAATTCTAACCACTTTCAATACCATTAAACTCTCTTAGTCATCACCTCTTTCTCTTGGATATGTGGCAAACCAAAACCAGGCATATTAAGACTTTCAAAATCTAGTCAAAATAAATTTGAAGAGTATATAGAGAGAGGCGAGACTGGTTTCGTGTGTCAAAATATAATTAGGTGCTATGTTGGGAGATACAGTCATTTTTTTACAAAGTATCTTTTAAATTTTTCCAAAACTTCGTATGGCTCAAAACTCCAAGCCTGCCTAGCATAACCAATCACCGCCCAAGAGACTGAATCATAAACCACTAGTTTACTTGAATGGGGAGCATTTTTGTTAGCTATGAAATTATGTCAAGTAGAATTTAGACCAAATTTTACATGACTAACTCTTGAAAGTGGCGCCCTAAGACCAATCTTGGGATAATGATAATACCTACATATTTATATTAATTTACTACTTCAACTGGTTTTCCTCCAAAGTTCCACCTCTCAAATTTGAATAGTCTATCTCCATTGCGGAAAACTATAATTTTTGACTTGGCCAAATTTATATGCAAATTCTACATTCGGCATTAATTCCCCAAGTGATTTATCATACACTGTAATTTAACTGGGAAAGAGTCTAGTAGTACTACGTCATCTGCATACAATAAACATCTAATATTTACTCCTGCGATTTCTAGCCCTTCTTCCAAATTTTCTTGCAAATCTTTTATGAACAACACAAATAGTACAAAACCTGACTGATGTTCGGGGACTGATGTTTCGAAAAAGTCAGTTAGTCCTTCTTTATGATATACAGCAGCTTTAGTATTTTAATGTAAGCCTCTTATGATATTCAAAAATTTATGAGACAGCCCATGATAGGCAATTTAAAAAACAGAGACTCCCTATCTATACAATCAAACACCGCTTTAACATCAATGAAAAATGCATAGACTTTATAACGATCTTTTGCCAGAGTCAATTTGATATCACTAAACAAGCTGAAAATGTGGTCTTATGACTTTTTGTCTTATGACTTTTTCGAAACATCAGTCCCCGAACATCAGTCAGGTTTTGTACTATTTGTGTTGTTCATAAAAGATTTACAAGAAAATTTGGAAGAAGGGCTAGAAATCGCAATTTAATATGTCATTTGTGTTCACCCAGTTCCACAAGCGTCCAAATAAAATTTCAGTTAATAATTTTGTAATTACATTAATAAAAGATATGCTTCTGAAATTTTCCACGTTATGGACATCCCCTTTTTTGAATAACGGGTAAATGACTCATTTAGTGAAGCTCTGTGGGATTCTTCCACTATTAAATTAATGATTGAATACGTTAACAATTTGTTGCAATATGCATTATGGGGAATTGTTTAAAAAATGCATACGTCACAGAATCGATTCCTGGCAATGTATTATTTTTTTGCATTAGACCATGTACATTTTAATTCATCGAAGCCGATTTCCCAATCTAGCTCAAAATTTTCCCATTTTGGGGCGGCATAAAATATTTGAGGAGTTTTTATATCAGGATTCAACAATAAATTAAAGTAATGTCTAAACTACTTACCTGTAATATTAGATTCACTAATAAAATTTGAAGTCCTAAATTGGTTTATTAGTGACCACAGATATTTTGCATCTTTAATACATTTAAATTTTTCTTTAAGGGTCTTATACTTATTCCTTATTTTGTTAACTAATTCTTTGTTCTTATTATTTACTCTCAAGTATAGGAATTTGTCATAAACATTTTATTTTCTAATAATATTTAGAAATCTAAAAGATTTATCCCGGGAAAGAGTGTACATATATGTAAGTCAGCAACCATTTTTTATCTACTTTACACAGACGGAGCCTTTATTACTATTTTTTATTCAATCTTTTTGTACTACAGTTGTATAAATTTTAGAAAACATCTATCTGTTAGTATATTTTTATGTATGTTCCTAGGTAAATGAGTTGGTCAGCTTCTTTCATGGAGAACCTAGCCAATACGGTCTGTCTTCTTTTGATTCAAACTACAATACAAGGAAAAAAATAAGTAATGAATTTCTTGATTGGCAGACAAGTTCTCAATTGGATGACTTCATATCATTAGGGTTCAGGCCACAAGATGAAATAACAACTGAACTCTAAATTAATTGGTTACCCATTGTTAGTATTTAATTATTTGTATTATAAAAATTAAAATATCATATAATAAAAATGAATTTATTAAAAATTATTAGTTCATGATGTATTTTTATGGATAATTTTATGTTATACCATAAGTAATTCCCTTATGATACAATTATTACTTTATTAAAATAATTAGTAAATTATAGAATCTGCTTCATTCATATATCGAATATATATATCTTCATATTATAAAGTGTACTGATATATAGTAAGAACCATAATACAGAAAACCATTGCCAGGACCATCATATGGGTTGTTACTGCCTAGGATGAAATTTTACCACTCTCCTCTCTTTCAAATCAACTAGTTGTCTGTTTTCTCTTGTTTGCGAGTTATAATTATTAAACCTAAATATACTTTACTGATAAATTTTGGGTTACTAGACAGCTTGTAATTTCTTAAATTGAAACTGAGGTTAGAAATATTAATTTATACTTGATAACTTCTCACATATGAATGTCTAAACGAAGAAGAAAAGAAATGAGTTAGAAATTGGAATGTAGATAGAAATAAGTTTTCAAATAGATTATGTATTCTGTGTATTTTTGTTCCTTTGTCCCATTCCACATGATGGTTCTGGTCATCATTGCAATATTTACTTGGATGTCATTGTAGCAATACTAAAATTTATACAATCCTTTGTACATAAAACTAAAATTTTACCATTTTTTTTTTTAATATTGGTATTATAATTATATGTTTTAAAAATGCTTCTAATTTATTTTAATATTGTGATTAAGTATTAAGAAAGAAACGTTTTTAATGTAATAACTTGTTTACATACAGTCTGTAACAAAATTTTGTAGACAGCTTTGCATGTTCTGTGTTTTATTTAGCAGTTGCATGAAGCTCTGCCGTAAATAATCCAAGAAAAGTTTTAAGTGCTGAAATCACTGATCATTTTTAAATATCTGTTAAAAAATTAAATACATATTTACATGATATAAAATTTTGCTTAATAATTGAAGGCGAATAGTTGACATAACAAATTGTTTTGGACATGTTTGTTTTTAAAAAAAAAGAACCACTCTACACAATCTTAAATTTGGTCTCTACTCAACCAACTACTAATTTGAAATGAATAAAACATGTTTGTATCTTTCTATTATTTCAGTAATGATTTGAATTTCTTACTGCCAAGATGGGTTGAACATTTTTTTAAATAGAACAAATAATCATTTTTAGTTATAAAAAAAAATTAAGGGACCATAAAATCAGTAGGAAAGTATCCTCTAAATAAAAGTACTGTAGCCCTTATATAATTCAAAGGTACAAGTATTAAGTTGAATTGATTTGAAGAGTTATACTAGCCGTCCAAGAATATTGAGCAATGGGAATGACCTATCATAGCTCAGAAAATTAAAAACTAACCCTTGAAAAAATACTTCAGACTATCTCACTAAAATATTTAGAAAAATAAAATAATTTCATTCACAAAATATGAAGCAAATTATAAAAGCAGCAAGATATAATGCATCTTTTTTTTTTGTTCTTAGAAAATCTGAACAAAGAAAAAACTTTTGCTTTAACAGAAGCTTGATTATTTAGATGATTTTTTGGGTGATGTAATTTCTTGTGATGTATCTAAATTCACTATTTTTGGCTCTGACAGACGTAAAAGGCTGTCAAAATATTGTTACTGACTGTATGTTTCAAAGTTAGTATTTGAAGACTGAGCATTAATATCTGTAAGCTATCTGGCTTCATACCTAACAAAAAAAAAAAAAAAAAAAAAATTGAGTTTGACCTGGTAAATTGATCACTAAATGTGATCACCAACTTCAAAAACTGCCTAAATTCCACAATCATTATTTATTTTTGCTTGGCACTTAACCTATTATTATTGATGTCCAGTCTTCATTTTAGCTTTAGACCAAATTATTGTTTTAGTACAAATACATATTTTTTTCATGAGCTTTAAATTAAATTTTGATTTTAATTATTATATTTAGAAGTAAAAAAGACTTTTACTTTTCATAATATTAAAACAAAATTTTGTGGTTTAAATATGAAATCCACTGCTGGGCTTAATGTTTGTCTGCCTTATGCACTCGAGACTATGTAATTTTGTAAATTTCATTTGTTGATATAATTTAATTTTTTCACTTACTAAAAGCTTTAATTCAATGAAACCATTGAAGTGTTCCTATCTGTTATATATGTTAATAATGTTTTCTTCTATCTTTTGTAAATTAGTGAGAGATATTTTGTGATAAAGTGAGTAATATTTCTACAGCCACGTTGCAAGAGATTTCTATTTTCTTCAACTTTTATGAAGACAGAGATGTAATGTTTCAATTAACTTTTTTGTTTATATTTCTGAATATATGTGAGGCTAAGTGCTTTCAATAAAATTGTTAGTAGAGGCTTTTGCCGCATGGCTGTCAATTTTGGTCAGTTTTTCTACTATTAATGAAACTAATGTATGCCATTAAATATTACATTGTATGTAATGGTGAGCTAATTTTATGGTTACATAAATTCAAAAAAATTATAATTTGAATGCAAACATTTATATTGTATTGTTAATATGACAATACTTGCAAAAAATAAAAATTATGTTTTCAAAAAGAATTTCCATAATTTTATGAACATGGAGTAGTGTAATAAAGAAAATAATGTACAAAGTTCATAATAATAAGTTGTTTTTATATAACTTTTTGTCAATATTTCTTTTAATTAAACTTAAGAAGATTTTTCATCAATTTATCCTGTTTGTTTAAAGTTTAACTGTATCTTGTATAAAAAGGAGATTTTCATATTTTTAATGAAATGTTTTTAGGGCTAGTATCATGTTTGTGGACTGCGTGGTTTTATTTGAACCCAAAAGAGGTAGAGATTTTATAAAAATTTAAAAGTTAACATTAGTTTTCAAAGGTTGATGTTAAACTTCTATAGTATGAGTGTATGTGAATTTAAAAATACACATATATCATAAGTTTGTTATATTTTCTTTTTATTTTGTTAAGGGATTCAATATCTTTAATTTTTCTTGACTGGCATCTTGAAATGATTGTTATTACTAGAACGTTTTTAATATATGCTTATTATTGTTGAAATAATAGTAAATGGATTGTATCTGCAATTACTGGTTCAAAGAGATAATAAAATTAAGCCGGAATAATAGCCTCTAATTCCAACTATAATAATAATTTTTAAGAAAACAATAATAAAGAGGTAAAATTTGTCATACTATTAACAAATCATAAGACGAACGTCAATCGTTACCTTTGCATTTTTGAGATTTTTAAATTTATTTTATTTTGACAAAGTTAATTTCTTAAAAAGTTTAATCGCCTGAATTATTCTAAAATTCTTTAAAAATAGACTTTGATATAAAAGATAAAAATGTCTTTCTTTCTTTTAATTTACTGTTTCAATTAAGGATACTCATTTATTGGTGTTATATCTAATATCTTAGTAAAATGATATAATAATAATTTTAATGATTGTAAATTTTGATTTTATTTTAATGATGTTACCATAAATAATATATTACATATATTTTTAATTTTTATTTTATTTCATCAGATAATGTTCTAATTCTTTTCTTCACAATTTATTCTTTGTACTTTGAATATAAACATTAAATTTGTCTCATTGAATAATTGTTGGTATTGAAAACACTATACATAAATTTATAGGTCTACATTAATATAATAAGAATGTTTATATTCATTTCTTGAGATCTTGTTGAATATTAAGAAACTTTCAAAAATTATAAATCTACTTTTATAGGATATCTAACTAACCTATTCAATTGAAGATTGTAAAATAATATATTATATAACAATGAGTTAATTATATTACAAAGCAGTTTTATTATAAGTGATTATATGTAAATAACCAAAGTTTTGTTCATAATATCTAATAACATTCTTCATTATTTAGCTATTTTCTTATTATTTATTTCTAATCTAATTATTGATAAATGGCTCTTAGCTCATTCTCACCTATGTATGTTTTTAATGTAAAATTCTTTGAGGAACTGACAATATTTAATTACAAAGTTTGTTATATTTATTCAGTTTTTATTTACATTAAATATTAACTTATGATTTCAAAATATCTTTTAAATGAAAATAAACATCCTAGATGATTTTTTGTTTCTTATTATATATAGTACTGGTCAAAAGTTTAGTTTTATTAAGTTTGTTCAATTCACTACGTTGAATATTTTTAAAATAATTCTAACTCCTGAAAAAATATATTTAACATAAATATCCTACTAATCCTCTTTCAACTTAAAACTGTTTACTATTCCTTCAGGATCTTTTTATTTTGTGATTGATCAGGTCTAATAATAATATTGTCTATAACAACTTCATTAATTTGTACTATATTCACCATTTATTTTCTAAGGTAACTTCATGTACATAAAACATTAAAAAAAAAATTGATTTTAAAGTTTTAATTTAGAATAGCCAGTAAATATTGAAAAATTAAATGTTTACAGACTTTATTATAGAAATATGGATCGAAAACCAGAAGTGAGTATTAACAACAGGTGCCATTATTATTGCATTACATTAGGATGCCAATTCAACTAGACAACATGCATCTAAGACTAAGGTAAAAACACTGAAAAGAAAGAAAGATACTGGGCAAAATAAGAGTTGCCAACAATCTGGGAGACCTAGAGTTACGTCAAAATGTGAATACAAGTTTTCCTGCATTCATGCCTGTTGACTCGGAAAGCACCAGAAATTCTCAAAGAATTGAATGCGTTAGACAGAAGCCTGTGTCCATCAGTATTCGTGGTTATGATTTGAAAGGCAATCCCAGAATGGCAGAAAAACCCTATTAAGAAAAAACAAAACTATTATAATTAAATACTGGGCCAAAAAATATGGAAATCAATCTGTCAAATAGTGGTCGAAAGTGTTGTAGACTTTAATTTGAACTTAATGCAAGTTAACTTAGTCAGTATGGTTTGTGATAATAAATCGTGACACATATAAATTGTGACACATAATAAATCAAATTGTGAAAAAATTTCGTTGGAACAAAAGAAAATCAAAGAAGTACTTAAATACATGGTGTGGCCGCCACTTCAACCCCATTGAACTGTTGTGGGATAAGCTCAAGAGCAATGTTTGGAAGATATGATGTACCAATCAAAATAAACTTTCTCAACTAGATCTTAGCAAAAATTGATAGTAAATTATATTAATTCTAAACTTAGATCTGTGGAGCCCCTCTTGTTCCACTCCAAAATATATTTATTTTGTTAGAAATAAAGGACTGACATTTGAAAATATAAGTTCCTCCTGAAATGCTCCTTATGTCACCATGGCTCCCACTTCGGTAATCCTTGTTCTTCAATATAGAATGTGCAGGGCTGTGAAGAGAAACCAAGTGCCCAGGAATAATTTTTCCAGGCTCCCATAAAATATTAAATTTACCTCTTAAACCTAATCGGAGCCTTTTACAATGTATGCTACAAAAATATTATGTAATTTTTTGTATTATACGTGATATTATCTATTCTTTATTTTAATGCAAATTTAGAAGTTTAATTAAAACTTCCAAGGCCAAGCTGGAGAGCTCTGGCTCAAGGACTGCAATTAGGAATGGACCATAGGTAATATCTTTCCACTAGAATATAATCTAAGAGCAAATAGTTTTGTTTTTTCTTAATAGGGTTTTTCTGGCAGCAATATTGCCTTTCAAATCATAACCACGAAGTCGACATTGCACAATACTGATGGACACAGGCTTCTGTCCAACGCATTCAATTCTATGAGAATTTCTGGTGCTTTCCGAGTCGACAGGCACTTACTTTAAATGCAGGGAAACTTGTATTCACATTTTGACGTAACTCAAGGTCTCCCAGATCGTTGGCAACTCTTATTTTGCCCAGTATCTTTCTTTCTTTTCAGTGTTTTTATCACAGTCTGAGAAACCTTAGTCTTAGATGCATGTTGTCTAGTTGAATTGGCATCCTAATGTAATGCAATAATAATGGCACCTGTTGTTAATACTCACTTCTGGTTTTCGATCCATATTTCTATAATAAAGTCTGTAAACATTTTATTTTTCAATATTTATTGGCTATTCTAAATTAAAACTTTAAAATCAATTTTTTTAATGTTTTATGTACATGAAGTTACCTTAGAAAATAAATGATAATATAGTACAAATTAACGAAGTTGTTATAGACACAATATTATTAGTAGACCTGATGAATCACAAAATAAAAAGATCCTGAAGGAATAGTAAACAGTTTTAAGTTGAAAGAGGATTAGTAGGATATTTATGTTAAATATATTATTTCAGGAGTTAGAATTATTTTAAAAATATTCAATGTAGTGAATTGAACAAACTTAATAAAACTAAACTTTTGACCAGTACTATATATAATAAGAAATATGGACGTCTCAAGGTTTCGGAGCAAAGTCAAATACAAAAGGGATTTATAGCAATAATGGTTAGTGTGCTATAGCACAGATCAGCGGAATAGTGGAATTGGTTTTTCGCTTCAAAAGTGAACCATAACGATTAAATTTAATTTAATATAAAGAAATCCAATTAAATTAAAATATAATAAGAGCCAAACCATGAATTTAAGATAGCAACTTGAAAATTTAAAAAATATTAATTAACATGTCTAGATTCAGAAAACTACTAAAATAATTATTTTACTTTTAAGACTGATAAACATTTGGTTCTGTTTTGCAAATAAAATTTATCACGAGAGATTTTAAATTATTGTTTTTTTTCCACAGATTATTTGGAATTAAAAAACTTCAGATGTTGCATTTTATTTTACTTTTTTAAACTACTTTATATCATGAGATGTATCAATATTGTTTAAAAAATGTTTAATCTTGCAAAAAGTATTTATTTTTGTCACATTGCAATGACAAAATAAAGAAGAAACAGACAGAACTAGCAGTCTCATCAGTCGGACCGAAAATAAATGAATAAATAAATAAATAAGAATAAATTCCTTGAACCAGTTTAAGGAAATCATTCCACTTTTGGAGTAGTTCTGATCGGAACATTTTTGACGTTGCAAGTGGCCTTGAATTCCATCTCTGGAATGGTTTTTTTTCGTTTCGAGAAAAAAAATTTAATTTCATCTTTGGAACTGTTAGTAATTTCGTTCTATTGGAATGTGAACGCTTTTAGGTTTCATTCCATTCCGTTTTTGTTCCAATCTGACAATGCTACTACTCAGTAATTTCTTCACCATTATAGTCAGGTGTACTTGTATCTTTAGTAGAAGGTAAACTTATATATTTATGTTCAATACAGTTCAATAAAACAAACAATTTGCCATTAGTTCACTAACCAATATATTATTCCAACAGGCTAAGCCAATTAGTGCTATCATATCTTTTAAAGCAGACAATAAAGTAGTTAATATAAGAATATATATATATATATTTTTTATTTTTTCGGTTGGCTCTACAGACCTTGTAGATCTTTGGCCGCCTGAACCAGCCTTCTCCACCTCTGCCTATCTTGTGCTACTGCCTTCCAGTTTACGGCGTGAATCTCAGCCGTATCTTTGTTTATCCTATCTATCCATCTGGTTTTTGGCGTCCCACATGGTCTCTTGCCTACTACTCTGGCATTCATTGTCATATAAAGGCGTCCTGATGGATTGCTATGAGCTATAAGGCCTGCCCATCTTAACCTCCTTTCCTTCATGTCATGAAATATTGACTGACCCGTTTCTTTCAGCAGTTCATTGTTCCTTCTCCTCCATGTGCCAAGGTTCTGGACCCATATAGGTCCTGTTATCCTACGTAGAACTGTTCTATTGAATCTCTCAATTCTGGCTTCTAGTGTGCCGGTTAGAGCCCAGGTTTCACAACCGTACAGCAGAACTGATTTAATCACGGCGTTATACACCCTTATATTTAGATTTCTGCATTTCACTACCTTTGAAAGAGAGAAGAAAGATCTGTTCTATCTATTCCATATATATATATTAATATGAATCGGTAAAAAACTCACCAAGAGACAGAAATCTAATGTGAGAATATAATTGGAAATATTCAAGCAAAACGGCCTTATGTCTCCAAAATGCAGGTAAAAAAAAAAGAAAAGCAAATGGAAGATCATATCACTCTTACATCCAATCGCTTACTTTCCTTTTCTGCCCTCAATAAAATTGGTGTCTGAATTAACGAAATGTTGGTAGGTTCTCTATTTAATTTTTTTTTTTTTTTTTTTACTGCGTTTTGGAGATATAAGACTGTATAGTTGGAACTTTTCCAATTATAAACTAAGAATGCACATACATTTTTAGAAATGGAAATTATAGGAATGATAAATGAAAAAATAACAATTTTTTTTTTTTTTTTTGTAACCTGGTGTAATTTTAACTGAATATAAACAGTTTAATTCTTATTCCATCTTATCATAAATATTTACAAACATTTATCACAAATATAAAAATTTAAAGAGAATGTCATAAAAAACTGCTTATCTCCTTTTTTTTCCTGTGGTTTTTTTAAACTCTCTGCCAGCTTTTGAATTTTGATTATTTCTTCTTTTCCTTTGTTTATTGCCTCCTCCTTTCTTCCTTTCGGAAATTCTAAGAGCAAAATAAAATATAAAGTTAAAAATAAAACCTCAATAATATTAAATTAGCAATTTATGAACACTGTATAAAAAAAATTCAATAATTTCATATTTACAAATAATAAATGAACATACGAGGGAGGATCTCCAAAAAAACTGGGAATACGTGATTCCAGCTCTCTTGGACTCTAATCATATCAAGATTAAAGTCAGAGCACACTCTACCGCGGGGAACACGCGGCGAGGAGTTCCCCCAAGGAGGATCCTTGTCGCCTATACTGTTCAGACTGGTTATAAATCATGGACCCTCTGTTTTCATGTGATTATTAAATAAAATACGAAAGCCGATACTGCATATCTATGATTCTTTTTCCACCATTTCAGCTATTGTTAGGTGGTAAGCCGGTCAATTAATCTATAAATAACATATATATATTTGGTGGCAGGGATAAAGTAAGGAATTTTTAGATCCTGACTGAGAGAAATAAGAGAAAATCTATCAGATTCAGAGCTAGCAGAAGGGAAATTTTAAAAATTGGAGTGGAAATACTGCTCCTGAGTTGTGTCGCTGTGAGTGCATCGATTCGCCCGCGAGAATTTTTTTAAAGAAAACAACTTTTTCTATTTCGATAAAAACTGGCTGGCTATATTCAATCTTAAACAGCTTAAAATTATCTAACATTTTACACAACACGAAATTAAGCCAAATACCGAATCTTAGTGACCGAAAAACTAACTCAAGTTAAAGACTTCAATCATGTTATGTACAAAAATTTTTCTCTTAATTCCCTCAGCCAGAACCTAAAAATTCCTTAATTTATCCCTCTCACCAAATATATATATGTTATTTATAGATTAATTGACCGGCTTACCACTTAACAATAGCTGAAATGGTGGAAAAAGAATCACTGATACGCAGTATCGGCTCCTGTATTTAATTTAATAATCACACGAAAACAGAGGACAGAGGGTCCATGTCGGAATGAATCACTACATTCCTGGAAACAAAAACAGGTTGCAGTATAGATGATTTATAATCAAGCTGAACAGTGTAGGCGACAAAGATCCTGCTTGGGGAGACTCCTTGCCGCACTTTGATCCAGCTCGTTGAGTGATAGCCCTGACTCTAATCTTGATACCGTTAGAGTCCAAGAGAGCTGCAATCACGAATTTCAGATCCAGTGACACTCCCCTTGCCTCTAGTAAGCAGATAATATATTCGTGAAAAACGTTGTCAAATGGACCGCCGACATCTAGAAATATCACCACACAATCATTCTTTCAATTCTTGCATTCACAAGTGCTTCCGGCAGGCCCTTGAAACTTCTTTGGTTTTTGTTGAAGGTGGTCTGTTTCCTCACTTCATGGTCCAGAACCTTCTCAATGATTCTATGCACAATCGAATAAATGGTAACGGGTTGCCATGATGAAGTGCTGTTGGCATTACCACTTCAAGCATACCAATTACTACTTACAAGCAATCAAGATTGTGCGGTCCTCAAAGGCTTCGCAGATGACCAGGCTGAAATGGCACGGAACAAAGGAATGGTAGAGAGAATCATTAACTGTGTGCAGACGATCCTTGCCGAGATTCGTCAGGCAGTTAATCCAATGAAAAGAGGGGGCTTAATAATTAATAAAGGAGAGATACAACAAACAAAGCTCTCCCTAGAGAATGGAGACATCAACAAAGCCTGATAATACTAAAAGTATTTAGGATGTATGTTTTCAGAAGAGCTAATATTGAATGAAGAAATGGTGTTCAAACTGAACAATAATTTAAATAAACTTGAAAGCTCTTGTTGCCTGCTTAAACAAGAGCAAAAGATCAACGTTGTCAGACAAGATATGTCTAGCGATATTGGAAGGGTTTAATACAAATATCCACAGGAGAATGAAGATCATTATTGGGCTCTCTGCTGACACATCTTTGGAAATTTGGACTGATCCACTTTCAATGGGGAGCTCCTTTGTAGCATTGGTCCATTGCCCAGCAGCTGTCTAATGTACTGGATGCCCTGTTCCAATCTACATTTCATTAAATACAGAAATCACCAAAAATGAGCGGAAAGACTGGGTATCGATCAGGGTCTTGGTTGAAAGTTCTACGACAGTCACTGAGAGAGAATGCTTTAGAAGAATATATATGCCAGAAGCAAGTCCTTCTGGGACCAGAATGATCCAACACCTTAAAACTTATTATCAACTAGACACCTTTGCGTGGAGTCACAGGAGTGTGGACAGTCAAAGGAAGTCCCTCTGTAATAAATCCGGCAGAGTCTGAAACATCAGCCCATGGGCTGGAAAAATACCACAACAACTCTCTCCTCATAACATGCCAGCACTATAAAGTCAAGTTCGAGATGATGAACCTGCTTAGAGAAAAGGAATTCATCTGTTTTGAGGAGGTTAATTGCATAGACAGTGAAGGCTCTACCAGAAATACCGATATTGTTGCATTTCCCAAGACTGGCAGGACAGCACTCATCATGGATCTAACCAATAATAATTTAAAAATTGCAATTACTATATTTTGCTAACAAATTCCATATATACAAACAAATAATATATAAATAATTTTTACCCATTAGCAGTAATTTATAATAATAATTTATATAGCTTACGATGTTTCCTGATCAAAAATTTCACGATTAACAGCTTTCTCTAAATTTAATTTTGGCTTCTTGTTAATAAGAGAGTCTGCTAATTTTAAATTTCGATTGTACTCTTCATCTTTGGTCTGTAAAAAAACATATTTATTAAATATTTCAATAGTAAAAATTTATAAATATAAAATATATTATTAAGGAGATGAAATTTTCTAGAGTGGAACCATAGTCTGTCTTTCTAGAATGAAAATTGGTTTGACTAACATAAGACAGCATAAAAATGCCTTGAAGCGACATTTCAATGGTAGGCAATGAAAACCTTTTGACTCGACTCATTTATGAAAACCATGGTACTCCAATCTCATCCGACTGTAACAACGTTGGTTGTTTTAATTGTTTAGCTTTTAATTTTTTCAAAGAAAATCAGTCAACTCAGCCTAATGGTAATAAATCAAGCAGTTTCATATCTTCAATATCTACTTTACACTGAAAATTTATGAGATAGATCGAACTTAATAAGTAACTTAATTTAATTTCTCAACTTCTCTAATCTAATTCTTTTTTAGTCATTTTTCTATTTCCTATTCCTTATCATTTTCATTGTATTAATATTCCTTTCTTAAATAATGTTCTAATGAACCTATATACTTTCCCTTAAGCACCTAGGAAATTCTTTTATTTTTCATTTAAATAACAAAACTGAATTGCATTTTTTCATGGAATTAAATTCTTAGCATAGTAAATCTCAATCTAATTCAATTCTGCTCTATAATAGTCATAATTACAATTTCTCTTATTTTGATACTTACTTCCATGTACAAAGCATTTTTCTTTACTTCCAAGTCTTTGAAAGCCTACTTTATCCAGGAAATAAGTTCTTCTTTTCACCACAAACCCACACATCTAACTCTGACAACTTTTAAGGCAATGGCCAAGAGATTTTCCAACTTAACCCCTACATAAATGTAATGTGTACAGATTTGCTTATTTAAATATTTTGCAGAAAGCAAATTTCAAGCCTGCTAAACTTATGTATTTGTTAAAATAAGAAAATAACTTTATCCAGAAGGGCTTCAAAAAGACAAATTGTCAAAATACACTTAAAAGAAAAAAATCAAATATAATTTTTGTACATTGACTTACCGGAGCAGGAAGTTTTCTTTTTTTTAAATTGAGTACTGATGATTTACTCAATGTTTTTTCTTTTTTCAATTTAGGTTGAAATTTCCCTAATGATGCAGTAGAAATATTTGCTACCTGGGCTGCAGTATTTAACTATAAAATAAATAAAAACAATACAATTAGATAACTATATTATTAATATAAAAATTTCATGAAATGGGCCATAAATAGCTTCTATATCAGGTATTGATATAGCTTAACCATCTAATTATACACTTAAAGGGCTGAAGCGAACTGACAGTTGATAAAGTGACTTGTGCCAGAATTTGTATTAAACTACTCATCAAATAGATTTTTACTTTCACTTACCTTTATATGTAATATATAATAAGGGAAAGTATAGCGATCATGAAAATTTTCTAAACTGAGTTTTCAACAGAAATACACATTTTGAGGTCCCCTGAGTCAAATAACCAAGTCCCGAAAAATGGTCTGTGTGTACGTGAATACTCTAGCTCGAAACCGAAAGTCGTACGAAACTGATATTACATATTTAAGATAGATATATGCCTCAGATGTCCTGGCAACTTTTTCCTTAAAATCGGCTAAACGGAAGTGCCACTTTATATCAACAGTGAAACACATTTTTACAATTTTCTCAAATACGGCACTAACGATTTTGATTAAACTCAGTGTATCATTTTATAATTAAGTGGTCTTTAATATCAATTAGGTCTTATCCCCATTGATGTCACTTTGCAGGGCTTAAATCTTGAACTTGTCCTCTAAAGTACCTAATTTGGTTTATTTTAAATATTTAATCATCTCACATTATTAAAAGTTATGAAAAAATGCTATATATAACTTTTGAAAGAATTTGATAATTGAAAAATGGAGAAAGAAGGAAAAATGTTTATTTAGGTCGAAAATGAATTTCCCAAAATATTAGTAAGAAGATATACGTATAATATATCATTGGAAAGCAAAGAATATAAAAAAACAAAAACAATCTCTAATATAGAAAGTAATGGAGAATGAAGAAAAATTATTAATAATAATTTGTGAAAACTAATATTAATTAACGGAAATTAAATGTTTTCAAGAAAATTAAATGAAAATTACTAAATAAATATAAACTTTTTTTAAGTTTGAAAAAGTATTTAAAATCTATCTAATCAAGGCAATGGCATTGTTTAAAAAACTATTTCATAGTACTTATGTGAAAGATGACTTTGACGTCGCCAGTTTCAAAATGCAACCGATCACATCGTTAGACGAGGTGAATTCTCTTTTAGGGGCACATTCTTTACATCATACAAAAATTTCAGCCGTTAGTTCTTCCGATAAGTAAAATATAAAATTTAACCACTAATTTAATTTAAATTTTCGTATAGAAAGCAATGGCTTTCCATTGACAGACCGAAGTTGTGAGCTCAGATGAGGGTTTATCTACAATTAAAAATGGTTGCTAACTGTAAGTCCTTCATTTAAATGAAACGATCCATAGCTCCGAGTCTGCAACTAGCTATCCAGTCCGAATAGTCTGCCATGGAAAGAGGAAGTGAAATATAAAAATAATTCATAGATACGTTTATAACCTTAAATATATTTACTGTAGTTTAATAACTCTAGATCTGATATTATATTTGAATATTTAGGTATCTATTGTCAGTTTATTCTGAAAAATCATCATGTAACCTTTTAGAAAATTAAATTAGTGAATAGTTTGATGAAATTTCCTTTTGTGATATTCCAACAGTATCCACTTACAATTAGTATGACAACTTTTGGCCTGTCAATGACAGACAATGCAAATCTCTTAATTCCGTTTTAGTAAACTTTTCAATGGAAAATAACAGTCGTACAATCAAAGGATCATACAATCCATAATCAACTGGTGATAAAAATAAATAGAACTTTTGTTATTTTAATGGTATTTATGATTTGTTAGCTGTAAGCTTTTGCTCGGTTTAAACTGGAATTAAAAAAATTTATAATAGCCCAACGCGCCCAGAAAATAATTTCTATTCAAAGTTGAGCCATAAGTGGAAGTTGAGTGTTGAGCACCAGATTTTTTAATTATTTAATCCAAGCCTCTTAATACCTAGTGTTGCCTCCCTCTTCTTGAATAACGGCCTCTCATAGGCTAGAAATAAGGGGATTACACGATTTTGAATCTGATCCATTTCATGTACCTGGAGGATTTGATTGTCTATGGATGGATGTCCTAAGCTTGACTCTAAACATAGTCCACCCTGCATTGAGCTAATTTCCTTACTTCCTCTTCCCACACTAGAACTCATCCATTTGCACCCTAAAGGCTGTACCGAAACTCGTCAGAAAACAGGAAAACAGAACAGTGAAATCATCTTCTGTCCTGGCAGCGTGTTCTGTGTGAGTCACTGTGCTGTGGTGAGTAGAGACCCGCAAGAGAGAACTTTAGTGATAGGCTGAATTCAGCAAACCTTCCGCTTACTGTGTGCATGCTGGCATCAGCATCCGAGCAATACGCAATCGATGAGAAATCTCAACTGAAGTCTGGTAATGGTTTCTGAGAGACTGCATAGCAATGAAGCAGTTATCAGCTGGACCTGTCTATCTTGGATGGCCTAATCTTGGCCTCACAAGTATAATGAAATAATAGTGGATACTGTTGGAATATTACAAAGGGAAGATTCATCAAATTATTCACTAATTTAATTTTATAAAAAGGTTACATGACAATATTTCGGAATAAACAAACATTGATACCTAATTATTTAAATATAATATCAGATCTAGAATAATTAAACTACAGTAAATGTATTTAAGGTTATAAACATATGCTTTATACATCCATGAAATGATTTTATATTTTACTTCTTTCACACAAGTACAATGAAATGTTTCTTTAAACAATGTCATTGCCTTGAAAAAGGATTATAAATACTTTTTCATACTTAAAAATATTTTAGAAGTTTACATTTAGTTAGTAAATTTCATTTAATTTCCTTGAAAACATGTGATTTACGTTAAGTATTATTAGTTTTCAAAAATTATTATTTATAATCTTTTTGCTACTCTCCGTTACCTTCTACAAGTTTCTATTATATTGATATTGTTTTTCTAAAATTCTGAACTTTCCAACGATATATTATACATATACCTTCTAACTAGTATTTCTGGAGATTCATTTTCGACCTGGATAAGCATTTTTAATTTTTTCTCCTCACTCAAATCAAACTCTTTCAAAAGTTATATTTAGCATTTTTTCGTAACTCTAAATAATGTGAGATGATTAATTATTTAAAATAAACCATATTAAAGGTACTTCAGAGGAAGACGTAAATGAATATTGGGCATTGATAGATAAGACCTGATTGATCTTAAATTATACAATCACTTAATTATACAATCATACACTGAGTTTAATCAAAATCGTTGGAGCCGTTTTTGAGAAAATTGTAAAAATGTGTATAAAGTGACACTTTCGGTTAGCCAATTTTAAGGAAAAAGTTGCTGTCACATCTAAGGCTTATACCTATCTTAAATACGTAATATCAGTTTTGTATGACTTTTCGTTTTTGAGCTATACTGCTAACATACATACACATACAGACCATTTTTAGGGACTTGGTTATTTGGACTCAGGGTACCCCAAAACGTGTATTTCCGTTGAAAACTCAGATTCAAAAATTTTCAAGATCGCAATACTTTCCCTTACTACTAAATATTACATATGTACGTAAGTGAAAGTAAAAAGAATTAGATGTGTTTTATTTTTGTTTGAAAGTGTTCATTTCCTTTATTTTAGATCACCATTTTTTAAAATGAATTTTTGTTGTTTATTTCCCTTTATTTATGATGTTCTACAAGCAGAATACATCACACTATATTGAGGTGGAAAAAAATTGCAATTGCAAGAAATAAAGACAAAATTTAAGGTGTGCTGGTTTTTTTGGCCACCAGTGGACATAAGTTATTCACATCAAATTATAATATACGTTGGTTTTAACTTACTTGTCTTGCAGTCATTTTGGGGGTTGGAGGAAGACCCATAGATGGAACTTTTGTTTTTTTAGCTTTAGCAATATTCCTTAATCTCTGAAACTCATTTTTAGCAACCTGTAATAAAAAAACAAAAACATTCCAATTAACAAAACAATTACATATTAGGTTAAATATTATATGAAAATTCCTATCTTTTAAGTAAATACGAGGCATGTCCATATAGTAAGAGTACTGTTGGGCTTCTACGGTGAGAATTTTTTTTTCTTCAAAATTTGGCAACATTGAGTGGTAGAGAGAGGTCTCCTGAACATAAGTATTAGCAATCATTACCAAAATTCACTTGTAGCATCTGTTTCTGTGAGATATAACAATAAGAAATCATGCCAAGTTGAGAATCAAGTCAGAAGGTTCCTTTTCACCGAAAGAAAAATTTTGACTGAAATTTTTGCACGGATCAAAACTGTTTATAGTGAAGGTTCTATGGACTGAATAAACGTGTTTAAGCGATATTGTGAGTTTAATGAAGGAAGAATTATTAAAAGAAGGGATGATATAAAGGAGATGATTTTCAATTATGATCAATAAGTTGGTGCTAGAAATCGAGAAAAATGTTCGTGAAGAGTGCTGATTGACAGTAGATGAAATGTCTGTAATTATATAAAACAGTTATAGAAACACTAGGATATAAAAACTTGTGCTCAAGATTTGTACTAAAATAACTGACAGAGCAGCACAAATTGAATCCGGTCACTAGCGCAGAGTTCCTTAAGCAATTTGAATTGGAAGGTGACGATTTTCTGAGCTTCATTGTGACTAGTGATGAAACATGGCTCATTATACCCTTGCAACAAAAAGAAACTCATCCCAGTGGCAGGACATCGGTTCTCAATCAACTGAAAAATTCAAAACATCAATATTGCCAAAAAAAATCATGACATCCATGTTTAGGAACTGAAAATGGATCATTTTGATAGAAGTTGCCTCAGGGGGAGACAATTACAGCAGTCTGTCACTTTAAGACCCAACAAAAACTCAAGAGACGTGGTTGGGGGCTGGGTGGCTGAGTGGGCTAATGCATACACAGCATCGTAAGTGATAATTGAAGTCATAGATGATAAAATAACTACGATTTTGCATCCCGGTGCCCAGGGGGCTTTTAACTCAGATATTAATCCGGCGCCCTCACTTCCCCCCCTGGCTCGGATTAACCCATCCCCATATAGCCTAACATGCGAGGAAGAGAAGAAAAAAAAGAGAGTGTGTTTGTAGCACTAGGCCTGCCCACACACGGACAACGTCACCAAGGTTCTTTTGAACTCATTTAGTTAGGCCATGTTGAACCATTCTGCTAACTCCTCTACTGACTTGGCGCCTTTACATTTTTTCAACTTTCAGAAGACTCACATGGAAGAAAAAAATGTCTAACCGAGGAGGTGAAACGAAGTCTTGAAGTGGATGAAAGAGATGGCAGGAGAGTTCTATGAGGAGGGTATCAAAAAGCTTGTGCCACAACTTACAAGAACAGGAAGGCGATTATGTGGAAAAATAAGTAACATATATTGTCATTTTTAAAAATTAAAATGTTTGTCTTTTTAAATACAAAAATTGAGTATTCTTACTTTATGGAGATGTCTTGTAAATAGTCAATGCCACTATAAACTCTTCCTGCATTCTTACTATTTAACACTCAATTCTCCAAATATTATCAAGACATGAAATACAAACAATACCCAATAGAAATCAAGGTGATTGTTTTTCATCCTTCTAATAGAAGGATGTAACAAAAAAAATTGAGACCTTCTTGTTATATCCTAATCTGTGATACATCTCCTTCGAAATAAAAGACAAAAATTTGAACGATAGTAACTACCAAAACTATTTCTTGATAAAATAAATTTTGTCTAAAAAAGTATTTTAATTTAATTTAATTTTTAATAAAAAAAAATTAAAAATTATATATTAATGTTTATGTAGTTAATTAATAGTATATTAATGCCATTGACTAACATAAATAACTAGCAAAGAAAATATGATGAAAAGAAAAAAATATTAAAACCACTAAACTTCATATAAAATTTTAATTAAATTGTTATCTTTAACGTGTGTACTGGCATTATAATATATTAGTAATATTATGACAGCAATATATTATATAGTATTTTAAGATGTATGACAGCTATTTTTTTTTCCATCTTTTATAAATTAGAATGTTTTGAAAATGACTATTGAATCCAAATCCTTAAAAAATTAAATAACAATTCTATCGTAGTTAAAAAATTTTTTTTATTAGTGAAATGTATTTGTGAGTGGATTGTAGTCTTTTAAGCTTGATCTATTAGTGATTAAAGTTAAAAATATAGTATAATAATAATAATTAATAAAAATAATGGATTTGCCCAAAATGAAAATTCTTTATAATTGTTCTGATTATTTATTTACATTTATTTAATACTTCAATTTTAATTTAATTAAATTATTTGAAAACTTTATAGCACTAACTTTGAGAACAACTGGTTTATATAATTAAAAACCAATTAAATATTCAAGGCACTAAAAATATTAAACTGATACCTAAGCACAACATATGAGTTACCAATAAAATAAACAGAATTCAAAACATTTACTTTTTCTTGTTTAATGGTGCTCTTTTTTTCGAACATGTCTGTATAAGGATCAACATTACCAGGAACTTCAATAATCCAATCCTTTTCTTTTTCAGCTTTAGTTTTCTTATAACCATATCTTGGAACCCATTTCTAAAAAAAAAAAAAAAAGTAAATCTTTATATAAATAAAAATTATACAATAATCAGTTTTAGTACAAGTATTTTAAAAAATTTCTAAATTTTGCATTTAACAATTTCTAGCATTATAACAAGGTGTAACAAAAGTTCTTATGCATAAGTATAGCTATATTTTATATTACATATTTTAAACATTATTGAATACTATACTTCTAAGTAAAATCCATTGTTTTTAACTAATACCTCCCATCTTTCTGCCAGTAATTGGATTTCATCATGGTTTAACTCCATTGGTTTCGAGACAAAGAATTCTTCACATCCAATTTTTATCTCCTCTTAATTATCAAGCATCCGACCTTTTAAAAATTGAGCCACTGGTCTAAACAAACTATACTCTGATAGTGAAATATCTGGATTATACAGAGGACGAATTAAAACGTTTATTGCTTGCAGTTCTGATAATTTTTCATTGATAAAACAACAACGATGTGCAGGGACATTGTCGTATTGCAAAATGGATTGGTCCCTATTGAATAGGTATACTTTGGACTCAAAAATACATGAACTTTTTTTAAATTTTCACTGTAGGAGGAACAAGCTCAAAATTTAAAATGCCTTCAAAGTAACACCCAACATAAAACATAATTTTTTCTAATCTTTTAATCTAGGTGAATCTCCGATTGTGCAGCTTCAGCTGGCCGTACCCGCTACTGATGTTTGCTAGGGTTTTTAAAAATATCTACTCTTCCACTAAATCAAGTCACAAGGAATTAAAAGATTAATCAATGTAACAGACCTGTTCATGTCAACAGACAAACTTCAATTGTTCCAGCACAATTTTACTTGGATCACTAATTTCAATGAAATGTATCCAACAGGTATTTGAGGGTTCTTGACAGGTACCGAGGAAAAATTATTTCAATAATTTTTATATTATTGTTTCTTTGAAGTTATTATATACTAATCGATTTTTTTTTTAATTAAGAAAAATAAATTGCCAGTAGTATTACATGAGTTCAAATGTATAAGAAGTAACAAAAATCAAAAGACGCTGCCAGTAAACAAGGCCAAGAAAATTTTTGCTTGTGGAAGAGCAGATCATATTCATATTTAAGTCTCTTTAAAACAATACATCTACCTACAGAAATTTAAACATATAATTACTTTTTTCTAACCATTAACTAAAGTATTCATGACTCCTTAGGATTTTCAAATTCAATATTCCTAAAAACCATTCAAAAGCTTATTACGTCTCTTCCAACCAATATCACTGACTTTTAGATTTTAAGTAAATTAATAATATATAGTGAGAGTTCAGATCCCAGTACAATTAAATTAATAAATTTAATGAAGAATTAAAAGCTAATAAATATCCATTTGCTTTCCACTTGAATTGTAAGATAATCTGACTACAAAAGAAAAAAGATAGTCTTAAAAATATTGGGCTATTGGACCATATAATCACCTATCGTTGTATGGATTTTAATTTAAAAAACTAACATATTGGACTATATAACCACATTATTTTGATATGTTATAGAGGGGGAGGTCACACCAACATTTTGATTTGCTCCTCTTATCTCAGTATACTCACTTTATTATTTCAAAGCATTGATTCTTAATGCATTTAAGATTCTGTATTATCTTATCTGGCAATAATTATAGCCTGTATGGCGATCATTCTAAAAAATTGTTTGTTGAAAAACGATACGTTAAAATTCAAAATCATATTTATCAATACTCTGTTTCCATATTATTTTTAAGTACACAATTTATTTGTTTTTCTATAATTTGGAACTTATTCTCTTCCAACTAACAAGTCTGATAAATTTAGTAAATTAATAAATGATTATTAATGAAGAAATCTCAAAATAAGGGTGTACAATGCTATGATAAAGCCAGTTCTAATATATGGTTGTGAGACCTGGACATTAACCAGCACTCTAGAAAAAAGAATAGAAATATTTGAGAGAAAAGTCCTCCGCACGATAACCAGAGTGATCCGGGATCAGAGTACTAACACATGGAAAAGAAAGACCAATAAGTAAATGCTTATAGAAACTGGTCAATTAATATCTCATGATATGAAGTCATGGAGGTCAAGATGGGTGGGGCATGTAGCTCATAAGGATCCATCTGGAAGCTTCTACATAACAATGAATGCCCCAATAGAAGGCAAAAGACCACGTGGAAAGCCAAAAAGCAGGTGGATAGATAGAATCCTCAAAGATGCAATAGAGCTGCGTGCAGATAACTGGAAAGAAATAGTCCAATACAGAAAGAGATGGAGCAGGCCTGTTAGGGCAGCAAAAGATCATGGTCTATAATGGCAACAGAAAAAAAAGAAGAAATTTTGCATTAAGACCTGTACCACTACAACCCATGAAGGGTCTGGGGTTCAGTACTATTTAGGGAAAGAACTGTTTTTAGGTCAACGGTTGTGCAAGGAGGTGATTTGACCGAGACCACACTCAACCGCCAGGTTTTCCCCCTTAATTAATTATTTAATTAAAGGGTACCCACTTTATAGAGGCTGGGTGTGCCCTAGGGTCGCCCCATGGCCAATAAAACAGATAAATAAATTTTCTGCCATGAACCGGGGTTCAAACCTGGGACCTTTGCATTGGAAGCTCAGTGCCCTACCACTGAGCTACCCCACTCCCATTTTCATTAAGATAAATAGTCCAAAACATGGATCTATGTGAAATGGAGTGAAGTTAAAAAATATCTTAGAAATAATAATTAAATTTAATAAAGCAATACACTGTACACCCTCAGAAAAATAATTTAATAAAAAAAATACTCATATAAAAATTATTATCTTATTTTAAGATCTATAAACTAAGTGAAAATGATATATACTAATATTTAGTGAAGTACTTACATTTAAAACTTCATCCCAAGTAACTCTCGATTTTTTGGTTGTTTTAATACCTTTTTCCTTAGCAAAAGTTTGCCATTTAGTCAGAGGTTTAGGCTTTGGGGCAGGTTTCTCTCGAGGCAAAATGAATTTAGATTTTGGTAATTTGGCAACAATATTGTTCTCAACCTTTTCAGTAGGTAATTCCCAGATTGAATTCAATAAAATTTGTGTATTATCTCTTGCTAATGACTTTAAATATTGATCTTTCCTTGATCTATAAGAATATAAAAAAGTATAGTAAAGTTACAAATCCATAAATAAAATAGTCTTTAATATAATAATAAGAAATATAAATAACAACGAAAAGAATTCTGTGAAGATATTGGGTCGTTTCATGTGAAATGTCTGTTTTCGTATAAAAGGGTTATTTAATAAAACAACTTCATGAAATTAAAACCTTTTTATTCAAAATATTTACCCTTATTTTCTATATATTTTCCTGACATGTTATCAACTTTTCAATACAGAACAGAAAAATGGAAGGTTTTGTAAAGAAATGAAGTCAGAAAATGTGTTTTTGACATGAGATTCATTATCAAAAATTTTATCTTAAAAGGGAATTTTCCAAATTTCCAAAGTAGTGTTTATAGGTTGATGTAAAATATGGTAATAACCTTTAACAACATTAATTCAGTTACTTTGGTCAAAATAAAATATTTAAATAATTAAATATTAAGTAGGTTGTTAATTGAAAGATGTGTGATGTGCATCATACCATTTTTTTGTTTGTTTAGGTTTATATTAAATGTGGCTCACGGTAGAGTAAGTTGGCATTAGAATCGAAGTAACTGCCTAACCGAGATCTCTAGACAAATTACTCAAGAATTCACAACTTTGGTTCTACTCAATATTTTGTTTACATTAAAAGCCTATGTTTTAAGTCAAGCAAACCTTAATATAATGTAACATTTCAAATGTCTACAATTAGCCATTGCTGAGCTTACCCCTGACAAATATCGTGGCAATGCGGACATACAGACAGACAAAATTTTTTTAAAAAGTGGATTTGGTGTCTGCAATGTATGAAACAGAAAGATATCATAAAACGGGTTGATACTATTCAATGTACAGACAAAATCCATATTTTATTAATATAGATAATAATAAAAATAATTTCTTAATTATGAAATAATACAAATTGAATTTAAATATAGTGACAAACAAAAACATAAATACAAATTACAGAAAAAAATAATAAGGGCTCCCTCCCATAGATCCATCTATGGAAACCACCAAAACAATTTTGTTGATCTGATTTCTTTACTGATTTTCAAATGAGAAATTTAACCTACCAAAAGAGGAACAAGCTCAGCTTTTACAGTTTGGCATTCTATGAACAATGAGATCATGTGATCTTGTACCACACATCAATTATGTAGGAGACATGCATGAAGTAGTGTCAAAATATCTTCAAAAACAGGCCATTAATCACACCGATACACCATGTCCAATGCACATATTTCAGTTTATTACTTTCAATAACGAGCCTTTGCAAACAGACATGCTTATATTTAAAATGTATAAACAAATCACATTAACGTAATATAATTCTGGTTGAACTTCTATCAATGGGTGATCCTAATTAATACATAATTTCGAATTGGTAAACAAATCTTTTAAAAAAAAAATAATTAATCCATACTTACTGTAACTCTTTGTTGTTTAGGTCGTTTGTATCAATGGCTAAAAGAGTCCCCAAATCAAGATATAAATCTAACAATTTGTCAACTTGAATACTTTTACATGCATTATCAGTAAACCTAATAACATTAATGTCTTTCTGGTCCGTTTCGGCCATTTCTTTGTTACTGTCTATCAAAACAGTTTATTACAAACCAACACTACACGTACACATATAATTCATACACTAAATGGTCAAAATCAAACGCGGCCATGTGGTTCAGGACATTTCGATACTATCAACGTTCTAAGATATCGATAGTTTCAAACAATCACTAACGATATTTTGCCTTAATCAAATTAGGAAAGCCATTTTGGGTTTTTCAACTCTTTGGATTTTTTTTTTAATTTGCGAAAGTTTTAGGAATTTTCTTCAGGCTGTAAATTCTCAATCTCATTCTCTCTCACTCAATCTTTCTCATACTTGCTCTAATTCTCTCTCTATTTTTTCCTTCTTTCCTCCGCTGTACCTTAGGGCAACTCTATACCAGCAGTACATCCAATTTCCTAACTTAAATATTTTGCGGCGAATTTAAATAGAACCCGGTCACCAGGATAGGTAACCGAGCGGGCAGGCTTGCTCCCATTTTTATCCAACTTCTTGAGTCAAGGTGAGGCATAATTCAGTTTTAATTTGACTGGGGCATTAGCACTGGGTGTCATAAGAATAACACTAATGGACTGGCTGCAACTGGAGGACTATTCCCACCAATAGGACTCCCTACCTACTTTTGGTTGGCCTATATAACAGTTTATTTGTAATATTATGAATAAATCATAAATAACTATATAAAACAACAACAATAATAGTAATAAAAATACCATTAAATTCAACAATATTCCGGTATTTATATATACGTCACATCACTGATTTAGCCTGTTCTGCCTTTCTCTTTTTTCTTAGAATATTCTCCTCGCAAATATCTTGAATGCGCAAAACATCTCTGGTGTCACTAGAAGTCTGTTCAGGGACTGAGATGACCATTCCAGCAAGGAATACTCCCTTGTCAATGCTTATCGGGCGTTGGCATACACCGTGCATTCAAAGGTCCTCTATTGCTCTGCAGCTACAATTTGGGCTCTCCCTTCTATTAAAGTAGTAAAACTTCGAATTGATCTCTCCATAGCCTGTTATAAGTTAAACAGTACAGAAATCTGGCTCTATCCAGGAATTCTCAACCTTTATCCTGACATCCGGGAAGAAATCGTATGTAAGTCTGCCTGTTTGACAGGAATCCCACCTTCTCTGCCTTTCGGAAAGTACCAGGTCTTCACTATTCTCAACTACTTCCTCGTATCTTCTACTGGGCATTTTCTGGCAATCCTCGCTTCATGTTATACTGCGCTAAATAAATTTTATACTGAAAAAAATAAGAGAACTTCTATAAAATTGTAATGCTGCTCACCTGTGTTGAGTTGCTAACTGATACAGCATACTAATCTCTCTGGTTGACAATATCTTACAATTCAGCTTGATACACTTCGTATATAAAAATGTCATTTGTTGTTTTCTTTCTTTTCTTATCCTCATTCTACTTAATTCTGTCACTCGGGTCCATAAGAATTTTCCTGTCATACTTAGATTTGTTAGCACATTGGTTTTACATAAAATATGGCACACCTATTCCCTGCCACTTACGTTTGCTCCAATCTTCAAATCACTTTTCCCTCAGGGACTGCTTAACTTTCTTTTCTGATGTTGATGCTTCTATAAAATAAATAAAATAATGATAGAAATAAAACCACAATTTTCAAGAGAGCTCGAACTTATGCAATATTTTAGAAATGATTTTAAGTTAAAACGTTATAAAACACAACAATTTTAAAATAAGGACACTCCTTCTACGGATATTTGTTAAATGTTTATCTTTTTAGATATACATCTTCCGATTGCTAGCTCTCTATATGTAAGTATTACGGGGGAACAGTGTGGTGAAGTGGGCTAATGCGTGTGCAAAACATATGTTTCCCAGCAACCAACCACAGGATAAACCGAAGCTGACACATATAAATTAATTACGAGTTCGCGTCCCGTTGCTGGGGGAGGGGCTTTTAAGTCTGGCATTGAACCCCGCCCTTTCTTATGGCCCGGAAAAACTCCGTATAGTTTAAAAGACGAGGAAGAGGAAGACAAAAAAAAAATATAGCTTATACTATTGTCTGTAGAGGTTGGTCTCAACCAAGACTAATTTGGGGTTGAGCAAGGAATTGGGATGAGTTGCTCCTTTACAATACACGCCTTGATCCGCATAGTTCTCTTTGTTAAGTTGCTCGTTCTTGAGCTATCCTTCTTTATGTTTACAAGTTAACAGTAAAGCATGTGATAAGCATTGGTGATTATCAAATCCTAACATTAGAATTGTTACTAATCTTTAATATGTTAATTATTACTATAATGTTTTTAAAAAAAGTTAATACTGGTTATTTTTCATTTTTCTAGATGAAATTCAATTAAAATTCTCATATATCATTTGGAAAATCTTATCCCTACTAATGGAATATGCGAATGATTCATATTTCTTCACTAAACTTGAATTGGTTCTTAGAAAATTGACATCCCCTGAGTTCAAAATTTCTGATGATACAATCCTTCAAAAGTTGTTCGATTCAGTGTCATCTATTTTTTTAGTGAAAGGTACCTTGTTTTTTATGCTATTTGGTTATTGTTACTTCCAGGATAAACTATATTTACTGATGTATGAACAATTTTGCAAGAGCTTAAGACTTTTTATTTTCATTTGTTTATTTTTTTCCTATTTATTTATTGTATGTTTTTCAAAAGGCCCTTGTAAGTGATAGCTAGGCAATAGTTTAATAATTACACCTAATTAATTATATTATTTATCAAGTTCGCTTCGGCTTTACATATACTAAAATTGGAAGGTACTAGTTCACAAGAGTTCCGCACAGATTAAATTGGAATATATCAAGTAGTTGGGCTGAAGAATAGAATACCAGAAATTCCTATCTTGTTATAAAAAAGGAAAGTGACATTTTTCTAGTTTTATGGAACTAATAAGGATCTTATCAGATTTTTAAAAAAAAATAAAATCAAGAGTGACTATTATTAAATTATTACATTAATATTTGTTTGTTAGTACAATCAATATAATGTACCAAAAATTATTATAGCACTATAACTAAGTCATTTATGAGTACTGAATGGTGTGGTAGAGGCCTATAGGCACCTACGCTAGTACCGCTTAAGTGCATTTTCTATGGAGCTGCTTCAAATATTTAAAAAAGTAATCAGTTTTTAGAAAGAAAAATATATTCTCCAGATTTTTTATTTCAGCACGTTTTGCGTTATTGTTGGCCGTTTAATTAAAAATGATGCTGATTTTCAAATTGAAAATTTTTTTGTTAAAAAAATTGACTTTACTGGTGTTTTTTATTGCCTAAGCCAATAATTTTTTATATTTTATTATTTTCTGGCTATTCAGCTTTAATAAAAGACCAACGATTACGACCAAAATACTAACTAAAGTCAAAGTCGTCAGTCCGCCATATTTGAACGCCATTTTGGGGCAGTGTGTTCACTTTTTTTTGTGGGAACATTGGCTTTTTTAAAATAAATAGTTACAAGGAACACAAGGATATGCAATTTATAGAGATGTGTGTCGGTGATGGGAAGGGTGCAGGGCAAAGGGGTCTGGCCCACCATGTACCTATTTAAGGTAGGTATTTGCCTAGGTTGTTACAGCAACTTTTTCCTGAAAATTGGCTAACAGGAAATGCCACTTAATATCATCAATTATGATTACAAATTTTTACAATTTTCTCAAAAACAGCGTTAATGATTTTGATTAAAATTGGTGTTTCAATGTATAATTAAATAATCTTTAATATCAGCTGGGTATTATTCTCATAGATGGCACTTAACATTGTTTAAATTTTTAGTGTTCAAAAATTCTTTCTCTAAAGTAACTTTACTTTGGTTTATTTTAAATAATTAACTGTCTTTCATTGGCAGTAGCTCATAAAATATTTGTTTTTAGTGATTTAAAAAAACAGTTTCAACACTAATATTTGAGCATATCAAATATTACAGTGTACCTATTGCTTAAGTTTCTTAAAAATTAATAAATTTTTACAAAAAAAGTTTTTGAATGTATAATATTGGAAATTTCAACTCCATTAAAAATTAAAGTTTTCATTATTATTTTCAATATAAGTTAAATATCTAAAATTGGTCTTGTCTATATAATACATAGGTGTCTGTAATTCCTTCCTTCATTTATTTAATGTTACATTATCTCATTCCTTGTATGTTATAAAATTGACCAATTAATGAATTTAAGGACAATGCAAACTAATATATTTGATTATTTGTCTGTTAATTATTGAGACCTTATTCTGTACAGAAAAAAAATGAATGGATGTTTCATCCAAATGTCTTGTGTTTTATCTTAACATTTTTGTTATTAAACGATAGAAGAGTGTATGAAGTCATTGTTAGATTTGTTATCATTATTATTATTTAAATTTATCTTTCTTTAAGATTTATGTTAAGCCTAATTTATTGTTGTATTATATTATGTATTGTTGTCATTTGTTGATTATAATCTGCAATATCATTTTCAATGTTACTCTTTATTTTTTATTTTTTTTTACCTCTTCTATTTCTCGTTTAACTGAAGATCTGATAATACTTCGATGTATTAATATTACAAATTAAACAATATTGATTATTTTGCAGGTTTTTAGGTATTAATTACACGATTAATATCCAAACACGTATTTTGGGTTTGGCTGCACGATTTTGCACATTTTGAGTTTTTAGTTGCAAGTTTTTCGGATTTTGCTGCCAAAAATCCGGTCTCTAGTAATAACTATTGAGGAATTCCACTCCTTCCGGTAGTTGTCACAGGCGGATCTACAGGGGGGGGAGGGGCTTTCGGGCTGAAGCCTCCCCCAAAATGGTAAAATATAATCATGTTTTACAGAAAAAAACATTAAAAACTACCTCTTAAAGTATTCTTGTTCAAGAATAGGACTTCAAGAACCACTTTAACCCTATTTCATATAGGTAGTTAATTACTTTTTTTTTTCAAATTAATTATCGTTATATGTATATGAAAAAAAAAATCTTTCGGGCTGAAGCCACCAAAATTAAATCCTGGATCCGCTAGTGCGGTATGTTATTAAATATTCACAGTAATCTTAATTAGTCGAATCACGGTATATGCCTAGGATATTATTGGAGACTACCAATGTGGATTTAGACGGAACCGTTAAACTGTTGATGAAATATTTTCTTTACGACAAATATTGGAGATGAAATTAGAGTACAACGGTGTTGTTCACCAGCTTTTATATCGATTTCAATCATGCTTATGATTCCATTGACCGCCAGAAGCTGTATAATATTCTAATTGTGCAGGAGATTCCAAAAAAATTAGTTGGGATGTGCATGTCCAAAACATTCAATAAAGTTAGAATTGGTAATTATCTATCCGAGAAATTTGAGGTTCATTCGGGCTTGAACAAGGTGATTTTGTTTCACCTATCCTATTTAATTTGGCATTGGAACATGCCAATAGAGAGGTGTTACATACTGAAAAAGGTTTGAATCTGGATGGAACAGTATCCATGCTTGGGTATGCTGATGCAGTGCCGGCCTTAGGGTGGAACAACTGGAGCAATCTCCCCAGGGCGCGGACCTGGAGAGGGACCCGTTTTTTAGGGAAAAATTTAAGAAATAAATTCAATTTTTTAGGGGAGGGGAGAGATTTCAATATAGTGTATGTGGCGCTGAATTTCTAAGGCTGGCACTGTGCTGATAATTTGACACTTAAGTACAGTGATAGTTTAGCACAGGCTTATTTACAGGAGGGAAGCTTTCGGGCTGAAGTATAAATAATAAAATTTGAACATACAACTTTTGTGAGGTTCAGCATCTATAAGTGATTTATAAAAGTTCTTTACTTAAAGCTACATTTATAAAGTTCTTGAGCGATATTAGGTTTTGTTTTTGCTTACTTATTAATTCATTTTTTAATTTTTAAAACTATCCTATAGATTATTAATTTTTTACCAAAACTATCTTAATGCAACCACAACCTAAAATAATTTAATTATGTGCCTAAAAATTCAATTACTCATGCTTGCCTTTTTTTTTTTTACTCAAAAGGTAGAAAATATAATTTTTATTTTTTTAATTTAATGTAGTGAAAGCTTGTAAGTATTGCTGCTGTTCACTATCTGCAATTATAATCTATAAAAATTAAAAAAGTCTAATTTAAATCACTTGAACCTACATATTTAAAATTTATTGACAAACATTTCCTTTCATTTAATAGTGTTATATATTTTGTAATAAACACAATAAATATTAATATTAAATATTGTTATAAATATACTTTTACTTCTTTTCCTTTCTCTTTGCATGCCAACTGTCTCGGTCCCCCGCCAGCGTCTTCATGGAATCCAGTTGTGCCTCTTTTCTCTCCATGCTGCCTCTTATCGCTCCCAACCGAGCCATACGATCCATCCATGACATCCTTGGCCTGTCTCTTGGTCTTTTACCAGTTGGTTTTGCTTCCAGGAGCTTCTGTGGTTCGCGATCTTCGTTCATTCGTCATACATGACCGAACCACTTCAATTGCTTCTTCTCTATGGTCTGAACCTAAGAGTTTCACCCCTAGCTCTTCTCTTATTCTCTCATTTTTAATAACATCTCTCTGAGTTCTTCCAGCTACTTTTCTAAGATACTTTATCTCCGCTGCAGTGACTTTGCTTAAATGCTTGTCGATAGGAACCCATCTCTCACTTCCATATATAGGAGTGTGGAGAGATAGATTGCGTTGAAAATATGTAGTTTCACCTTTTGCTCGACTTTCTGTTTCTCAACAACAGTGTTGTATATTTGGTAGTATACGTTGTTTGCCATACGTTGGCAGGTTCCAGACTCCTTTCCATTGATCCTGACTTTTCCCTTTGAATTTTTATAGGATGATTTTATTTTATGTATAAGTTCTCCAGAAACATTCTTTGCCTCCAGTGCTTTCCATATTTCGATTTGTGGAATAGAGTCAAAAGCAGCTTGGAGGTCTACAAAAGCTAGATAAACATTTTTTCCCCGATCCCAGGCCTTCTCTACAATAGTTCTTAAAGAGAATATCTGATCTTAGGTCTGTCTTAGGGGTATGAAGGCGGTCTGCTTTGCTTCGAGGTCCTCCTCTACTATGGCTCTGAGTCTCCTCTCCAGGATAGGTGAATGAGTATTCCTTATGCACCACTTGTGACAAGCATATGGGTCTATAATTATTGCACACATTTTGGCTATCTTTTTTATAAATTGGGATGATGACATTGTTTTCTCAATCCCTGGGAATAATTTTCTTATCAGGCACTTTCTGAAATAAAGCCTGAAGTGTTTTAATTAGTTCCTGCCCTCCATACTTAATAAACTCCAGGAAATACCGTCTCTTCCAGTAGCTTTCCCATTTTTAGTTTCTCTATAGCCGTCACTACATCTTCTTCCCATATAGTGCTGTCATAGTCAGCATTCATTTCTGTTCCTCTTTCTATTATTTTATTTCCATGCCAATCAGTATCTTCAAAAATTTGTGCATAGTGCTGTCTCCACCTGTCTAGAATATCATTTTCCTTGATTATTGTCCTATTATTTTTATTGTTGATGTATGCTTTCCAAGCTATTTTTTTTCTTTGGACTGCTGCTTTTACCCATTCGCCCCACCATTCTGATCTTTTTCCCTTGGTGGAATATCTTTTGATGCCACATACTGTTGTTCCAGTTTGCAGAATCTTATCTCTGATATCATTTAATGGTGCATCGAGGTCAGTTTCCTTTCTTTACCTGTTATACAAATATCCGTACATATATTATTACAGTAAGGCTCGAAATCGGTTTTGTACCAAATGTAAGCTCCTGTCATGCTCAAATACCTTGAATGGGGTACCATTGGATTCAGAATTTCACGGTGGGTTAGCGAATCGTATTCTCCGCTTTTGTTTTTCTTTCTAAAATAAATAAAGTCGATACAAACATTTTGCTAGGCTTCAATACTGGAGTGGTTTTAGGTCTGTAGATCGATGCGGGACAAATTGGACCTTGAAGATTTTGATACGTACAGCAAGACCCTGATAGTTTCTCCGGAACTATCGGATCCTGCGTTTTTAAGCCCAAAAACGTACTATTTTCGAGATAACGCAAGGCATGGGGTTCACATCCACACAACCTGACGTTAATTGTAGTACTGGCATTAGATACATGTCTCATTTGTTCGACTTGAGGTCTCTATGATCGAGACAGGAGTTTATATTATTTATCGATGGTGTTTTTGATCGGCAAGCCATATCATCGTTAATTCTTCACCAAATCTCAAGATTGAGCCACCAATTTCGAAGGCTTCCTTCTCCTTCAGGTGGGCAAAATAGTCCAATCATCCAGAAAATTCAGGCAAACAAGTTATGAAAGAAAAGAACCTTTATTTGCGAATAACTAAAAAATTACACACTTTTCCCTTGGTAATTCCTACGATTATATAAAACATTACTTAATTGTCTATAAAAGGGGAAAAAAAAATCATTGAAATTGGTCAACTTTTCGCAGATACAGCTTATTGAAATTTGTAAATATGTTTGTTCCAAACAAACAAAAATGTAGATTTAAATTAATTTTGTTTCCTTTGTCGATTATATTTCTTGGTAAAGTAACAATTGATTACCTCATCTTTTGATACGTTGCATTATTTTCTTTTCTTATTAATTTGGCATTTGATAACAATATGCTGTGCGAATTTTTCGCACGGGCCTACTAGTACAATAAATTCAATTATGAATAATCGTGAAAATTATCTCTCTATTATATCACAAGTCATATTTTATTTGACATATACAATGCAAAGGACATTAACAAAGACAGTGCACTTCTTACTCCCAACAAATTTAACACACTAATCAAAGAATATAAACAAACCATGTACAGAACAAACATTTCGTCATACGAGTTGGCCTTCTCATCTCCAGAACTCATAACCTGCGGAGTACCTCAAGGGTCTGTACTGAGGCCAATACTGTTTGTTGTTTACATGGCACCAGTAATGGCTCTCAAGCATCCAGATGTGGTGGTAGCAGCCTACGAGGATGACATTGACATCTATGATTCTAGGGCCAATGCTGGGAAGTCCCTCACTGTGGCACAGAATGTCTCAAGCTACAAATTTACAAGGCATAAATGGATAATTCCATCCTACACCACTACATGGCGCTCCCCTTCTTTGCCACTTTTACAAAACACATTCCAAAGTCTGCAAGGCTTCCAGAACTCTGTCCTTCGACAAATCGTCTATGGCACCATCCTACAAAGGGCAGAGTTACTTCAGTTCTTTATTGAGAAATATTACAATCTGTCACATGTTAGGACAATAGTAATAGTGTTTGAAGAGTGGCTTATTCACACTCTATATACAATAAATAAACAGCAAAATAATAATACTAAAAGTAAATGTATATAAACTCAAATAAATTAAAACTAAACAAAACTAAACTAATCAAAATAACTACTTAAATACACGCATGCTTTTATACAATATTTACAAAGGGCAAACAATGGAACAATCCACGAGGTGCTCCAGCTTCCCTTGGTACCTGAGATAATAGGCCGAAGACACATCAAAATTTTTAATGGGCTGAAGAACTGTGCTAACTCATTATTCCAGGATATCTCTCCATCACTCAGACCTCATAGGTGGCAAGGGAAACTCACTTTGGAGGATGTATTCGCTGAAGGAAAAGGTCTGGACTCTGCAGTCCATACCTACAATGTGGGGTTTCATTCCATTTATTTTATGTTCATAAAAAAATAATATAATCTAAACTACAGAATACATGTAAATTACAATTAAGCAATTTGAGCAACGAGTTGTACAATTAAGTTAATAGATGTATAATTTATAAAATAGGGATTGGTCCCCTGTTTGGTGGATAGGGGGTATCCCTCTAGTATGATATAAAAATATTTCTGTAAATCTGACCGTTCTGAGGCCTGGATGCATGAGGCTCCAGACTGAAAGAATTGTCAAAGAAATTCTTTGGTCGGTGCAAGAGTTGGTACCAGGTGCTGTATGCCATTGTGGGCAGTCTCATTAAAACTGTGTTTATTTCTTTTTTGGTGCACCGTTGTGTAAGATCCCTAAGTAGCTTCAGTATCTTCTTCTTATTCGGCGTTACGACCCATTATTTGAGTCATAGCCTGCTCAAGCTTAGACCGCCAGTCCTCCCTGTCCTGTGCTGCTGCCTTCCAGTTCATAACACTGAGCAGAGATCTCGCGTCTGCAGCCATGCAGTCTTCCCAGCAAAGCCTGGGGCGTCCAACCCGCCTGGTACCATACATTTGCCCAGCTAAGATCTTGTAAGGAACTTCGTTTGGATCCATCCTTATGACCTGACCAGCCCAGCGAAGTCTTGATACTTTTATGAATGTTGATACGTATATTTCTTTGTACCTCGCTCTTAACTCAGCATTCGTTCTTCTTCTCTATGCGCCTCCCTCATATATACCACCATATATACGGCGAAGCACTTTTCTTTCGAAATGGAGAAGGAGATGCTCAAGGGCTTTAGTTGTAGTCCAACATTCTGAGCCATATGTAAGAACTGGTCGTATAATTGTCTTATAAATTCTCACTTTCGAGGCCTTCGACAACACACTACTTCTCAAGAGTTTATGGAGGGAGAAATAGGTGAGAGTTGCAGAGAGGATCCGTCTTTGGATTTCTTCTTCAATGCAATTATTACGGTTGATTTGGAATCCCAGGTCTATGAATGATTCCACTCTTTCAAATCTATGGCAACCTATCGAGACATGACTCCCACCATCTTCATGGGTAGGTAGGGTGCACATATAATTCGTTTTTTCAATATTCATCGTTAGGCCTAGTGTTGCTGCAGACTCCTCTAATGCTTTAAAAGCTTCTCTTATGACGTTTAGAGGCCTTCTCGCAAGATCCAAGTCATCCGCAAATCCTAAAATCTGGACTGTCTTGTTGAGAAGTGTTCCTGTTACTTGGATACCAGAGTCCCTAATAGCTTTCTCAAGAGAAAAGTTAAACACTAAACAGGCCAGGCCATCACCAGGCCTCACACCTGTCCTCATTGTGAATCCTCTTGATAGCATTCCGCTCACTCTAACAAAGCATACATTGTCATTTTTACTAGACGAACCAGATTGGTAGGGATGCTCATATCCACCATTGCCTTATATGCTTCTACTCTGTTCACGGAATGATAGGCTTGTTGGAATCAATGAACAGATGGTGAGTATGTATCTGGTATTTTTTTGTTTTCTCCAACGGGATTTGTAGAGTAAATATTTGATCTTCCTTTTCGGAATCCAGATTGATACTTTTCAAGCTCTTATTCGGCAAATGGAAGCAGTCTATTGAAGAGTATGATGGATAGAATTTTGTATGCGGTGGGAAGGAGAGAGATGCCTCTGTAATTATTACATACCGATACATCCCCTTTCTTATGAATGGGGCAGATCAATGTTTGTTCCATTGAGCAGGTAGTCTTTCTTCTCTCCATATATCAATCAATAACTCTTTTATTATTTCACCCCCACTACATTTAAAGAGCTCAGCTGGGATATAATCGATTCCTGGAGCCTTGTTATTCTTTAATTTCCCAATCGCATCATGTATTTCCTCTTCATCTGGGGCTATATAAATACCTCATCTTCCCCAGGAAGTCACTTGGGATTATATTGTCTTGACATCCTCTATTTAATAGATTTTGGAAGTGGTTTGCCCATACTTCCATGATTGCAGCTTCCTCGGTGACCAGCGTACCATCATTTTCTCTACAGGCATAATTCAGGGGATGGAATCCTCTGCGGTCTTTATTAATCATTCGAAAGAATGCCCTGCTACTTTTTTCATTGAAATCAGCTTCTATGTTAGCAAGCCTCTTGATTTCCCACTGTCGCTTCTTCCGTCTCCGTGTGTGAGTTTCTCTTCTTCTTCTTGCACGGTACTCCTCTACATATCTTCTGGTGTGTTTCTTCTGGATCATGGTTCTGTATGCCCAATTTTTTTTCCTCGCTTTTCTCCTTCGCTTTTCCTCGATACCAATTACTTCCTTTGCTACCTCAGCCATAGCTGTTTCACACTCTTTCCATTGATTATCAATGGTTGCATTACGGTCAATGGTCCTAATCTTTGTATCCATTGCAGCAGTGAACCTTGTCTGAATCTCTTCGCTTTTGAGCTTAAATGTGTCAGCTTTTGAGCTTCAGTATACACATTGTCAAAAAACAGTTTGAACACCTTGCCTTCAATTTATTTTATTAATTTTACCTCATAAATCAGATGTCAGTCTTTGATACGATGCCACTCAACTTCTTACTGTTAGCACTTTACGATTGAAAATTTCTAATTTTTTAAATTAAAAATTGCTCATACATTGCAGAGTTGTGTAAATGATGAATTGTTTTGGTTACAGAATGTCAAGAGAAAATGCTTCAGATATTTGTTCCCTGGATTAATTCTGTCATTTCTTTATGGAAAGTTATACATATTAAATCACAGAACTTTGCTTTGAAATTGATAGGCTTGGTTTGCCAAATTGAAAATGGATTTCATTTACTAAAGACGAACAACTGCTTAACCAAAGTTTGTAATATTTACCGTTATAATAGAGAGACTGATTTCTCCTTGACTCTTGCTTATATTGAAATAATAAGTTCATCTATTAAACATCCTTCTGGCTTATTATGGTTTTACGAAACGGGTAATAATTTTATTTATCTTTTAAAATTTCCATTGAATTATTGGTCTTTTGAATATAATTAAATATGTATTATTTTAGGTTGCTGGAATGACATCCTAAAAATTTCTCTAAGCAATAAGAGCTTGTTTGCTCTGAGAAGATCACGCAGCCTAATTGCAGAAATAATTTTTTCTCAGCTTGAAGGCAATATTTCTGCTTGTAAAATTTATTTGGATAAAGTTTTTCACCTTTGTTGTGTCTTAACAGATGGTGCTCACAATCATTGTTCTAGTGTTCTTAAAAATTTACAAAATAAAAAAGAATTGATTCCAGATAACTTATGGAGTTTAAATCCAATAATGTTATTGAGGGAAATCTGTTTGTACTTACTTGACAAAAATGTATCATTACACATTTTGTCTGCGATTGGATTGGATAAAATAAAAGATTGGACTCTGAAAAATATGAAAGAAAGAGGAAACCTCATGGTATGTGGTGAAAAATCTTCACAATTGTTTTATTTTACTCCCCCCCCTTTTTTTTTATTTTTTGTATGGTTTACTATTTTATTACGTCTCATCGCTCATGAAAACAAAAAATAGTTCATCCCATGATATTTATAATAGTTAATTTGTCCCATGTATTAAAAATATATTTCTTTTGTCACTGGTTGATAAACATATGTATTCTGAGCACTACCTTTTGAGCATTCTGAAATCCTAGGCATTTTATTCTACACTTGAGATTTAATTTCTTTACTGAATAGTCTCTTGGCATTACATTATTATGAATACTGGTAAAAATCACTGGTTATTTCAATAATTGTTCACTTATTGTTTAGCGTTGTCAAATAAGATGAAGGAAAAACCTCGGAATGAAAGATGTAAAGCTGAAAATTCACATGAATCTTTATTTTGACACTCTAAATGTTGACAAAAAAGTCTCATTAAATCTAGTATAAGCATCTCAAGTTGTCTAAGGTCAAAGAAAGTAACAAGCCTTTTTTTTTTGTAAACATCTAATTTTATATGGGACCTACATCATTAAATGTTATCGTAAAACTTGTTGAAAATTATATTATCTACAAGTTTGGTATTATTCATTTTTCTGTATGATCAACCATTCTCTGAATATAATTCAGAAATTGCAAAGCTAGTATCTGCTTGTGGTCTAACAGTATGTTAAATGCGAGGCTAGGTATATAATTCTCATCACAGTGTTAATTATTAATATTTTATCATATTAATTTTAACACCACTTAACTCAACTTTTCCAACTTTACAGGACGTACAAAAAACTTCCTAATTTAGTTAATAACAACCTCATTTTTATAATTCATAGCAAATTTATATCAATCAAGAAAATAAAATATTTTCCATGACTGGTACTGGTACAGGGGGAGAGTCAGTCCAAATGGACCTATTGGTCCTTTTTGCCATCCAAAATGACTGAGTTGGTGTGGCAGAATATGAATAAGTTTAGAATTTTGTTATGTTTTGGTTCCTCCTGGGGCATCCTTTGTGTTAAATGAGCTAAAATTTGGTATGTAGGGTTGCTTTTATGGCAAAAAAATATAAAAATTTGGATTTTTTTTCTTTCAAAATTTAGATATGTTGAAGCTTTTTTAACATTTCTTCTACAGCCTCTGCAAATATATTTAGAAGATTAAAATTTTGTCTGTAAATTGAGTTAGAGTTACACAAGCCCTTATTAGGATTCACAGAGTTACAGAAGTGTCTATTTGGGGTAAAGAATTTTTCTCAGTTTTTTTGTACCTCTAGAGTCCCTTGAAATTGAGTTCAAGGGTTGAAAATTTTTATTTTAATTGACTTGTTGTTACAGAACAACTTTTAAGGGCATTAGACTTTTTGTTTGATCCCTACCATTTTGATAAAATAATTTTAATTAATAGACATTATCCACAAAAAGTCCAAAGTGTCCAAAAACAAAATATAAGAAAGAAATTCAGCTGCACAAATAATTTTGAAATTCTATTAAATTTCCTCAGCTAACAATAAAGAAAAAAAAATCCATCTGTTTTTAAATCAGAAATGAGAGGAAAATAATGAAGGTGCTCAGCTACCAATTCTCTTATGTTGATTTCTGTATCATTTGGCAATTACTTTGTTTATTTATTGTCCAACAATTCTGTTTTGAAATAGAAACAAATGACGAAGAAAACAAAATGCCATGCATTTATTTATTAAAAGAGTTTTTTCAGTTTGTTACATTTTAACAATAGATGTAAATTTTCTGATCATTCTGATTGGACCCACTATTGCTAGGTCAGGAGGAGTAAGGCAGGAGAAAAGATAGGTTTCAAAGTCCTATATATAAGGTTTGTTATTAACCTAAATAAAATATTTTAAAAGCATGTGAAAATCCAATCTATGCTTGAGTGCCATCAAACTTTTGTTTTTAAATCCTAAAAGTAAAACTGTCCGAAGACATGTGATCTCCTTTATAGTCCCCTAAAGTATGACTCTTGTCTATCACTGTTCATAGGTGCACTTACAGGATGATAAACTCTATTGCAAACCCATAATAATAAATCTCTCACACGACGATTTGTACCAAGGTCCACTGTAGAGGTCAACAATTCTGATTACAATTTAGATAGATATATAGAGTGGGCAGAGTATCAGATTGGACTAACACATGCTTTCCTTGAAGCAACCTGTAATAAACAGAAGTTTACGAGTTCAAATCCCAGTGCCAGGGGAAACTTTTAACTGTGGCATAATTCTCTGCCCTCTCCCTTGGACCAGGAAAAATCCCATATATCTTAAAAGGCGAGGAAGGACCGATAGAAAAAAAAAGTATACATATAGATAGATAGATTGAAAAATAAAGTGTAATTTGGGACAAGTTTCCCTAAGAATAACAACAGTGGTAGGGCACTGACTTTCAATGTTTCAGATTTGACTCCGGCTGATGGCAGATCAATTATTTATTCTTTTTCGTTGCCATGGATTGACTCTGGGGTTAGAACCCTACTGGGTTATACCCGGTCTCTACAAATTGGGTGTTGGGTACTCTTAATTAAATAATTAATTATGAGGTAAAACCTGGCAGTGATTTTAGTCACTTCTTTCCACAACTGTTAACCCAAATATAGTGCTTCTTTACAAAATACTGAACCCAAAATCCTTCATGGGTTGTAGTGGTACAGATATTTTTATTTTTAATGAGACTATGTGTGATTGGCTTAAGATGAATTTGGAAATAGGTGTGCTCTAATGGATTAAAGATGGATGGGTTACAGCAAGTTAGTTAAGGAAGTTTATAATATATATTACTCATAAATGGATATTAGACAGTACATTTGATTTTGCAAAATTAATTTAATTAGATGTAAAAATAATAAATATTTTGTGTGGGAATTGATTTTTTTATTTTTTAGCTTGTTTTCAATAAATCTATCTATGTATCTCTCTATCTCATTGGCACTACAACACAGTAGTGGGTCTTGGCCTCCTCAAGCAGCTTCCGCCATCCAGCTTGATCCATTGCCACTGCCTTACAGTTTGGTGTTCCTAGTAGTATCCTGAAGTCAGCCAGCCGCCTATCTATCCATCTTCACCTGGACCTGCCTCTCCTCCTGGTGCCTATCTTCAAGGACTCTTCTGGGAATATCACCCTCCTCCATCCGGATCACATGACCGGCCCAACTTAACCTTCCATGTTTTATGAAGTTGAAGACATTTAAGTCATTATACAGAGTGTATAACTCCTGGTTTCTTTTATCTCCTCCAAACTTCTCCTTGTTTCACAGGGCCGTATATTCGTCGCAAAATTTTCTGTTCGAATATAAGGGAGCTATTCTCATCAGCCTTGTTTGTGAGACGTAGGTCAACATCGGCCTAATCAAAGTTTTATGTAGTATTGCCTTGTGGGTAATTGGTTCCTGATCTGCCTCTTTAAGCCAAAATAGCAGCAGTTGGCTACGGCTATCTTTTTTCCTATTTCCTTCGACATGTCATTGGTCAACTTCATGAGAGATCCGTGGCTGAGGAACTCCTGATCTCTCTATCTATCTATATGTATATCTTTTCTTTACTTTTTTTTTCTGTCATATATTTGACAACCTAACATCTGTGGACCACTTATCATCTGTTGCATATAACTTAGCATCTGTGGAGATCTGAAATTTAGAAAAAATTGTGTACTGTCCAAAGTACAGCTAGTACTCACTTATGTTGTAAAAACCTTAGTGCCTCATGGAGGGTTAAAATACCTTTTTGAAATATCTTTATGTATTGTTTTTTCAACCTCTTACCATCAATATGTCTTATTTTTCATGTTTTTTTTATTAATGCACATTATTGAAATCTGTATTGTATATTTTAGTTTATAATTTACTTTTGGATTGTAGATGCTTTCAAACATTTCAAAACTACTCTGTGTTATTAATATTATCTTCACACCTTGTGTAACCTCATCGAAAATTAATTATTCTGATATGCGTAAACTAAGTCAAAAAGTAATCGATCATTGCAGTGTTTTTATACGAAAAAAAGAATTTGGACTTGTTCAAGAAGCATGTGTTGAGTATTTGATGGTATGGAATCGTTTTGGCAAAGAACTTATTTATGATATCCAGGAATCAACAATCTATTCTTTTGAAAGCACTCCATTTAAAATTTTGGTAAGTATTTTAATTTTAATTTATAAAGGATGTGATTTTGTTAAGAGAATTTTTATTTTAAAAATTTGTTGCTAAGTTGAATATTAATTGAGTCTTGGGTGTAATCTAATCTACTTATGAATATTATGAAATTTTATTATTATTATTAAGACTGATAAATATTGATTTGATTGATTTCCTTTATTTGTTAAAGAACATGATTTCTTGAACAAATAATTCAAAATATTTACAAAATATGTCTTCCTGTGAGTTGTTTCCTGCACTTCATATGAAAGCTTGCATATTAAATAAACATCACTCTCATTATAATAAATATAAGCCATCTGATATTAGTACATAATTATACTTCATTTATGAATCAATTATTAATATACATATATACATACATACATATGTATATGCATACATACATACATATACATATCACGCAATACAAAATAAACAAAAACTCATAATAAAACAAACATCAACCGAATCAATATCTTAATGACAAAAACACTTAGTAACCATTCAATTGGTATAGGATGGCATCATTTCGGGAATAGAGTACATATTGGCTACTGATAATAAAAATAAATATATATGGTTCTCTATCTCGATACTGCCGAAACGTCGAATAAAGAATACAGGATGTAAAAACTGTGTACATTTGGTGACCTTTGGCCTAAAATATATATAAAAAACTTATGAGAAAATGGCACCAAACCTGAATGATGCGACTAGAAAATTTATCTTTTTACATTGTGATAAATTGCTATGTTCACAGCCTGCTTAATAATTTTTCTCTAATTTCATCTTCCTCCGTCTTCTTCTCCTGTCCTAATCGGCGGCCTTCCAGGTACTGCTTCTTCACGCCTATCCAGGAAGAAGTGGGTTGAGCCCACAGCTTTTTTCCACCCGCATACAAAGCTTTTAAAGTGCAGCTAGTTTTGTTGAGACATCAGTTGGGGTAAGTTTCTTTCTGTTAAAACGTAGAGCCCTGTAGTCCTCATCAATTTGGCCCTCAGTCCCTCATAGCTGGTGCAGGTTACAAGGATGTGCTGAGCGTTTTCAGGTACTCCACAAGTGGGGCATAAGGGATCGATGTTGTTACCATGTTTAAAAAGTTTTGCTCTGGAGCCCCTATGCCCCGTGAGAATCTGTGAGACCCAGTAGACCGGGAGGACCCATTTCTTTTCTATGCGCGATTTAACAGTGGGAAAGAATTTTTTCAGTGTGGACCCATTTGGGGTTGTTACAATGTATCTTCCCGGAGGATCATCTTCCATCTTCTGGAGTCTTCACAAATCCTGTCCCGAATATTCGCTGGTAAATCCGCCAAGCCATCCCTTTTAATATTGTGCCGAAAAAGATCTTCCCGCAGGAGGAGATTGGTGAGGAATGTCGTAGGCGGTGGGGAGTAACATTTTTGTTTGTGGAATGCAAATTATTTGATAAGTAAAATATTCAAGGAAACATCCTATACAATAGCTACATTGTTTCTAATAGTTAGAATAAATATTATGACTATTAGGTAGTAATACAGTAACAAGTAATCAGAGATGACAGCCAATACAAGCATAAAACAGTTTGAGTGAATGTATACGATAGTTTGGCAATTAATGTTAACAATACAGACAATTGTAATAAATTAAAATGATAAGAAGTCAATACAATATATTTTACATTAGTATTTTTTATGATATCTTTTGGAATAGAGAAAATATAAATATAAATTTTATTAATTGATTAGATAAATCGACTATATTATAGAACAAAAGCATCAAAAATAACAATAGTGTACTAATTGTATAAACATAAACATATCTCTGTCTTGTTTATAGTAATTTCTGTGTATATTTACATTAAGAATACACCTTATTTATATTGAGGGATACGTATGTATATATATATATATAATTTTTTTCGGTTGGCACTACAGACCATGAAGATCTTTGACCGTGTGGTCTCCTAGACCTCATCCCGATTTAAAGTATAAGGTAGGGTCATCAATCGTATGCCCGGTCGGTGTGTGTTACCTCTAGTAGGCTGACAGGCCTCACATACCCGGGAGGGAGGGGGGAGGAATCTCAGGCAGTGTGGCTTTCCTTGGTGGACGGTCACCCAGGCTGCCTACAAAATTATTTTTTGCAGCGTCCTTATCACCAAAAAATCAGTGTAGCTAAAAACATGATTCACTGCTATCTAACGTTATCTGATTCTCAATTCCACGACAATAATCTATCTAAGCTATATCCTAAAAATCAAACACCTTTCCTGATCACATAATAAAAAATCAATCTAAACTTCACCTTCACCAGTCTCCCACAAACTGCTCTCATTCTCCTAACATGATTCGGCAATACAGATCCATTCCACACATCCTCCTGATCTTCTCTCAAAAAACTTCCAAATTCCCTCACCTGCACATACTTTTTAAAAATAATAGTAAATCAAGAAATTTATAAACCAAACTCAAAGATGCTGTTCTTCTCCTTCTACAAACTAATATAGTATACCGTATCGCATGCTCTAGCCCTAGCTGCAATTCCTTCTATGACCCACATGCTTGGGTTGAAACATTGGCGCAAATAAAAAATATTCACAATGACTACGTTCTGACTATTTATCACCCATGATTTGTAGAACAGTCGACTTCCTTCAATAATTCATTTAAATAAATAAAGATAAAAACAATTTATGTTATAAAATTTAGAATTGAAAAACCATAATATGAATGCATTTAAAAACAGCAATTTTTTTACTTTATCAGCTGATAGTCGAGTCCGAAGTTAGTTAATCAACATGGATTATTGGATTATTTATAAAATGATTAGTTAGTAAAAAAAATATATATTTAAATTAAAATAACAGAGGCCTGTTTCATATTAAATTAAAAACTGATAATATTATATTGTAGATTGTACTTGTTGGTACTGTTTTATTTCATAATAGCTAAGTATAAACTACAAGTTTTAAAATACTAAGTACAAGCTGAAATACTGTTGTCATGACAAGTTCGTTCCTGAAAGCAAGTTTACTATACTAAGTATTTGATTAATGTAAAATTATTGCATGAATATTAAGATCAGAAACTAATAATAAACATGAAACTTAATTATAGTTTAGACAAGTTTATTCTATTTTTGAACCTTTTCCTTAAATATTATAACAGAAACGAAACTATTTTGCATTTTAATTAGGGGGCTTGATAACTCTAGTAATATAAAATATGCACAGTAAAATCAGTGATTAACATACGTATTACATATGTACGGTTAAAAATATATTGTTTTGTGCTAATATTTTAATCCAGTTGTACTGATTATTTATACTGATAGTTGTATTTAATTAAATAAATATGCTGTGTCAGAAGTGAAAAGTTGCAACTTAATGTACATGATACTTCTATGGCACCATAATAGAATTTTCCTCAAAAAGGTGGGTTTAGTATGTATGATTGTGGGTTTAATCAAGATTTTGTATTGCCTTTTTCCATAAAATGAGTATTAGAATATGTGTAAGGTCTAATACTTTTTGTTTCATACAGAACTTTCAAATAAAACTAAATAAATAAATAATGTTACTTTTGTATTATGAAAACATAGCCAGCTTAAAATAAGTTTCCATTGATGAGAGCTCCCAAAAATTCTTATGATGTAGTGTAAACTAGTTATAAATTAGTGTAGTGATTTATTTGAACTAGAAAATGGATTTTCATGAAATACATCTAAAAAAAGTTATGAGTCAACTACAATACAAGTGTTGTAAAGCTGTTTTAATTATGTATCAAGTATATCATATTTTTTTTTGTTTTTTTAATGTAAATTGTTTAACTTAACTATTTATTCTTCCCAGTCTACCATCTCAAAGTGATGTGCATACACATCATATTTCTTCAATGTTTCTTTTGACAAATTTTTACTATCTTAAAACTATTTAAAAGAGAATTCTTTAACCTTTTTATATATTTATTGTTTTAGTCAGTACCATTATATATCTTCTTGCGTCTTGGCAGTATTATGGAATCAGATATAATGGATGCTTTTGCTGTTAGAGTATTTACTGGATCTTGTGTAGAAACAAAGAGAGCATGTTACCTGTACCGAGAACATTTCAGAATGCATTCTGATTCAGAAACTCAAAAACTTGCTGTTTCTGTCATTCATTGTTACATAAGGATCGCTGATATTAGTAAAAGGGTAATGTTATGTTTTCTTTTTAAATGGAAAAAATAGTTTGAAATATGCAAAATGCAGAAAATGTACAGACAGAATTTTGTCATTAAATATAATATTTCTTACCACTTTAGAGAAATTTATAAAGATGTTCATTTAGTTGTCTGAAATATTATCTCTGATGCTAGGTTTTAAAATTGTAAATATTTATCATCATCATCATAAGTGACGTGATATCCCATCACCAAGACTAGGCCTCCTCCAAAAGTCTCCGTCAGTTTGTTCGGTTGTTTGCTGCAGCTCTCCAGTTTTGGATTGCAAGATGGGCCCGCATGTCCGCAGAGATGGAGTCTATCCATCGCGTGTTCGGTCATCCAACTCTCCATTTCCCGCAGAGCTCTTCGGTAAGGATAATTTTCAGAATCTCGTTGGCAGCCATCCTTTGCAGATGTCCAGCCCATCAAAGTTGTATGAGCTTCACGAACTTGACTATGTCAACATCGTTAAGTATTCAACGATAAATATTCAAGTCATTGCTAACTTTTTTATTTACTTTCTTAAGTTAGTTAAAGTAGTTATGATCCACTGATAAACCAACCAGTGTCTAGGAAGCAGTATAATCAGCATAAAACAGCCAATAGTGATATTTTACTAATTTTATTATAAAATATATAGACATTTTAGTGATTATATTATACTTTAAATACTTGGTAGATATATTTTATTTTCTAAGTTTAGGAAGTGATCTGTGTTTATAATTAAAAATATAACACAGTAGTTGTATAGTATTTAATTCTTCAAGGACAGGCAAAATTTGTTAATGAATAAGGTAACCCCTTCGCTGTTTTGTACAGTGGCTTAAAGTAATATCATGTAAAGTTAATAAAGGAGACAAGTAGCATTTTAATGCTCAGAAAACATATGTTCTCTGAGATATCAAACATATCGTGAGTTTATTGCTATAAGTCATTAAGTAGTATTTCATAATTTGAAATAATTAAGATCCTTGATGAATTTTCCCTTTGTGAAGTCAGGAAATTTTGTACTTAATATAACTATATATGATAAATGAAATCATTTTCACACACTTAAGATATTTTGGTATAGATAAATAAGGTCAAAATTCACAAAAGCATTTATTAAAGTTGACCTATATCAACAATGGACTTAGTGACTTTTTGTAATAAAAAGACGATATCATGTTTAATATAGTGATAAACTACATTGTCAATCCTTCTTACCATCAAGGGCTGCACGATATTCCTCAATTGCAACAACCCTCTCAGCCCTCTCTAGGAATGGTAATTTCAGCAGCAGTTATACTCTTCCAGCACTAGACGGAAGACAACAGCAGAATAAAAAAAATATCAGGTATAAGCTGGTACAACCTGCTGAAAATGCCACTCCTCAGCTTATAAAAGTTTGAGGGGCTAACATGCATGTGCAGAACATGCATTGTCCAGCAACTGGATATACTGAAGATTACAGAGATTTAATAGGAAGACAAAAAGGGAAGGCTTTTAACTTCTGCCCTTTCCCCTATCCCAGGAAAATCAGTGTATCCGAAAAGGCGAGGAAAGGAAGGACAAAAAAAATTTTAATATATTAATTTAATCTCTTTCCAACCTTTTATGCCTTTTCACCCCCTTGATGGTATACATTTGGATCTGGCATGTTTAAGTAATGTCTTGGAAAAAGCTGGGAAAATATTTCATTGCTGGGGTGACGTTTAAACATGACTAAACTTAACGACTTACTGGTCTACTTCAAGACTGAATACACTAAACCAACCAGCCATTGCTTTTATTTAAAATAGTTTTAAATTTGAAATATGTAGAAATTTGTTAAAGCTCTATTTGATTTTTTTTTTTTAATTTGTTTTAGGAACATGGAGTTTTAGTTTTCCAAACTCTTGTCCATGTCATGAAAAAAATTATACCCAATGATTATGTGGAATTTGATTTTCCACCATGTAAACAAGTATCTCCTGGTAATTTTACAGAAGAACAGTTTCCACAATATTTTTCACTCCTTTCATCTAGTTTAGAAGCTTTATATGACTACATTCCACGTTTTAATATAACATGGCGTGATTCTTTAGAAACTCTCTGTGTGTCACAGCTTGTGCAAGCATTACTTAATACATCAAATCTTCCTCCAAGGGTAAGATATTTTATGTTGTTCCCTATGTATTTCTATTTTAATAGCAAATTTAGTTTATCTATATATAAATGTATGTCTGTCTGTTTGTCTTTTATGCATTACTACACCATTCATCTGATCGCCATGAAACTTTGGGAAGTTGTTACGTACGCTCCCGCGAAGGTTTCTGGCTTAGTACTTCTGTCTTATGATAATTTTATATGTGTAAAAAAAATAAAATATAGATGTTTTTTTGTTCAAAGCTGCTATTCTCCGAAGGTTCTTCACTGATTGCTTTGAAATTTTGACACAGCTTTGCAATCGAATTCAGGAGTGTTTTTGAACATTTTATTAGCATCCGGCCTTTTGTTTCGAATTGGCAGCCGAAAAACGTGTTGCTATAAACTGTAGTCCCAAAACAGCTTTAACGATTTGAATGAAACTTGGCTAAAGTCTTTCCCTTGAAACTCTTTTAATTAATATGTATAACACACTTTCCCGAAAAGAAACTGATAAATGTTACGAAGAATTCAAAATTTTATGAGCCGATAACTAAAAAAGTACACAATTTTTGATCGATAATTTCCATATTTATTCCTGTATTCCCTACAAAATAAAAACAAATGCCATCGAAATAGATAAGAATTATCTCCGAAATGAAACAATTTGTAGCGGCCGTAGGAGTAAAGTGGTTTTAAATATTTTTTAAAGGAGAAACAAAGTTGAGATTTGTATTTCGTATCTTGATAAACCCTCAAATACCAATTTTCATTGGAATCAAAAAATAAATTGTGAAGCTAGTAAATTATAAAATATTATCATATAAATATACTGTTAAGCCAACTTAATTAATTATATTTTTTTCTCATGAAATTATTGATCAAGAAATCTCTTTTACCTTTTCTTTTAGTATTATAAGCCTAGTTTTTGGTAGTTGTGTAATGGTTTAGAATTTTTTTATCTTCATACAGCTAAACAGTATACAGTAGACTCCAGCTTGACCGGTTCTCCGGATTAACCTATGTTAGTGGTAAGTAAATTAAAAGTAAAAAAAAATTGTTTAACATCCTTAAAAACACTTTGTAAAGATACTAAGCCCCTGCTTATAAATTTAATTTTTGTTTTTTTTCGGTTCAATAGATTTTAAATAGGTACTAAGTTTTTCTTTTCAGATGTGTTACACTTTTCGTTCAATTAACTATTGTGGCGAAATGATTGAAAAAAGAAAATGAGTTGTTATGTCATTAAAGATAAAAGTTTTAAGATTTTTTTGCAATGTAGAAGTTAAAATAATATTGAATGCCTAAACTCCTCATTATCTGAGGCAATTATGAAGTCTTAAACTGACAATAACTATGTCAGTTATGTTAGGTCCAACAGGAATGTTTGTTGATGGAATCATGAACTTGGCAAGCTAAGAGTCTCAACTAGAAAACTCTTTAATGTTGCCAAAAGTACGAGCAGATGGGATACCTATAAGTGTGTACTCTCTGAATTGAATACAATAACGCCATATGCAGGGTGTGGGGAAACTTTTGCAGTGAAATAAATGACTAGTCCATTCACACTCCATACATTCACGTCCAGGATCCATAAAATCTTATCCAAGCAAACTGCAAAGTGGATTGGTCATTGGCATCAGGGTTGAAGGAGGTAACACCTATTCTGAGGAAGATACTCTGGAGGCTCTGGCGCCTGTCCATTTTCCTGGCTGCCTAATGCTGGATGAGCATATAGTTAGTCCCACTATGGACAGTTACACCTGTGGCAAAGACAAGTGGGTTAAAGCCAAAAGAATTGTTAATTCTATGAGAGTTGAATGGGCAGTTAGTTCTTTTGCACCGTTCAAATCAGCTGGAACTGATGGGATTTTGCCGTCCCTTTTACAAAAAGGCCTACCTGTGATTAAACCTTATCTTCTGGAATTATTTAGGGGTAGTTTAGCACTTGCATACATCCCTAATAGGTGGAGTGAGGCAAGATTTTGTTATATACTTAAGTCTGGAAAAGAGTCTTACGAAAATCCCAAAGCATACAGACCTATATGTCTTACTTCTTTCCTGTTGAAAGCACTGGAAAAGATCATGGATAGACACATTAGGGATTCTACATTAGTAGAAAGACCGATACACTGTTTTTCTCTATGTAGCTATACTGTGTTCCCAATTGGCCTATCAAGCTGGCAAATCCTGTGAGACAGCGTTACATCACTTGATCTCGAGAATTGAGAAAAGCTTATCGCAGAAAGAGATTATGGTGGGTATCTTTGTCGATATTGAAGGTGCATTTGATCATACAGCTTATGATACAATGGCTAGAGCATTGGATAATAGAGGGGCCGGACTCTTGGCTTCGGAATGGATTAACTCATTTCGGAGGGGGAGAGTCCGTAAATCTGAGCTGGGGCAATCCATACTGTGGGTTAAACCTGTTGGAAGATGTCCACAATGGGGTGTGTTGTCTTCACTTTTGTGGTGTCTGGTCGTCGACCCCCTGATTATTAAATTGAATGCAGTAGGATTTAATTCTCAGGGATAGGCTGACGATATTGCCGTATTGATAGGGAGTAAATTTCCTGATAAAATCTCTGGATTGTTCGAAAACACTATGTGACTTCTAAAAGAATGGTGCCAGGACAATGGCCTTGACATAAATCCTCAGAAAATAAATCTATGTATCTTCATTAACAAAAGGAATATAAATATTAGACCACCATCATTAAATGGGTCATTATTAACTCTCTGCAGTGAAGAAAAACATCTTGGGATACTCTAGATAGTTAGTTGAACTGGCTAAGTCATATTGAAAAGATTAGTGGTAAGGCTATACACTGTATATGGGCGTATAAAAGAGTTATTGGCAAATTGTGGGGGCTGAAACCAAGTATGACCCTATGGCTGTGCAGAACTGCGATTAGACCTTTAATGCGACAGGCCGAGGTTCTAACTATCAATTTCTGTGCTCAATCACTTGGAAGGAAGGACATTATGAATAGATTGATAACAATATATAAAGATAATCAAGCGGCAATTGGGGCACTAAATAGTTATGAAATTCGCTCCAAGTTAGGAGATGAATGTAAAGGTAATCTAAACCTTCTCTGTAATGCCAACAAGGTGAGCATAGAATGGGTACCTGGGCACTCAGGCATTCCAGGAAATGAAAAAGATGATTGCATTGCTGGGAAAGGCTCTGCAAGTGCTGATTGCACCAAAGCCCATCCGTGGGGTAAGCCTTTTCTTTGCCAAAAGGCATATTAAGGCAAATGGTGGGTAACAAGTTTAGGCTACATTGGGATCATACTAGGTAGAGCCCTGTCACAAGAGAAGTAAATCACTTCTTCAAATGGACAAGAGCACCATCAGGTGTGCGACAGGACTGTGCACTGGCCACTGTCTACAAAAATAAGCACCTCTTTAATTTGGGTGTAAGTGAGACCTCCTCCTGTAGGCTGTGTGGCCTAGAGGACGAAACAGCCTATCACATTATTTGTAGATGTGATAATTTGGCTAGACTGCGATACTTTCACTTTGGATGTGGTCATATTAGTGACCCTAAATGCTGCGAACTAATAGATCTTACGAACAGGTTTACAAAGGCATCTGGCCTGTTTAAATAGAGTTTAGGATGACACACAATAGGCCTTCTTGAGGCTGCGGTGCATTTCTATGTCGGGGAGAAAAAAAATAACCAATGAGAATTGATATTTTCTCTTTGATCAAACTTCTGAAAGAAAATTAAGACTCTCAGGTGCAGAATAAAGGAAGTCTAAACCAAAAAGAAACTTTAAAATGAAAGAGGAGATGCGGTGTTATAAAGGAAAGGAGTGCTAAATGTTTGGCGTATATACTTCTTAAGACAGTTTGAGGACAATCTGGAAAAAGTAATCGTCCTGATGAGAGATCCAAGGTGAAATATCAGCCTGGTGCTTTCCCTTTCTTCATCTTCGCAATGACCTTTCTCACTTATCACCAATAGCCTTCAATCAGATCATTTGCCATTCTGTAATATACATGTAGAATGCTGCAAGTATTCACTAATAAATTTTGTGAAAATGTTATTGGATTGACAGAGGTCTTATGTTCATAATGAGATTCTGGGAAAATAAAATTAAAGTTATTATTGGGAGGGTATTAATCAATTTTTGAGAGGTTTCATCTTTATTTTTTAATATGAGGAGTTGATCGGGGAGGAGGGGAGGAGGATGTGGTCAAATAAATACTAAATTAAACAAATAGTATTATTTAAGTTTTACCAAAAATAGTTGGCAAAAATTAAATAATACTATTTGTTTAATTTAGTATTTATTTGACTGCACTCCCCAATCAACTTCTTCTCATATTATATCAACGGTCAACCATCTCTACATCTTTATTTTTTAATATTGGAGTGAGGCCTGTTTTCTCCCTAAAATAACTGGACTATAACGTGTGAGAAAAAAATGCCTTGCCCGTCAACCTGATAAACAGAAGTTTAGATGATAAAATAATTACGAGTTCGAATCCCAGTGCAGGGGGCTCTTAACTGTGACATTAATCCAACGCCTTCTTCCTTGGCCCAGGAAAAACCCCGTAGAGCCTTAAAAGGTGAGGAAGAGAAGGTAAAAAAAAAAAAATATATATATATATATATATATATATATATATTGCGTGGGCAGGATGGCCGAATGGGCGTGTGCACAACACCGCCCTTGCCCGGCAACCTGATATATCAATCAAATGATATGGGAAAACCCCTTATAGCCTTAACTGCGAGGGAGGGGAGGACCCCTCCCCCCAAAAAAAAGGCAAAACCACAAATATTATGGGAAGAGGTGGCCAGTGGTCTAATGCTTATGCAAAACATGCATTGCCTGACAATTTGATAAACTGGAGTTTAGATGATAGAATAATTACGAGTTCGTGTCCTGGTGCCAGGGACTTTTAACTCTGGCATAAATCACCCACCTTCTCCGCTGGTTATACAAATAGTATTATTTAAGTTTTGCCAAAAATAGTTGGCAAAAATTAAATAATACTATTTGTTTAATTTAGTATTTATTTGACTGCACTCCCCAATCAACTTCTTCTCATATTATATCAACGGTCAACATCTCTACATCTTTATTTTTTAATATTGGAGTAAGGCCTGTTTTCTCCCTAAAATAACTGGACTATAACGTGTGAGAAAAAAGTGCCTTGCCCGTCAACCTGATAAACAGAAGTTTAGATGATAAAATAATTACGAGTTCGAATCCCAGTGCAGGGGGCTCTTAACTGTGACATTAATCCAACGCCTTCTTCCTTGGCCCAGGAAAAACCCCGTAGAGCCTAAAAGGTGAGGAAGAGAAGGTAAAAAAAAAAAAAAATATATATATATATATATATATATATATATATATATATATATATTGCGTGGGCGGGGTGGCCGAATGGGCGTGTGCACAACACCGCCCTTGCCCGGCAACCTGATATATCAATCAAATGATATGGGAAAACCCCTTATAGCCTTAACTGCGAGGGAGGGGAGGACCACCCCCACAAAAAAAAGGCAAAACCACAAATATTATGGGAAGAGGTGGCCAGTGGTCTAATGCTTATGCAAAACATGCATTGCCTGACAATTTGATAAACTGGAGTTTAGATGATAGAATAATTACGAGTTCGTGTCCTGGTGCCAGGGACTTTTAACTCTGGCATAAATCACCCACCTTCTCCGCTGGTTATACAAATAGTATTATTTAAGTTTTGCCAAAAATAGTTGGCAAAAATTAAATAATACTATTTGTTTAATTTAGTATTTATTTGACTGCACTCCCCAATCAACTTCTTCTCATATTATATCAACGGTCAACCATCTCTACATCTTTATTTTTTAATATTGGAGTAAGGCCTGTTTTCTCCCTAAAATAACTGGACTATAACGTGTGAGAAAAAAGTGCCTTGCCCGTCAACCTGATAAACAGAAGTTTAGATGATAAAATAATTACGAGTTCGAATCCCAGTGCAGGGGGCTCTTAACTGTGACATTAATCCAACGCCTTCTTCCTTGGCCCAGGAAAAACCCCGTAGAGCCTAAAAGGTGAGGAAGAGAAGGTAAAAAAAAAAAAAAATATATATATATATATATATATATATATATATATATATATATATTGCGTGGGCGGGGTGGCCGAATGGGCGTGTGCACAACACCGCCCTTGCCCGGCAACCTGATATATCAATCAAATGATATGGGAAAACCCCTTATAGCCTTAACTGCGAGGGAGGGGAGAATCCCCCTCCCCCCCCCAAAAAAAGGCAAAACCACAAATATTTTGGGAAGAGGTGGCCAGTGGTCTAATGCTTATGCAAAACATGCATTGCCTGACAATTTGATAAACTGGAGTTTAGATGATAGAATAATTACGAGTTCGTGTCCTGGTGCCAGGGACTTTTAACTCTGGCATAAATCACCCACCTTCTCCGCTGGTTATACAAATAGTATTATTTAAGTTTTGCCAAAAATAGTTGGCAAAAATTAAATAATACTATTTGTTTAATTTAGTATTTATTTGACTGCACTCCCCAATCAACTTCTTCTCATATTATATCAACGGTCAACCATCTCTACATCTTTATTTTTTAATATTGGAGTAAGGCCTGTTTTCTCCCTAAAATAACTGGACTATAACGTGTGAGAAAAAAGTGCCTTGCCCGTCAACCTGATAAACAGAAGTTTAGATGATAAAATAATTACGAGTTCGAATCCCAGTGCAGGGGGCTCTTAACTGTGACATTAATCCAACGCCTTCTTCCTTGGCCCAGGAAAAACCCCGTAGAGCCTAAAAGGTGAGGAAGAGAAGGTAAAAAAAAAAATATATATATATATATATATATATATATATATTGCGTGGGCGGGGTGGCCGAATGGGCGTGTGCACAACACCGCCCTTGCCCGGCAACCTGATATATCAATCAAATGATATGGGAAAACCCCTTATAGCCTTAACTGCGAGGGAGGGGAGGACCCCTCCCCCCAAAAAAAAGGCAAAACCACAAATATTATGGGAAGAGGTGGCCAGTGGTCTAATGCTTATGCAAAACATGCATTGCCTGACAATTTGATAAACTGGAGTTTAGATGATAGAATAATTACGAGTTCGTGTCCTGGTGCCAGGGACTTTTAACTCTGGCATAAATCACCCACCTTCTCCACTGGTTTGGGGAAACCCTGAATAGTCTTAGAAGAGAGGAAGGGAAGGGCAAAAGAAAAAAAAAAAAAAAAACAATTGTAGCTCACATATCTGAAGAATTTTTTATGCCTAGATTGCTAAGAATTCTTTTGAGAGAAGCAAACCTGGAGTCATGGAGATTCTGAGGGTGGAAGCTGGTTTCATTTATAATCCTTTTATAGCACTTCCTTGGTAATTCGTCTGGAGAGTGATCCACCTCTTTTTGGAAAAACATTCTATTCCTAATTCTATTTCTCAGAGTCTCTTGATTTGTTTTTCTGTTCTATATTTTACAGTTGCCTGCCTTGTATTTCACTTTTGTACCATATAAGACATGTTTTTGCTCTCCTATATTCTTCATCAGACCATAAGGAGCTCTTTTCGGGATCTTTAACTCTTAGGTTGCCCTCTGTTGTCTTGGCTTTTACTGTTTCCAAACTATTCTATGTATCCTAAATATTCTTCATATTGACCATGTATGCTGTATCAGTCATTATTTCCTCTAACTGTTTTTGAAAGGAAATTAGTGGATCAGGTTTTTTCAGTTTCATTGCATTCCATTTCTTTTGTGCTGTTGATTTGCAAATATTTTCACTTGAGATTCTCACTCTAATGTGTACAATGATCCAATAATGGTCAGAATCCATGTGCAATAATTAGCAGATGATCCATTTATTTGAAGATAGTTCCTTTATGTGATCTCCATCTGACCTTGTGGATCCCAGGAATACTGTGGTTCCCTATAATCATGTTTTGTGGTGCAGAAAAATTTATAATCTTTTTCCCATGGATACTGTGATGGTTAGTAGTTATTCATTACATTTCTTCTTTAATAATTTTAGCATTAAAGTCCTCTAATCCTGACCCTGATCATTATATCACTCCTAGGATATACATTCTGGGCTCTTTCTGATGCTTGGTAAAAGTTGTCCTTATCTTCTTCACTACCATATTTAATATTTCAGTAGGAACATTACAGCTAATAAGGCTATAATTATAAAATAATACTACAAAGTCTTAATGGGAGAAAATCTAATAATTTGGTGTCTCATTCGCACTCCCTTTTTTGTTTGAAGCTGTAAGATATTGTGATATATCTTCTCAATTAAACCGCTGCACACGAAGTGGATCTCCTGAATGTGGTTATGTCGACTCTGTAGTCTTCCAATTCTGTCAGGAGGACACACCCTAACATCGACAGCAAAGCCAAACATTCATAGTTCCAAGCTTATGCTTTGCATTTGGTGGGATCAAGAGCTTGGTGACGATTATTACAAACTCCTTCAGCCCAATGAAACCATCACAGAAGATCACTATAAACTACTATTGATGCATTGGAGCCAAGTCCTGTAGCAAAAGTGAACACTATACGAGGATAGGCACAATAAGGTAATTTTACTGCACGATAAAGCTCGACCTCATGTAATGTCATAAACTTGTTTAAAACTTATTTGGAAACACTGAAATGGAAAGTTCTGCCCCACCCAACATATTTGCCAGACATTACTCCATCCAACTACCACTTGTTCTGATTGCTGACTCATGGCCTGAATGAGAATTTTAATAAACAAAGTTTTCATTTTTATAAAAAAAACGGGGACACACACTGTAGCTCACTGCCTGTATCAGATGTAGGGCTTGCCTCCTCAAAGCACTGTAACTTGGTCCCCTTCTGTGAGCGGCTTAGTTCATAGGGGGTTACATGTTAAATGTAATGTTCTGTGTGTATTTGTGCTATGTACTGAACTAAGGAAGAGGGAGGGGACATTAATCTCTATTAGCCATGTGTAGGTGGGTATAGGTACATAAGTTTAAATACATAAGTGGGTAAATGAAATATTAGAAAAAAAAATTGACCCTCCTGGAGATGAAGGCCAAAAGAAATTATTGTGATTAAGCTTAAAAACTACAAAACCTATTATTGTTTTTATAGATGTACATTGATGCCCTGAAAGTCACCAAAGTTGTATTAGTTCGTTATCTACCTATGAATCTTGCACTTGTAATGGATACCATTAATGAATTTAGTGTTCATAGATTGGGCAGTCAAATATATAAATTACTGCATAGTGTTTATTGGGAAGTGAGAGATTCTGCTCTTGAACTACTCCAGATAATCTGTACATTAGCTGAACACAGTAAGTATTCTTGTTTCAAAGAAATTATTATTTAATGTAATTATATATATTGTTTTAGTGTTAGGGGGTACCTTTTTCATTATTGTCTGTTTATATTTGTGGTTAATAATAATTAGAATTCTACTTTATAAATGAAAACTACAAAGGAAAAGGTAAACTACACACTCTTGGGCCACCTTCTCAATTCTCATGGTCGTATTAAAATTTTATGATGATATACTCATACACAATACCTCTAACTATGTGAAGCATTGTCTTTAATTTTTGTTTTATAGAGGTAATAAATTTAATTTTTGTTTTATAAAGGTAAAATATCTATATGCGTCAGTTTTCTTCATCATTTTTCCAGTTTTTGGTACCCTCTGTCCAATTTTCAGAATCTGATAGTACCAGTGTCTGGCCGTCTTCAAAATGAAAGAACTTAATGGTGTGCAGAAATGTTTACCATGTAGGTACATAAACACAAAATCAAACATAACTAGGAACTTTATCAACTTCGAAATAAGTGAAATTTATGTGGTTGTATTCTTTATTGTTTTCATTCAGGTGTTGCAAATATTTTCTAAAAACTGATTCCAAGAATATTCAATAGATATTGAGTCAAGGCTTTTAATCCATTTTTTTAAATATCTGGTTAGAGACTTATGAAAACACTTTTTAAAGCTGCTACATGAGCATTTTAGTTAACAATTCGTCCAGAATTTAACTTTTTCATGCTCCAACATTATTTATTCTTGCTTGCATGATTGGAAGGAATGAAAATACATCTGTTGGCTGTAAAATAGGTATTGCCTTGTGATGAAGTAAAATTATTATATATTTTCTTTGTACTACAAATCACTAATATGATAAGTTGTGTGACTGTTAAGCCCTTCTGTGTAAAGGATGATAGTCTTTGTGATGTCTGACGAGATGACATGACGCCTGAGGTCACTTTCTGTTTGATATAGCCAAGGAGTTCTACGTTCTGCAATACTGCTTGGACGATTTCCATTGGCGTCATTTCCCAATTAACTTTTTCCCTTTTGATTGCCTCTGTCTTCTCCAACTGGCCACTTATTTGGGCGGCTTGGAGCATCACATAATCCACCATTGACTCTAGGTGCATGACCAATCTTTGAAGATTAATGGGGTCCTCAGCTTCCTCCAACACCTACCTTTAAGCTCTAACCCTCTTTTTGTTACCTCTTTGATAAGTAACATTGACACAGTCTTCTTCTTCTTGTGGGTTACTTCTCTGAGACCTTTTGTCCTCTGAGGAGCTCCCTTCAGTAATAGAAGTACCTGGTGGGAGATAATATTATAAATACTGAAACTTATCTTTTCTGTGAAAAGTGTATTTAATGTCTTTTTTTTTTTTTTTTTGGTCATGGCCGCTACTGCAGTTTAGTTTTCAGTTCGCTCTGTGATTATTACTTTGCTATGTGCTTATTAATCAAAACTCTGTGTTAATAATTGATTAACAGTGACATTATAAACAGTTGAACATTTTTAAGTTCACGGATAAAGAGGTGAGTTACAATTTATTAACAATGAAGTGATAAATTAGTGCTCGTTTGAATAGCCCATGTGGCTGTTAATTCCCTTGCTTCTTATCTTATTTACGTTAAGTTCCCGGCCAAGGTTTGTATACTAGCTCGCTTCCGTCAGCTGATCTCAGTACGAAACCAAAGACTTGTAGAACTCCTTTTTTTTTTTTTTTTTTTTTTTTTCTTCTCCAAGAGACAGTTTATTTAATTTTTTTCCTTTGTTTATTTATTCTCAGAAATGTTTTGTTTTATTTCTGTTTCTGAGTTTGTAATTTTTTTTTTTTTTACTTCTTTTTAATAGATCGTAAATTCTTATTTTGTAGTTTTAATATTTAGGTATATATATATATTTTTTTTTCTTTCTTTTCTCTTCTTATCATAATGGAAGATATGAATTTGGACGAGAAATCTTCATGTGAAGATTCAGAGGACGAGACACCATTTTCCGAGGTTAGCGAAACTGATTCGCAATATCTGAAAAGACGCTCGCTTCAAAAACGTAACAGAAACTCTGCCCCTGGGTCAGGTGGCAATTCGCCTAACAAGAAGAAAAATAAATCAGCAAAATCTAAACAGACAGCTGAACAAAATAAATCTAAACAGCCTGCCGAGCAAAATAAATCACCACCCAGAACTAGAAGCAAATCAAACATCACAAAAACAGCTCCAACTGCACCAAATACCACAGCCAGCAATAATTTTGATCTTGGTAGTAACTCACCTAACAAGCCTCCGGCACCTCAAGGTTTTACTGACCCCGAGCCGCCTCCTATTTTTGTCTCTAAAATTGAAAATTTTATATCATTCGTTCAAGAAATTGCCAATCTTATCGGACAAACCAGTTTCCGCTGTTTTTCTAGGGTTAATGACATTAAGATTAACACGAGCTCTAAAGAAAATTATAAAACTCTGATAAATTATTTTACAACTAAAAAATATGAATTTCACTGTTACCAATTGAGACAAGAAAAGGCATATCGGGTGGTATTGAGAGGCTTGCACTCAACCACTCCCATATCCGTTATCAAATCTGATCTAGAGGAAATAGGACATAACGTTAGGCATATAGCATGCGTCCTACATCCAACGCAAAAATATCCATTGCCACTGTTTTTCGTTGATTTGGAGCCTGCAAGCAATAACATTGACATATTTCAAGTTAAGAGGCTTGTGTATTCGACAGTAAAATTCGAAGAGCCTAGACAAAAACCTGTCATAGTTCAATGCTCCAAGTGTCAAGACTTGGGGCACACAAAGACCTATTGCCATCATCAAGCGAGGTGCGTTAGATGTGCCGGGCCACACGCATCTAACACTTGTCAGATCCCTCGAGACCAGCCTCCTAAATGTGCTCTCTGTGGCGAAGACCATCCTGCAAGCTATAAAGGATGCATAGTATATAAAAAATACTACAAGTTAAGAACTCATAACATAGCCTTAAAGTGCAGCCAACTAAATAAAGAAACTTACACCCAGCCACCAGAAATTGATATTACAAATTTTCCTGAGTTGCCAAAACAAACTACCCATTCAACACAACAAGAACCAACTACTTCAACTGAAATCGCCCATCCTCAACAGGAATCTACCAAAACTAGCACCCATACCACCATCAAGAAGCAGCAGCCTCGACGCCAGGCGCCTCAGGCCTCCCAAGCTAAACCTCATACTCCCAATCCTCTCATATTTCATCCTCCGCGTCAGCAAATTCCCCCTCATCATCTACCTCTACGAGTCAAATTACCGCCACAGCAATCGCACCCATCTCATCCTAATGCCCAGAAAAAAAACCCAGCACAAGTATCGTCGAATCCAGTCCCACCTCGTACACAACAACGAATCCCACTCTCAGTTAACACTCCTTACCCGCCACCTGAACCTATCCTAAATCCACTTCACAATCAACATCCATCTGATCTAACTTCCATTCTATCATCCTTCCTATTGGACCTCCAAAACACCATAAAACCTCTTATCACTCTACTAACCAGAATCCTGACCGAAATTCCGTTTAATTTCCCTCGATGAGCACAAAGCCCCTAACTATCCTTTTATGGAATGCTAACGGACTACACAACCACCGTGACGAACTTGACATATTCCTTCATGACAATCACATTGATATAGCTCTACTGACTGAAACGCATTTCACAAAACGGACACATTTTCACATACGAGACTACATCACTTATAGATCTGACCATCCAGACAACACTGCCCACGCCGGTTCTTGCATCCTTATACATAAATCTTTACCCCATTCCCTTATTCCTTCCACTCCAACTGACGCCATTCAATCAACTTCTTTAATCCTTTCAACTCGCCCTTTCCATTTCACAGTCTCAGCTGTATACTGTCCTCCTGGTAATTCCCTCTCCTTTAATCTCCTTGATACGTTGTTCCAATCCCTCGGATCGCGCTTTATTGCTGGAGGAGATTACAATGCTAAACACCAACGGTGGGGTTGTCGAACATCCAACTCCCGCGGTAACATCCTTTCCCGTCTCTCATCTTCTAATAGTTATTCAATCCTCTCGCCCATGAGTCCTACTTATTGGCCAACATCCCTCAAAAAACGTCCCGATATCCTGGATATATTTATCACCTCCCAGATTTCCTCCTCCCAAACTATAATCAAATCCCTGGATGACCTTTCTTCAGACCATAGTCCGGTTCTGCTTTCATTACATTCTGACTTTGCTCCTAAACCATCACCTCCCAAACTGATCACTGGACGAGTAAACTGGGACAAATTTCGTGATGATTTGGAAAACAAACTTGACCTCAAAATTCCACTAAAGACAAAAGAAGACATTAATGGTGCCATAGAAAAACTGACATCAACAATAACAGACAGTATAAATAATAATACCTTTATCAATAAGATTAACAAACCACAAAATACTAACTTGCCACAGCATATTCGCATCTTATTAAAGGAAAAACGCAGAGCAAGATCGAAGTGGCATCGAACTAGATACCCGACAGATAAAGCGCATTACACCCAACTGACTAACAAACTGAAATCAGAAATAAGAAAATACAAAATTCAAAATTTACTAAATTTTACTGAAAAACTTACACCTACCGATAAATCACTATGGACGACCACTAAAAGGCTCCTGAAATTTAAGGACTGCAACCATCCACTACTCACTGAAGCCCAAACCTGGTCCAAATCCGACGAAGAAAAATCCCAAATATTTGCACACCACCTCTTTAAAACCTTTAACCCACATCCCGATATTCTTAACCCAAATCACCTTGAATGTATTGAAGCAGAACTGGATATCCCACTCCAAATGACTCCTCCTCCTAAAGCCTTTCATCCTTCAGAAATATCCAACATCATTCACAGGTTACCTTCCCGCAAAGCTCCTGGACACGACCTAATTACATCCCAGATCCTAAAACTACTTCCTCGGAAAGCCATTCTATTCCTTACATATATATATAATGCTGTACTCCGATCAACATATTTTCCCGACCCTTGGAAACTATCCATTATCAAAATGATACATAAACCCAAAAAGCCACCAGAATACCCATCCTCTTACCGTCCTATCTCTCTTTTACCCATCATGGGAAAAGTCCTAGAAAAACTCATCCTAAAACGCCTGTACCCAATCCTAGATTCTAATCACATAATCCCAGATCACCAGTTTGGATTCCGCAGATCCCATTCCACTATCCAGCAATGCCATCGTGTGGTGGATGTTGTCTCCTCTGCATTAGAGCGCGGAATGTACTGCACGGGAGTCTTTCTCGATGTAGAACAGGCTTTTGATCGAGTCTGGCACCCGGGATTACTGTACAAACTCCGTAAATTCCTACATCCTACATACTTCCTCATTATCCGTTCCTATCTAACTGATAGATACTCAAAAGTCAATCACAATAATGCTTATTCATCCCTCTTTTCCCAGTCCGCTGGTGTTCCTCAAGGTAGTATCCTTGGTCCTATCCTTTACACAGTTTATACAGCTGACATCCCAACCCATCCTAACACTGTTATTACCACATATGCCGATGATACATGTGTCCTATCCGTTAATAATGACCCAACCATTGCATCCCAAACTCTTCAATCGCACATCACAAGCCTTGAAGAATGGTGTAAAAACTGGAGGATTAAAATAAATTCTAATAAATCCCATCAAATCACCTTTACCCTTCGACGTAAACCTATGACCTCATGTCCCACAGTATCCTTTAATAATACCCCACTTATCCCTGTTGAACAAATCCGATACCTTGGACTTCACTTGGACAAACGTCTAACTTGGAATCCTCATACCAGACTGAAACGACAAGAAACCGCTCGACGTTTCCGACTACTCCAACACTTACTAGACAAACGCTCTAAGCTTCCAGTAAATTACAAAAGACTTATATACATGACTACAATAAGACCTATTTGGACTTACGGAGTTGAGCTTTGGGGCTCCACTAAGCCATCAAATTCCTCTCGTATCCAATCCTTACAATCCAAAATCCTTCGGAAAATCCTCAATGCTCCTTACTTTGTCACCAATAAAATAATCCATAATGACCTTAATGTTCCTTATGTTTCCGATTTGGCCCAATCCAGATACCAATCTTTCCATAATAAACTTCAGAACCATCCGAATCCTCTCGTCTCTAACCTTGCTTCCTCTTCTATTCCTGGTAACCCTCCGAGGCGTCTGAAAAGAAGATGGCCTCGAGATCTCTTATTGTAAATACATTTTGTTTTTAGAGTGCTACCAGTGGGTAGTTTCTCAACAAGTCATTTCATGTTTTTATTTTCTGTTATCAAATTTACTTAATGTATTTAATTTTTTAATACAGTTGTAAATATCATGTATAAATAAATAAAAAAAAAAAAAAAAATGTCTTTTTCTTTATTAACGATAATTGTTCTGAAGAGCAGTAAAGTAAAGTAAATGTAGTAAAGTTATCTTTTTAATAAACAACCTGTACTGTTACAACCAATGTAGGGTTTTGGGTTGAGTTACTGGTAAGAATGTACCATTTTTTAGGACCACAGTTGTGAGAGAAAGTAATTTAACCAGGATTATACCCCATTGTCAGATTATTCCTCCAATTTAGGTCATCTAACTAAGGCGGGATGTGGGAGGGAGGGGGGTCGACATGCCTTGAGCCACCATTTAAAAAAAAAAAAAAGGCTGGATGTGACCTTAGTATGGTCTCCTGTCTCCAAGGTAAATCAAAGACTGATATAACAGAATATAAACAATTACCTGCAACATCTGTATTTGAACTCCAGCTTGGGTGGTTGGAACACAATGCCTTACTCAATGAGCTTCTGAGATATCTCTAATTGTATTTACATTAAATCATATTATTATTTTTTTCTTCTTTATCTCCCCTACTTCATGCCTCCTCTCCCTGTGTGGAGGCAATCTAGTTATTTTAATATATGTTATTTGTTTATTCATTACAGAAATGCCTGCATTTCAACCTCTTCTGCTTGAAAATGATTTACCAAATATACTTATTTCTATGGTGCAAAATGATTCTGAACCATATGTAAGAGCATCTGCACTGTCTTGTCTTTGTTACATGATACAGTTAGAATCAGTTTGGAATTCAGCATTAAAAGAAAAGTCTCTTTTGGTATGTATTATGTTATTCTGTTACTACATGAATCCTGATGAGTCCGGAAATTTGGTTAAAAAATTGTCCTTGGAAAATGAGGTAGCCTGATTTACAACATAAATCACTTTCCAAGTACAATTTTTCAACCAAATTTCCAGACTAGCAAAGGGTAACCCACTCGCTCCCGACATCTCCGACATCCTTCTAGACTGCATTATCCCTCTGTACCCAGGCGATATCATCTTTATCTGAAAATACGTAGACGACCTCCTTCTAATCCTCAATCCAAATAAAATTCCCGATATCCTATCAGCCTTTAATTCTTATCACCCCCCCGCCTCAACTTTACAGTAGAAAGCAAACTAAATAATTCTCTCCCTTTTGTCGATCTTCTCGTCATAAAGAATCTCAATAACACCATATCCACAGACTGGTACACTAAACCAATTTACACAGGCAGACTTCTGAATTTCCATTCTAAACATCCTTACCACCAAAAAATTAATGTTGCTAAAAATCTCATCTACCGAAGTCTCTCCTTCTTCGATTCCCAATTTCATGTAACCAATATCCCACGTATAAAACAGATCCTGTCAAACAATAATTTCTCTCTCCATGTCATCAACAAACTTATAAAAGACCACAATAATCACTCTTCCTTAATCTCGACCTCCACTATTTTGGCCTCCATATTCAGATATCTACCATATATTCCTAATCTTTCTGACAACATAACCAAAGTTTTACAATCTACTAACCCTAACTTACGACTTGCCCTTGAAGGCAAATTTGAATATCAAAACACACTTTCTAATCTGTACACATCCCTAAAAGCTCCTGGTTTTTATTTATTTATTTTTACATTCCGCATCTACCCGATCGGGTCATTAGCGGCTAGCTCCTGTTTTTCTTTCACACTGCTCTCATATCGTTTACTGTATTCCGTGTTCTACCCCTAATTGCTTTCCATCTTATATTGGTGAAACCAAAAATCTTTTAAAAGACCACTTTCAAATTATCCGAACATTCTCTCTCCCTAAACTATACATTTGATTTTGACAAAACTTCCATCCTTGCCTCCGTTCCTAATCATAACAAGCGATTCATTTCTGAAACCCTCCACATCCAGCTCCACCTAAGACAGTGAATCTAAAAACAGGCAAACAAAACTTGTCCTTAGCCTATTCCCAAATTCTGAATTTATTAAAACATCCATTACAATCTCCTTTTTCCTTTTCGCTGACAAATTTCTGTTTAATTTAATTCATTTTCGTTTTCTTTAATCTTATTTATATATTCGTTTTCTTTATCTCACATTTCACGTTGACCAGTTATACTCCATTTTTCACTTAAGATTTAGTATCTCAGCATTATGCTATCTCCTTAATTTATTCTATACTATATTTTATCTATATATTTTATATACCATTTTTTTCTTTATTTTATACTCAATCACATTATAATTCCTCTTTATTTTCGTTTCCTTTCATCACGTGTTTCACATAGATCATTAATACTCCATTATTATTTAATGTTTATTACCTTTACATTATACCATCTCCTTAATTGCTTTATAAATAGATTTACTCACTTTCAGTTTTCTTTTCCTTTAATCTCCTTAAAGAAATTCATTTTTGTTTTCTTCAATCTCATGTTGCACGCAGATCAAGTATTCTCCATTATTACTTAACATTTATTGCTTAATTGTTATTATCTCTTAATTGGGCTTAATTGGTTCATGTACTGTGAATTCTAAGGATCAAATAAATGACATATATACACTTAATATTAAAAAAAAAACTTATGAAGAAAAATAAAATTTAATTTATAGTAATTCTATCTATTATTATAATTATATCCTTAATTATTATAATTAATTATAATTAATAATTATATCCTGATATTAAATTATAGAATTTCTTTATGGCATGTGTTCAGAGTTAGACAAAAATTATCTGATTGACGAATGATATATAAATCTTGGTTTAAATTGATAATTAACATTTATTGAATAGTTAAATTTTAAACTTGTATAACTAAATTTTATTTAGTTAGTTTTTGAATATTTAAATTTTATTTATTAATTGAATTACTAAATTTTATTTGGCTTGAAATAAAATAGTTTTCACTATTTTAAGTCTTTTTATGACTGCCACCCTGGACCATCTCCTTCTTCTAAATTTTAATTCATAAAAATATTCCTAACTAATGAATTATTTTTTATTCGTTAGTCATGACTAACATAAAATAAATAATTGAAATCATTGTTTTTATAAACAACTAAGAACTAAAAATGTAGTTGTTTATTCATGAATTAGTTTCCAAATAAGGCTACCGAAAGCGCAGCTGAGCTGAGCTGAGCGTAGCAAGAGGGAGTTGACAACCTATTGCGTAGCAGAGCTCAACTCAGTAGCAACTTGTCCTTGCATTGGTATCCTTCTCATATTCCATATATCATTTTTAAAAATATGTATATAGAATATATAAAATTTAAAAAAAAAAAAGCAAAGTTGATCATGAAAGAGTAGAACAGAAAAATTGAATATTTGTGTATAAAATCGAATATTTTCCCTTACACATTTGATTAAGAATTCTTCTACATCCATTGCATATTTTACACTGAACCAAAATAAAATAATTTCAGAGGTTGTGCAATGAAAACAAGTGGATAAAATTAAAAAAAAAAAAAAAAAAAATATATATATATATATATATATATATATATATATATATATATATATAGAGAGAGAGAGAGAGAGAGAGAGAGTGCATATATAACATTTTAAAAAATAGCAAAGTTGACCATGTTGGAACTGAAAAGAAAAATCAAATATTTTCCCTTACCAATTCGATTAAAATTTCTTCCACATCCATTGCATATTTTACACTGAACCAAAATGAAATCATTTGAGAAGTGCAGTGAGTAAAAGCAGAAAAACAGGATGACACTGAGGAACAAAGCCACACGTTTGTGAGGCAGTGGTGAGTAGGTGTGGTGGGGAAAGCTGAGCGTAGCTGACCCTTGCTACGCCACTCAACCTTACACCAAGACGAATAAAAAGCCGACCCTCATTATGCAGTCTTCTTATTTTATTTACTTTTTTACCTTGTCCTTCTGAATGATTCTTGTCTGGAAACTAATATTTCTTACGGTGTTGTTTCTTATTACCATCATAGTCAGAGAGCTAATACTCTTTTTGTCTGAGTCAATTATAATATAGAAGTCGATCCTTTTTTCATACTTAGCCCTACCATTACCTTACTTATACAATTATTATAACTGATCTGCTTCGTTTAAAAAGTGTACAAGATTGTCTAAAATAAAGTCTGTTTTACACTAAGTTGTTTTTATGGCTGAAAAACAAAAATGTATAGGAGTAATAAACTTCTTTAAATATAAAATAGGTGTGATTTGTTTCGGGCAAGAAAATTAGTGATATACCTCAGGCTATTGATTAAAAAAAATATTTGGTGTGATGCGCACACCACAATTTTCACTTACCACTCTTTTTTCAGCTGAAATAGGTATTTTCAGGAAAAGGGAAGTGAAAGTAAAAATTAAAGACAGTACAAAATATTTAAAACAATTAATTACCATTTGTTTTTCACAGCTATCTAATGTATTATATTTATGTTTTTTTTTGTCGGTAATAATTTCTTTTACAACTGTATATTTTAATTATTTATTTGATTGTAATAAATAATTAAGTGAAATGAAGTATTTATAGTTCGACAAGATTACCACTAATAAAGAAGGCTATTATATTTATTTATATTTTATTGTATTTTTTTTGTTTTCATTGGTATATATACACATTTTAGTTTTTATATTGATATAATCTATACAATTAAATATTAATTGCTATAAGTGCTAGCATTTATGAAAGCCGTATGTGTATGTGTAATAATGAATTTTATTAAGCACGTGTTATGTATGGAAACCTACTCAAACCTAACGGCCAAGCTCGGCGACGCTTGGGTTTATTATCCCCTCTATTAAGATTCCTCATTTCTTCTTCTTCTTCTTGTTTATTTATTTAGTTAATTAATGATTTTATATTTAATCATTTTTCATAACTGATTATAATGTGAAATGATTAATTATTTCAAATTAAAAAAAAGTTATTTTAGAGGAAAAAATGTTGAAAATTAGGCATTTAATCTTTGTTAGAAAACATCAATGAGAATAAGACCTACATAGACATGTATTTCCGTTGAAAATTAAAATTAAAAAAATTTCATGATCACAATACTTTCTCTTACTACTTATTACATATATAGGAAAGTAAAAGTAAAAATGTTCTGCCATTTTGACTCATATTTTTCCTTTTCTTTATTTTTAGGACATGATGTATGATATTCTGATTCAGGATCCAGAAGGTTTAGTACGCTATAAGTCCATCCTTCTTACAAAAAATTTGTATAATCACCGTGAGTTGAGGTACTAAATGTTAAATGTTATTTTGTTGTTATTAAATGTTTATGTAATATCTGTTGAATGATGGTTTTAAAATTTGTTTTGTTAATAAGATGAAATTATTAATAACAGATATGGTTCTATAGTGATTAACTTACTAGAAGTAGGTTTATGATAGATAAGTAGGGTGATAGAAGATCATCGGTGTACCAGAATGAAACATGTGATGAAAGATTGTGTAGCACCACTTCGCATGATTTACTAGATTGGTAAGCGAATTGATTTGAATGTAAAGGATTTGAAGTCAATAATTGATCTCTATGCCTGTCCAAAATCTTTTTCAATGTCTTCATTAAGGAAGACGACATGCATATTGGCCTGAAAGACTTGGGATCGTCATACATTCCCTTTCAAGGTTTTGGTATAAAGTGCAGTTTAGATCCTCTCCAACTGAGTGGAATGTAACCAAACGCTAAGTTGTCCCTTAAAAGAAGCTCTTAAAGGTATGGTTTAATTATAGATAGTCCTTTTTGAATTAATACTGGTAGGATATCATCCAAACCTGTAGATTTAAATGTAGACAATGAGTTTACTGCGCATTCCAGTCTATTTACAGTAATGATATTTCTATCTTTAGTCCACACTTCTCTATCAGCTGTATAGCTAGGGAGTGCAGTATCCGTGTAAACCTTATCCATTATGTTACAACCAGGAAAGTGGGCTAATGCTAGCTCTCTTAGGGTTTCATTCTCGTTAGTGGTATATTTATCATTGACACTGAGTGTACCCAATATTCCTTGATCTTTCTGTTTGGAAAGTATTTTCTTAATCTGACATAACATAGAAATGTTTATTTCTTGACAAAAGTTCCTCCAATACCGTATTTTAGCTCTCCACATCCTGAAGATAACCCAATTGCCAAATCTTTTGGCAGCATTAAACAACCTTCTTGTAAGTGTACTTTGCCTATCTAAATCTTTTTTTCATCAGGATACTTTTCTGTTGGATACTTTAATTTGAATTTCATTTCTGCTCCAGTAAGAATTTTTGATAGCATCTGTTAAAGATAAATTAAGGCATTCTAGCTTCCAGGTATTATTAACAACTTTTAGACAACATTTGCACGCCTCTTCTAATTATGAGAGATACTCATCCCAGTCCGTAGACTTTGGAATTAATCATAATTTATTGATTTTCTTTATATTATTATATTTTAGGTTTAGATATGCTAAGAAACAACCATTTATTATTAAGAAACTTGTTTGAAAAAATCTGAATTTTATATTAAGATCCGATACCTAGGACTCTACTTTGACAAATGACTCACTTGGAACCCCCATACCAGACTGAAATGACTAGAAACCACCCGACGTTTTCGACTACTGCAGCATTTACTAGACAAACGCTCTAAACTTTCAACTATTAACAAAAGACTCATATATATTACTATAATAAGGCCTATTTGGACTTACAGGATCGAGCTTTGCACTCTAATAAACCACCAAATTCCTCTAGTAGCCAATCTCTACTTTGTCACAAATAAAATCATCTATAATGACCTTAATGTACCATATGTTTCCGATTTAGCTTAATCCAGATACCTGTCCTTTCATAATAAACTCCTGAACTATCCGAACCCTCTTGTTTCCAACCTTGCTTCCTATTTTATTCCTGATACCCTCTGAAAAGAAGATGGCCTCGGGACCTTCTAATATAGAAGTATAATTGGAGTGCTACCAATGGGTAGTTTCTCTTCATGTTGTACTTGTCCATATTTACTTGTTGTATTTATCATTTAATGCAGTTGTAAATTTCAATAATAATGATAATAAAAATATATATTAAAAACTTGATAAATGCTAGCAATAATATTAAAGCCATTTCTTGAAATCATTTGATTGAATATGTTTACTAATATTACTAATTATTCATGATGATATAAAATATTTTAATTAATTTTTTTTCTAGCCCAGAAAGTCTGAATAAAATGCTTGATTTGCTTTGTCATTTAACTGTCAATGATCTGCATTGGGAAGTAAAGAAGGCTTGTATTCTTTTCTGGGATAGCATATTAGAAAAACTTCTAATTGAGGAAGGAATGGTTAATGGAGAGTTTCCTGATCACATTTTTTCGCGGGAGAAGAAAAAAATAATTAAACTAACACCCAAGGAGATGTCATTAAGAATTGTTAAGGTCTTTCAGAAACTGAATGAATATGGCTGTTTACATGTAATGATTTTTATATGTTGTGTTTTAGGAATATTTTAAATTCATATACATATGTACATAATTAATATGGTAGATTAGTTCCATACAGTGTTCAAGACATATCGCAACTGTTAGTGCAAAAACAATTTTACATTTTTATTCTCTTGTGGTACAGGTGACATTTTGTGTTCTACAACTGCTATAAGTAGTATGCTAAATAGGAAAATAGCAGAGGGAATTAAAATATGAAATCATACTAATAAATCATAAAGAAATAATTGATTTGTATACTCTTCAGTAAAAAAACTCAATTTTTACATACAATCTTTTGCACTAACAGTAACAATATGCAAACAATGTGTTATATTTAGGTGGAACTAATTCTCACATAATCTGAATGTACACATTTTTTTTTACTATCTTGAAAAAACATAAACAATTATAAAAGTTATGTATGGAATCAAACAACAGAAAATTTCTTGCTGAATACCATAATATTGGTTAAACAAACAAAAATAAAAAATAATAAGGAAAGTGATTGCTGAAAAAGTGAAAGGTTTTGCAATATTTATAACAATGGAGGACTCCTCAACCTCTTACGGGTCATTTTAGTCCTTAAACAGTATTTATGTTACATTTAAACATTTAAACATTTAAAACATTAAAATTTTCAAAAAAGTTTAAGCAAAATTTAAATTTTGTTATTTAGGTGCGTTATTTGAAGAAATATAAACTATTTAAGGTATAAAATTAAAAATTAAGGGATGACTTAAAATATGAATTATCTACATTCTCCATCTGGCTTGGGTGTCTGAAAGAATCATCACAACTGCCAAGAAGGCTGAAGTGAAGATACCCATCGCTATTGTCTGCGAGTTCCATCAGACTCCAGAGGTGACAGCAGACTTTGATAGGGATATTGAGGACTGGCAAGTCACAAGCAGTGGATAGGGCACTATTGCTTGATCATTTCTTAAGGAATGGGGGAGATTCCCACACTCTCCACACCCCTCTCCAGCCTTCCTGTTACCAGACCAATTTGCCCCATTCCTTAAATTAGTTTAAACAAAATAAAATTTGTGTTTAACTGATTTCCCTTTTATTCTTATTGATTTCAATTTTTTCTGCCTATCAGAAGTTTGTATTGTTTACTTACTTTCATTTTTAGGTGTTGTGGGAAGTTATACGAAATGACTGTGATATAGAAGTTACCAAAGAAGCAGGAAAGTTGGTTATAAAAATGTTGAAATTGATAGAAAAATTCAATACTCATCTATACTTAAATGAAACAGAAAGTGTATCATCAGAATATTCTGATGTTTACGAATTGAAAGTTAAAGACCAAATTGAAAATCACTCTCAAGTAAGTTTTTAATGTTTAAAAATTGTTTTAAAATAACTCTCACAGTAATATAGAGAAAGATATACTAAGGCGAATACTCCTAGAAAATCACACATATTTTGTCCTCCAAAAGCTGTTAAAAAGTAATGCATTATGTAGGGATGCAAAAACAAGAATTTCTAATCCATAGAAAACCAAAGATAGGATATGAGTCCTGAATTTCCCGAATCGCTTCTATGTAAGTCCACCACGTGTGTTTTTTCCTCGATTCTATTCGTGCTACTTTACTTGCTGTCTTCACTAGCTCCTCTGATCTCTTTCCAGTTTTTAAGGTTTTTCTTCAATGTTCTCTCACCTGCTTTCCACTTTTTTTTTCAGTCTTTCTCTGTATACTTTAGATGTTCTGGTCTGCATAAAGCTACATTGAATATGGTCTAAGGCCATTTAATAAAATGGAAAATATATATGCAATTAATTTAAGTCAAGATAATTTAGTATAAAAAAAATGAGTTATTTCACTCTATAAAACCAATATAGATCAATCTTAACCCAATACATTATATAAAACATATTTCATATCTTATTTAAATTTTCAATACTAATAATAGTAAATTATTTATTTATAATTTTTATCTGTTATTTATTTATTTTTTTAGTATGAATGCAAGAATTTACTTCAACCTACAAATGAAGAAGTAATCGAAAGTATAATATCTCAAGGTGATCTGAATCTTCTTGCTGGTTTATTAAAAGTTGATAATTTAAAACCTATTACAACCGGTATAAAGGTGAGAGTGAAGTTCGGAGTTCAGAAATTTGTCACTGAATTATCAAAGTTTGATGTGACTAAAAATGAACATGAAAAAGTTAAATGGATTACTAAAACCTCAGATGGAATTAATTCACTTTTGGATGATTTACTGTTGTCTAATCAATCTCAGTATTGTGTAAATAATATTGTTGATTGTTATTAACTTAATATATTGTTCAAATTATGTCCATGTTGACAATATTTTTGTACTCAAAGTAGGATAATATGAAACTTAAAAAAAAAGTTGATCCTCTCTCTCTCTCTCTCTCTCTCTCTCTCTTTATATATATATGTATATATATACATATGTATATATATATATATATATATATATATATATATATATATATATATATGTACATATATATATATACATATATATATACATATGTATATATATACATATATACACACACACATATATATATATATATATATATATATATATATATATATATATATATATATATATATATATATATATATATATATATATATATATATATATATCTTCCCTCCCTTCTTTCTCCCTCTCCCTTCTCTCTCTCTCACCATCTCCCTCCCTCTCCCCTCTCTCAAACCACCTCTCTCCCTGTCCCTCTTTCTCAAAAAAATGATCACAAGTGATAAAAATCTGGTGCGTGCAACACACAACTTTCACTTGCTGCTCTACTTAGAATATAAATTATTTTCTGGCAATGCTGGGCTATTATAAATTTCTTGAACTGCATTTTAAACGGAGCTAAAACTTAAAGCTTATAGATAACAAATTATTAAGAACAATTAAATTACAAAAAGTCTATTTATTATATCGACAGTAGGCAATAAAAATTAATTACTCCACCTGCTTTTATAAACCACACAACTTCAATCTCTGAGCCTTTCAGTTGACAGATTGACTAACTCCAATTTTCAACATTTTTCTGTTGTGTCATTTTAGTGATATTTCTAGTTGGAAAAGTAATATCTATCCAGACAGTGATTAAGTTGGTTCTAGAGTAGGTGATTGCAGTGTTGATATATAGAACTTTGAATAAAGGTATAAATTTTACCACCAGAAGCATCACTAAAATTAATAATAAAGAATGTTGAAATTGGAGTTAGGTTTGAAAGTATATCTGAATATTTAACCTATAAATGATTATGGATTGTAGGACTATTAGTTATTAAACTGTTATTTTCCATTGTAAAGTTTACTAAAATGAAATTACGAGATTTTCATTGCCTGCCATGGATAGATCAAAACTTGTCACACTAATTGTAAGTGGATTAAATTAAAAGAAATAAATTTAAAAGTTCACATTTAGTTATAAATTTTCATTTAATTTCCTTGGAAACATGTGATTTACGTTAAATAATGTTAGTTTTCTGAAATTATTATTTATATTTTTTTCATCACTCTTTGTTACATTCTACAACTTTATTTATTTGATATTATTTTTACTAAAATTCTCCGCTTTCCAACGATATGTTATACGTATATCTTCTGATTGTTATTTCTGAAGATTCTTTTTCAACCTGGATAAACATTTTTCTTTTTTTCTCTAGTTTCCAATTATCATATTCTTTCAAACTTCATATTTAGCCATTTTTTTTTATAGTTACTGTCAATAAAAGAGAGTTAATTTTTTTAAGTAAACCATATTAAAGGTACTTTAGAGGAAGACATATATGAACATAGAACATTTAAGCCCCGTAAAGTGGCATCAATGAGGATAAAACCTAAATGATATTAAAGACCACTTAATTATACAATGATACACCGAGTTTAATAAAAATCGTTGGAGCTTTTTTTGAGAAAATTGTAAAAATATGTTTCACCGTTCATATAAAGTGGTACTTCTGGCTAGCTGATTTTAGAGAAAAAGTTCCTGCCTCATCTAAGGTATATACCTAACTTAAATACATAATATCAGTTTCGTATTACTTTTAATTTTTGAGCTAGACTGCTCACAGAAACACAGACCATTTTGTGTGACTTGGTTATTTGGACTCAGGGGACCTCACAATGTGTATTTTCGTTGAAAAGTCAGATTCAAAAATGTTCACGATTGCAATACTTACCTTTACTATATATTACTTATATAGATAAGTGAAAGTAAAAAGTGTATATTTAAAAAAAAATCCTAGCAAACATAAGCAGTGGGTTCGGCCAATTGAAGCTATACAATAGGAGGTTCAGCAATATCGGTTTAGAGAAAAAGTGATGCTTTATGTTTGATGAAACTTCGAACGTGTTTAGCATTTTAAGCTTGTTCCTGGTGGTTAGGCAGTGGACTCAAACCTTTGCTGCCAAGAGATTGACAGAATTTATGCAGCTTTGAGTCCAAAGTACCCCGGTTTGGTCAATGGAAACCAAGCTATTTTACAACATGACAATATCTCTGCATATCATTCATTCTCTTTTCACCAAGGAAAAAATATCATCCTGCATATAGCCCAGATATTGCACTATCCAAGTATGGTCTGTTTAGATCAATTGCTCATTTTTTAAAAGGTTGGATCTTTGATAATTACAAGGACCGATCTCTTCTGCTTAAAATCAAAGGAGTGATACCGGCATCAAATCCAAATATTTGCAGAAAGATGGATGTTAATAGTTAAAAAAAACGGAATTTACTTTGATTAGTATTCAATATGTAATATGATGTGTTAAAATATATAATATGAAATAAAGCTACTACTATGCCAAAGGACTTCTGTAACATCCTAGTATTTACGATTTTTATATTATTTTAACTTCTAATAGTGACTTTTCTGGAGAGGAGTTTTATTACTTTCACTTACCTATATATGTAATATACAGGGTGTCCCGCAAGTAGAGGGAAATATTTAAAAGATGAATATTAGACATCAAGCTCTACAAAAGGATTTGTGTAAGCAATTGCCTAATTTCCAGCAGAAAAGCAAGAAATTTAAGATTTTTGTTTTTTTTAAGCAAGTCACATTTTTTTGTTGAATAGGAAGCAATAACTTAAAAAATTAAAATTAATTAATTAATTATAATTAAAATTAAAGTAATTAAACATTGCTCCGTTATGAACTAGACAAAATTTACTTTAAATGATAGTGGAGTTGGTCATTCTTAAAATTATTTAAAGAGGACTATTAAGCAGACAAGCACAGCTAAGTTTCGTTTAAAAAAAAGTAATAAATTATTTGTGATTTTTTTTCATCACCCATTTAACTGTACTACATTTACCCATTTTTATAACAAATTCCTCGTTTAATAAGCTTTAAGTGCTTATTAATTATGTTGATGTTTATTAGGAAGCATTTTGAGATTCACCTCAAGTTGTGTCATTTCTCATCCTGTCACCTTTAAGTACATATGTTTTCTGCAAAAATTACTTCAATTAACTGTTGCAAAGCTATTCTGTTTTGTTTTTCCATTATATGGGATGCATTGTAATAAACGTAATTGTCTAAAAACATAAGCAATTTATAAAAATAAAAAAAAATAAAAATAATGATTTTTCAAATATTTTTCATGTAAGGTGGTAATGAATTTATATTTTTCACCCAGATTTCTGAATTGATGTGTATGTCACAGACTTAATGTTTTTAGCTCTAATATTTACGTTTTCATGAGAATAATTGAAGTAATCAATAGACTTATTTATTTTAAACGTTAAGTTTAGTAAAAAATATTAAGTTTGTCACTCATAAATATATATCAATTCCTATGACGGAGATCTGGAAGAAAAAACACTTTTATAAACATTTTATGTGAAAAATATTCAACAGATCATTATTTTAAAATTTTTTATATTTATAAATACTTAAAGATTACTAAACTACGAAGTTTTTGTAAAAGTGGACTAAATGTAGTACAATATAAAAAAAAAATTACAAAATAATTGTTGACGTTTTTTATACGAAACTTAGCTGTGTTTGTCCGCTTAATAGTATATAATATAAAATGTCTATTAGAATCGTCATTTCCGCCAAACGGCAAGAAAAATAGTATGTTTATAGAATCGAAACGATTTTATTAAAGTTTGTGTAAGCTCGTCTCCTAGATACCTTTTTAATTTATATACCTTAAATGCATGCTTCTCAGAAGAATTTCTGGAAAAAAATATGTACCTATTAAGATCAGTACAGCTTCCTCACCATTTTCATTGGTTACACAATTATTTATATCAAGATCTATAATTTTTCGTTTAAGAGCAAAATTTTCGAATTATGCCTTTTTCGGAAATACAGTAAATTCCTAATCTTCGCGCGTTTGATATCCACGAGTTTTGTTTATCAACCAATATAAAAAAGAGCATCACATTTGCAAATTGCGTATTTTACTATCCGTGTTTTTTTTTTTTTTTAAGTGTGATTTAGACCACACTATAAAAGTAAAAACATCAACAAGGCGAGATTAATAATAAGAAAAATAAATTATAAATAATAGCCCATTGCATAGAGGATGAAATGCTGTGCAATTCCCTCTCTTACAGTATGCAAATCCGATTTTTGATATTTTAATCCAATCCTCAATAATTATCATTTGGGTTTCGACATTATTTTTTCCTTTTCGCCTCTCTAAAATGGCGTCGGGTTGAGATACACTTTTGAATAACCGTCTATTACAGAGAGAATGGAATGATAAATAATTCTCCCGCTTACAGTACGTAGGTCCGATTTTTAGTTTCTGACATATTTTAATCCATATCTCTAATAAAATTCGTTATCATTTGGTTTTCGACACTATATTTTCTCTTTTCTCCTCTCTAACACATCGTCGGATTTAGATACAATTTTTAATAATAGCTCATTACAAAGAGGGTGAAATGCTGGTCCGATTATTAATTTTTGAGATATTTTAATCCATATGAAAAAAAACTTCAATTATCAGACAATATACGAGCACTACACATCGGAAATCTGACTGCTAAATTTAATTCAATCTCCACAAAAAAAGCGCAAAACGCGGCTAAAGCAGTTTTCACTTCAGGGGTGCACAGAGGGATGTTTCATGGTGCAAGTTGCGCCATCAAAATTTATAAGGGGGACACTTTTTGACAGGGTTTTCAATTTTTGAGGAGACACATTTCGACGGGGTTATGAATTTTCAAAATGAAAAGTTTCAAACAAAAAGACAAGTGGAAGCATACCACAGATCGCAGAATGTATAATTGGTATATAATCTATGAATATTTAAATTCGATTTTCGTTTCCACTCTTAATAATAAGAATTATAGAGGAATAAAATACCTTGGGATGATTGGGGAAGGTTTATGCGTCATCGGCCTTGGGGGGA